GAGGGAAAATACAGTGTTCAAGAAGGAGGGGAGCTGCAGTCACTAGGTACGGGGGAGGACGATCCGACCACGAGATTCAAATTTTCTGCTTGCCTCCTCCCTGAAAGGTACATTAAAACAACATAAGTATTACAATTATTGTCTAGTAGTTAGCTTCATTGCGTATCTAACTGCATGACTGGTTAAAATGCTGTAGTTTGTAGCTCTACGATACGGCATGGAATTCGACCCATGCCATTGGCCTTCCAGCACTTCTTCAAGATAGTGATACATTTTTCTCCACATTACATCAGAGTACTACCATAGTGTTGCACTCTGAGACTTTTTTGAAGACAGACGTAGCCATAATGCTGAGTAGAGGGTAATTTTGCTATTGGAATGGCTCGAAGGGCATCACACTTGGTGTGGTATAATAGCAATCAGAAGTGATTCTTTACCAAAACCAAAAATTTAACAATTACTGTATCACAGTAGTTCCCCAAGTCGTGGTATGTAATGACCCATAGTACTATAAAATTCAAGTTCTACAAAAATATAGAAGACTAATTACATGGCTCAAAATAGTTTCCAAGTAGCTTAAAAACAAACTGTGATTAAAGTGTTGGCTGCGTACTTTAAACCACAACTAAAAATGACATTAACTAAAAACCCAAGGAGATAGGAAAAAACCTAGGATGCTACATTGTGGCAGCAGAAAATCCAACTCAATCCAAGACCATAAATATTCCGATTTTTATGGCCGGCAACCATAGCATAACGTAAAAAATTAGACGTCTGCTAGGAATGGATGATACCATAAAGAATCTCAAAAGATAAGTTAAAGCACTGTCTTACTTTAACAGCTAACACAGCCTCGGTTCCTGTGATGTACACCAGACTTGAACCATTTTATTAAATTCGTTATGGAGCTATTTATGGCACCTGTGTAAAGGAGCTGATTACGTGAACGGGAACGAAAAAACGCCGGAAGGAAGAGAGGGACTGAGTAACGAATTCGCAATTTGTTTAATTCCGTTTACAACATGTGGGTATGTCTGCATTCATTTGTTGTCATTCCGTTGTGAGGCATGGGCTTGTATTCCACAGGAAATAGCTTCAAAAAAATTAGCAATCACATGCATTAAACTGGCTTTTAAGTGAAGCAAAAGTTTTTGAGAAATAAGCTATTTTTGAAAAACAATGCGTAAACGTGCAAATAATCACTGCTCTTCTCACTTTAGTCTACAAAATCCTTCAGTCCTGCCCAAACGTTTTGCAAAAATTTGAACGCCTTTATTAATTTTTAGTCTATTAAGGTGAATTAAACCTGGAATTTACGATTTCATATATTTTTACAGACATTATGTTTGGTTGAGCTACTCTGTCAAGGCGCCCGCTGCAAACACACTGTGACGAGTTGTGGTGGCGGTAGCTATCCGCCGGTGTTCAGCAATGTCGTGGATATCCGATATCTACGTTACCGTAGCGATGGTATTCATCAAGCTCATGGTATACGCGTATGAATACCTGACGCTACCAATCTATTACATGTTTAGCGAAACTGGCTACTTCATGCCTTTCCCCGAAGACGAGCAGACCTACTTTAAAAAGTTCGCCGCTGAAGAGTCGCGCACTCTGAGCCTGCCAGTTATTCAGGATGATCCTGGTTCACCTTGGCGTGCTGTTGAGTACATTGACAACCTAGCTACTGTTGCGCTACCCGGATGTTCTACTCTTGCTGATCTTTGGCTTCGTACAATCAAGTTGTGGCCGAATAAATCTGCCCTTGGCACTAGACAAATCTTGCAAACTGATTATGAGGTTGTCTTTTCTCTTGCTCTCTGTAGGGACTCAAAGCATAAGATCGTGATTGCATTGTCGATATTCTTTTTCTCAGGTCCTCCCAAATGGCAAGAAAATGGTAAAACTGACCATGGGTGAGTATATATGGGAGACGTATGTGGAGGCAGAGAGTCGTGTTTCAGCTCTTGCGGCTGGTTTGCGAAATCTTTTGGGCCCCCTTGAGAAGAACAGAAAGGGTGATGGAGATTCTCCCACTCCCCTGGTCCTCTTTTCTGAAACGCGTGCCGAGTGGCTCTACGCGGCGGAGGCGAGTTGGCGCATCAACAGACCGATTGCCACTCTCTATGCCAGTCTTGGTGACGACGCTATTGTCCATGGGCTTGAGCAGACTGAGGTGAGACTGGCTGAGGAATCGCTCTCGCTTATTTGGCCGTGTTTTGGGCGTTGATGGTTGAGTGGCTGACCTGCCCTTAAAAAGTATATTAAATTCAGGATTGCTTACATTTCCCCATAATCAAGTAATCTAATGACTGTGGTATGACTACTTTTCAAGTCTGAAATCCATTTGTGAATGGCTGAATTTTTTGCAGGTTTCTCATGTTCCTAGGTTGCTTTTCTTGTTAATTGTTCCCTGTCGTTGTTTAGTTTGACTTCAAAATCATTCACATTATCAATTTTGCCTTAAGTATCAAAGGGCTTCCGAATGATTATGAAAATTAAACATAGTACCTGCGTTTGTTTTTCATGGTTCACTTTAAAAAACGCAACATTTGGTTTTGTTAATTCAAAACTGATATTTTGGGGGTCTAGGTGAGTTCATAACTGTCACGGTCGTTTTCATTGATACTCGTTTTTTTCTAGTCCGAGGTGCTACTTCGCTGAACAAATTTCACCTGCAACATTCTGCCGCCTATCACCAAATTACTTTTTTCGGTGGAATTCGTTAACCAAAGCATCTTAAGGTCATTACTTTGAAGCAAGGCTGGCTGCAAAGTACAGCATGGCACTTGTCGTCTTTCTAACGTCTATAATTCAGTATATGTCTTGTCAACAGTTTAGTCAAAATGAGGTAGAGTTTATTATTTACGCACTATCGGCATCAGAATTGAAGATTTTAGCAAGTTTGTAAACATAGAATGGAGGCTTGAAAGCTGCTCTCATATAGAAAATGGTAATAAGTAGCAATTTGCATGCGTTTACTCCAATCCTGGCGAGTGTTACCACATCGGAGTCGGCGGGGAGGATTAATTGTCGTGTTTTTACCCACTTTTCATCTTTCGTTCGTGATTCCTAAGATTTTACTGGAGCCGAGTTTTTAGTGGAAATGGACATTTTAAGACCGATATATAACCAGATTCTGAAAGCGAATGCAGTTAAGTTATGGGCTTTTTTTCCGTCACTAGATGTAAGACATTCTTTTATGAGTTGTAAGGTAGTTTTTTTTTGTTTTCAATCAATGGGACGTACGCACTTAGTAAAAAATGTGAATGAGACATTCAGTTGCTTGAGCTCAATCAAATACTTCTTCATCTACTCAGAATTGTTGCGTAGTTTATAGGCACGAACTCTGTTAGTAGCTTATTTGCTGTTTATGCGAGCGTTATCTCAAGGGGTTCCAGGGTCTGGCCTGCTTGCTTAATCTTAGAAATCGTTCGTTTAACGTCTTGTCATACTAGTCAGAAAAATATCCCCTCGCTTAAGTAGGTTGGCGTGGTTCTATGAAGTCTTGGTAGTTTTTAATGATGGGTAAAATTGTGCCGAATGCTTCCATTCGTCGAAGCTTTCCACACTCGGTGAACGCGAAGTGCTTGAAATCTTGGTAACAACCAAGAATCTGATACCAATCAAGGGAGAATGCCTGTTACCCGGAAATTTAGACCTAGGTCTAAATAGATCTGAATAATTGTTTAAGCTTACCAATGTTTAGCATTCTTTTACTCTAGGCCTTCGTGGTTTTCACCAGCGACGAACTGCTCTCCAAGGTGGTGAACTTGTTGCCACGCTGCCCTCTCGTGAAGTACGTTATCTTCTTCTCCAATGGGGTTATCCAAAAGCACAGTGGTAGGGCTGTTGAGGACTTGGGGCGATTCAACGACACAGCGCGTCTCTCCGTCGAGACAGCCCGAAAGGCTCTGCCTGAGGGCGTCAAGCTCTACGATATACTCGAGCTGGAGGAACAAGGCAGGGCCATCATCCGTGAGGAACTTGCCACTGACACCGAGCTTTTGATCAACTGGCAACCACCGGCTGAGGAGCGCCCCAAACCCAACGATTTAGCCGTTATTATGTACACCAGCGGATCCACTGGTATGTCTCCAACATCGATAACGCCCCTTTGATCGCGCTTCGTGTATGCTTGTCTGATTAGTAGCCTTCTCTTCTATAGTTGTTTACGTCGGACAGTGCACCTCTGGTTTTGTTTTGGGGTGGCGTTACTTTGAGGTCGAGCAAACTTATGGAGGCTTACTGCTTTTGTGAGATCACGTGATACTTCCCTTTTTGGTAGTAGCGTAGATAACTCTCGTCAAACCTGGGATGTCAACGAACGAGGCGCTTGGATCGCGCATGATTGATTTGTTGGCCAGTGGGTTTAAAGTTGAGGCGGAAAATCTTGGTAGATAATGATGTGCTAAAAGAAAATGTACGAAAAGTCACTCTGGAGTTATTGAAAATGGCATTGAACCTCAAATAAATGGTAAGGTAAAGGGGGGGAGTTATGTGAATGCACAGTCCTATCACTTCGTGACAAGATGGACATTGAAGTAGTAGGATTGGGCATTTCAAGTCTGGGTGTCGCATTGCCTAACGTGTAAACGTCACCTTGCAAAGATGATCGCTTGTGCGTAGTTACCGGGTAGAATTTGTTCGTGCATACCATAAAGGTGATTAATAGTTGTTATTAGTGTTATTGGGCTGTTTTCATGTAAGAAAATAGGATAAAATCGGTTCATTTTTCAAAGTCATTGACTAGGCTCTCACCTGAAAATGTGACACTCGTTGTCTCTTGAATTTGGAATCAGTCTAACTTGACTTGTGTTTCATGGGCTTTCAAATTGGTTAACAAAAATTCATGCTTTGTAAAAGCCTCGTTTAGTTAATTGAATCTCATTTCACGGCTTGCTATCGCTCCAGTTGGTAATTCATTCCTGAAACGTGTCTGTACTTTACCCCAGGACAAGCATTTGTTGCGTGTAGGTCAAGCAAGGCTCTGAAATTCATTTCTAGCATAACCATAAACTCGGTTTATCTTAAGTAGTTTATTTTTGTTGCATCTGGCCAGCTAAAAACCGAAAACCGGTAGAGGTGATAGTGCGTCGATGGTTACCTCAGCTCCAAAGGTAGCGTTTTTCAAGCCAATATTATTTCTTTTTTACCACAAAGTAGGTGAGAATGGAGACTGCTTTTACCGGAATGTTATGTGTTTTGTTTGCAGGAACCCCAAAAGGAGTGGAAATAGTGCACGACAACATCATCTGCACCATTGCGGGTCTTTTCCGCCGCATGCCGAAGTTGAACCCCGAGTCAGACCTCTACATTGGCTATCTTCCGCTGGCCCACGTGCTGGAACTCACCTGCGAACTGTGCATCCTTATCATGAGTATCCCCATTGGCTTTTCCAACCCCCAGACCCTCATGGACACCTCCACGCGCATCAAGAAAGGCGCCTGCCATGGCGACATTAACGTGCTCAAGCCCACCCTTCTAGCCACCGTGCCCGTCGTCCTGGATCGCATTGCAAAGTCGGTGTGGGAGAAGGTCAAAGAAGGCGGCCCTCTTATGGAAGCTGTAAGCTAAACGCACCTGATTTTATCGCCTGAGCTCCCAATTAATACTTTATAGGACACGACGCCCGGGTATAGCTTTGTCACAAGTTCAAGTTTGCGAGCCGGTATTAAGGGGGCCGAAGAGCCCATTTAGTTGAATTACACTGAAACAAGTATCGTTCCCCTGCGCTTTCGTAGACCCTTGTTCCGATGTTGTGAGTCCTGCCAGCCTCTTCCTGTTGAGAGGCTCGGTGCTGGGTGGATTAGGTCATCAATGCTCTTAGTTTAGTTGGAGACCTGGTTTCTTTTTTGGTTATTCATTTTAACCTTGAAAGTCAAAACCTCCTGCTTGAATGAGAAGAATCTTCTCATATCTCTACTGTTCTCTTCACCTAATCTCTCAAGAGTTGCTTTCAAAGTAAATTCATTCAAAAGAGGATGTTCACTAACTAAAGTCGTTGGTTAGAGTAGTGTGACGATTCACGTTGGCGATAAGTGAATAAAAGAAGCATGAAAAGTCAACGGAAAGTGTCAGAGATGTATTAGCCCTCAGGCTTGACAAATTTGCGAAGGTCAAGATAAGGCCATGGCATGCCTTATTAAAAAAGATCGTTATTGATGACCGCAGTTGCTTACATTTGATCAAAAGAACATCCGGTTGGATGTGCTTTTGCTCCTAATACTGGCCAACGCGAGATGATGAGGTCAAGGGAACCCGTTTACTGAAGTCTTATGGAGGTTGGCTATGGCTGTCTTTCACTTTTTACAAATCTTTTCGTACTATGTGTTGTATTGGTTTCAATTGCACAAACTCAAAAGTGGTTGCAATTCCTCCCGTCAAGGTGCAAAGTACAGCCCGGAACTTCTAGCGAGCGTTGAAGTGGCATCATTCAGGCGAGGCGGGTGAAAGCCCATGGAGGTTGGGAAAAAAAAGGCAAGAGTCCACACTCCAACTAGTAACGTGGACCTCACTAGGCGCGGTACTGGTCTGGTCTGATGACCTTGCCATCCCCACTTTGTCGGCTGACTAATTGGGTTGAAAGTGTGTGTGTGCGTGTGTGTGTGTGTATGTATGTGTGTGTATGTATGTATGTGTGCGTGTGTGTGTATGTATGTGTGTGTATGTATGTATGTGTTTTTAGGCTTGGCTGCATAAAATAAATTGCTTTGCGAAATGTCAATTCAGGCAGTTGAAAACGTTTAACTTTGGATTCTTCTTTGTCATCGTCGCTCCTTTTCCTTTCAACTAGGGTATCTAGGGGCGATCAATAAGCTAAGTCAAAATGTCACCTCATTTTTATAGATTCTGGTGATTACCTGTTCCTTTACCTTCCCTAAAGACGATATTGTTGAATCTTTTCTAAAATTGTTACCTATTTGAGGCATTCAGTATGTTTACTCCTATCTTCACTGGCATTGAATTTTATTCTTTCTAAACTTTTGAAAGGAATTTCTTACATTACCACACTTCTGAAAGACAAATGGAGCTTTCTTTAGATAAGTAAAAGTGGGGGTTACTTCCGTTTCCCTGAATTCAACCTTTCCCACAGTTCTCTATTTGAAATGTTGCTATTCTAAAGTTGAACTGGAACCGTCCTTTGTTCAAGTGTATGGTAAGTCGAAAAGTTACCACTTAAATTTACAGCGACTATTTGAGCTTCTGTGCATCAGGCACATCCAAATCGTTAACGCTATTGTTCTAACGCTCTACTGAGGTTGTTGTGTGACACAGGAAACTCCACTCAGATGAAGCCTGTCTTATTTTTCCTCATTTGCCTGGGGGCACTGTAGAGCTCAATGGTACTTCTTTCAAATGCAAACGCATTTTTTGTGGCACCGGCTAACATTAATCTGATGCTAGATGGTTTCCAGGGCGATTTACTTCTCGGATTGTTATGCTACTCGAGTCCGGACAATCTTGTCTACTTCAAATACCCCCATTTCGTTCTTTTTTGGTACAGATTTTCCACTTCGCCTACGACTACAAGTGCCGACGTTTGCACACGGGCTTCCCGAGCTTCTTGGTTAACCTCCTCATCTTCCGCAAGGTGCGCGCTCTCGTCGGTGGTCGTCTGCGTTTACTCGTTTCTGGCGGTGCCCCACTTTCGGAGGAATCGCATCTTTTCACAAACGTCTGTTTTGCCCCCATTATGCAGGGGTAAGTGCTAGACGTGCAAAACTTACTTCATCAGCACTTACCTTATTTTTTTTATTGCTTCAGCGATTTTGTATCCCCTTCCATCTCTTTGCATTGTCATACTGTTGTGACTTTACATGGCACTTTCCGATTTATAAGGTTGAGTGGGCCACAAAAAAAGCAGGTTTCCATCCCTGGACTTAATGAATGGCAAACATGAAGAATCTTTATCATTTACTTCAATCCGTGATTGCCTAATCTCCTTTCTCAATCATTTGTTGAAGCGGAGGACAATACGAAAGTTGGTCAATGAACCTGACAACCGATAAAATGAATGAGTTTTCACCATCCTCTTCGCATCACTCATTTCGCATCTTTCGTTGCCTCAGATAACGTAAATTAAGTTACATTAGATTTTTTCTCGAAGAGTTTACCAATTACACACTTTCTTGCATCACATTCCCAACTGGCAGCTTTAAAAGTCCTGCCAATCGCACCAATTAAGGGCGACGATGACTACTTCACAAGGCCTTGTGACAGTTTTGCTTCTCTCATGTTTGGGACCAGTGTGCTCTGTCTCATCCTGCCTACCTCATCCACTTTAGCATTTTGCATGCCTGTATAACCACGTTCCATTAATTGCTGTTTCAGTGTAAGTGTCTTTGTTCCGCGTTTTTGAGGCAGTGTCCGTTGTTTTGTTAATCTGTTTCTCTGTGTCGTTTTCTGCATTAGCATTCCATGCCTGAGGCAAATGCGCTATCCTGTAGAAAACTTTCTTAATAAATTCGTATTTTTTCAGTGAACTCTTGATCTCCTAGAGAATCCTTTGTTGTCTTATTAGTGAGCCCTTCCGGAGGAGGTAACGCTGCTTCCTTTTCCTTCACGTTCACTGCCTCTTGCTATGGACTGCTTGATGACTGGTACATATATTTCGGTTAAATTCTAAGGCTCCTATTTCTCAAGCTGCCTTTTCAATGCAACCGCTTGTTTTGTGAGTGAATAATTTTTGCCCCTGGCACATGTTCAAACCTCCAACGTGTAGGTCATGCCACCATCTCACCCTATGGTGACACTGAAATTTTCAAAAGCCGTAATAACAAGTCTTAGAGTGTCTCCAATCCCCTGTAAAGGCCATCATCTTGTGTCAGCTATACCAAAGGAAAACTTTGTAGGCCGAAGATATGTTGTTCAATGTTGATTCACTTCCTCCGGTTAGTTTTAGCCAGTGTTTATTTTTACAAGGAGTTTAGAGTTTCTTAAATAACTGTATAGAGGTGATTTATTTGTTTTGCTTTGTGTTTCTTTTCTTGGGAAAATATGCTTAAGTTGCTCATTAAGGAGACTAGCACTCCACAATCCCTCCAAAAGGCCTTCAAATTCGATGGGGAAGTGATGAACCAAATGTGATGTTGCCTTTGCCAGATACGGTCTGACAGAGACGTGTGCAGCTGCCACCCTGATGGAATGCGGCGACCTGCGAGGACACCACGTGGGCGCGCCCATTCCAAGCGTTCAAATACGTCTGCGTGCCTGGAAGGAGGGTGGTTACTCGCCCTATGATAAGCCCTTTCCCCGCGGTGAGATCCTTATCGCTGGTGGTAGTATTACTCGTGGTTACTACAAGAACCCTGAAGCTACTGCTGAGGCCTTCTTCACCGACAAAAATGGTCTCCGCTGGTTCTGTACTGGTAGGTCCTCTTTTCGGATTTACCACTTCTTTTATGAGGAAGACATTGTAAGGATATCCGAGTTTGCGTATTTATTTTGGCAGGAGGAGTGGATATTAGTGATTAGCCGTATTTGCAAGTGACATTTGATCACTTCTGCCTAGTGGATCAGTGACTTTGTAGTTTACTTTAAGAATTGTTGCTGCGAATTGTAAAGTATAAAAACCACTTTTTTCTATGTTTCTTCTCTACAAAAGTAAACTACAGCTGGAAGGTGATTATTCAGCTACAGTTAGAATCACGAGGAATCAAAAGTGGCAGCTGATAGTAATTTGTTTAGGTTATTGTTGGAAGGTTGAAGGCGTGTTGGATCTCCCTACACCTTTATTTACGTCGGTATTTAAGTGAGATATCTACCTTGATGCCTAATCTGCTATCTCCTCCGTCATCCCCACTTTTGGTACTTGTTTTGGTGTCATTTTGTGAGGCGATTTTGGAGGAGCGCCCGAGTTACCTCTGAGGGATGCGCTGTGGTAGAAGTGTAAAGATAGGCTAAAGGAGTCAATCATGAAGGCACTGAAACGTTCTACCGTGCCATCCGTGTCTCCGTTCACTCTTTCTAGGGATTTCATTTTGGTTGTCAATTTTTCCTACTACTTGTTTATCACTGTTTTCCAGCTTCAAGAGAGAAAACGGTCTGTTGTACTTTCCAGGTGACATTGGGATGATCCACCAGGACGGCAGCTTCTCCATCATCGATCGCAAGAAGGACCTGGTGAAGCTTCAGGGAGGGGAGTACGTGTCGTTGGTGAAGGTGGAGCTGGCGTTAGGCCAGTCAGTCTACGTGGAGAACGTCTGTGTGTATGCGGACCCACGGGAGAACTACACAATCTGTTTCATCTATCCTAAACTCACCACGTTACGCAAATTGGGGGACGAGTTGGGCCTCCTTGACGCAGCTGCCGAGGCTGCGATCGCTAGTTTACCGCCGGACAAGGCGGAGGAACCGACAGCTCGATCGTTGGCTGAACATGCCTTCCTTTGCCATCACCCTCAGGTACTCGAAGTCCCTCTCTTAACATCATTTTGCCTTGAAGAGGTTTCTAAGCCCATCTTCTGCGCTAGAATTGTCTAGATGGAGATGTGGATAGTTCCATCCGCTATAATAAAGTCGTAGTAGAGACACCGAACCCCTAAACGAGGTACATGTAGTAGCTTTTGAGATTCGAGGTAGTTTCCATCCCCTTTAAAATGCATTATGAAAACAGTACAGGACTTGCCTTTCCCAACACGTTTTTGTTGCGGATATCCTTTTGTCAACAGTTTTCTCTTGACCATTCATACCCATTGGGAGTTGTTTGGGGTGTGAGAAATGTGTGATAGGGGGATAAAAAGTCTACGCTTGTAATCTCCCCAGCCCTATGGACCGCGTTCCCCTTAAATGGGCGTTTCTGTTGCTGGCTTTTAATTTTATCCTAAGACGAAGTCCCGTTGTGTTTACATTGGGCCCTGTTTAACCGTGTTTACGTGGATATGTATAGATATATGTATATGTGTTTGTTTATGTGAATGTCGTTTTGGAACTGTCAACGTGACACCCAGATTTACGAAAACTGTGTGATTAAAACCCGTACTTTAGGAGGTTATTTGTTGCCAATGCACGATCTTAGGCAAATAGCTGTGCTTCGAACCTCCTTTGGGGCTGGGACTTCGCCTCAAAGGCTTTGCCGTGTTCACTATCAGCCACTGTTAATGCTCCACTTAAAGCAAATGTTTGAAAATGATTTACTGTAAAATTGGCGTCTCGTGCGATGTGTGGACCCTGAACAGTTTAAAAAGTTTATCATTTACATTATCTAGCTCCCAAGATAGTTAAACAATGCCTTTGAGGTCACGTACACACACAATAGTTTTGCCATTCTACAGTAAATAGAAGTAAGGTTAACTTCTTACTCGTCGGGTAACTCGGTTCGAAGTACCTTATGTTTCGACGTTATCTAATATACAAATGACCATTTGATTTATAACGCATTCACGTGTTTTTTGTGTGTCCCCACGTTTGCAGGTGATTGAACGAGTAACCGAAGATGTTCGGCGGGTGGGTGCAGCAAAACGGCTCGCTTCTTTCGAGATTCCACTGAAGGTGGTTTTGGATCCTAATCCTTGGACGCCAGAGTCGGGCTTAGTGACGGACGCCTTGAAGATCAAACGTTTTAATATCAAGAAGAAGTTCGAGGAGGATATTAAGAGAATGTATGCTGACTAAACACTCCGTGCTTTATTTAAACTGGAATTTTGATGCATTCCCTCCATCGTTTGTCTCCTCCCATTCATGTTTATTGGCCCTTGGTGTAATTCCTACTTTTTCCAAATCAGAATCGGGTTTTTAGTCCTCCTCCTAGTTGACAATCCGGCGTTCGGTTCTGGGTGCGGTCTCAGTCCGTCCTGGTTGGGCTTACTCTGCCGATGTTGTGTCCGTCAGTATGGCGCTGGCGGGAGGACGTAGTGGGCGTGTATGTGGTTCTTGGTGGGGCTATGTAATTACTCATTGAGCATGGCTCGTGACTAGGTATTATGGTTGGTGTCGTTATGTTTAGTGTTGCAGCTGCCTGAAGTTGGCACAGAAAAGGTTAGTTAGTTTAGGCAAAACCTTCCAGGCCGTTGTGCATAGATGAATTAATTTGGCAATTTGGAACCACTGGCATCTTTAAGCCAAAACTGTGGAAATAGTGGGTAGGAAACCTTAGCGAAGAAACGTCGTCGCCATTAATCTCACCAAAGATTTCATACCTTCCAGATTTTAAGTGAATCTAGAGCAACCTGTTTAAATTTGTTTTATCGAATCGATTTTAAGTCAGTTGGGGTGAACCGCTCACTTTCTGCTCCCGTTGTTTTCAACTATGGATTCTGTTGAGTTGGGTTTGGAATCAGTCGACCCCGAGATTTTTCAGCTTTGTAAGGAAGAAGAGCTGCGCCAGCGCAACTGCATTGAATTAATTGCTTCTGAGAACTTTGTCAGCAAGGCCGTTTTGTGTGCGCTTTCTTCAGCTTTTCATAATAAGTATTCGGAAGGATTAGTTGGTGCAAGGTTGGTATTTTTGCTTTTGAACCTTTGACAGTATCTTTGCAGGTACTACGGTGGGGTTGATGTTGTTGACGCGATGGAGTCGCTATGTATTAAAAGAGCTCTAAAGTTGTTCAAATTGTCTCCTGAAGACTGGGGTGTGAATGTTCAACCCTACAGCGGGTCTCCAGCAAATACTGCAGTCTATATAGGATTAGTCGGACCTCAGGGACGCATAATGGGTTTAAATCTTCCCGATGGTGGTCATCTCACTCATGGTTTCTTCACCCCAAGTGGAAAAAAGGTGTGTTGATTATAACTACTTATTTTCTTATAAATCACATCAATAGGTTTTTCGACTACTTGCTTCACAAATTCTAGCCATCATGAGTACTCTACTCATTGTTTTTCTCCTACATTTGCAAACCAAATATAGTTGGATATTCATGAGTTCATGTGATTGTTTTTGACCAAAAGTGGACAGAGGTTCACATTTGTGTGGTCCTCATTCATGTGTGTATTTGCCGCTCATTCTTCACCTAACTATCGGTGCTTCTGCTGCTCCAACGTTTGTTATTCATGTCGATACCAACCTGGCTACTAGGGTAGGTCCCTTCCATGCACCAAAGTATCTCTTTCTTCCCTCTTTGTTGTAAAGATCAGGCCTTGTTTATTTCATTTCTAATGTTCTTATTTCTGCTCCTCGAGGTCTCGGTCTCCTCGATGTTCTTTGAGTCGATGCCCTATTGCGTGGACCCTAGCACGGGCCTGGTCGACTTCGAAACGTTGGCGGTCAGTGCAAAGCTCTTCCGACCTCGCCTTATTGTCGTTGGTGGTAGTGCCTACCCGCGTCAACTGGACTACGCTCGATTTCGCCAAATCGCTGACTCTGTGGGCGCACTGATGATGGTCGATATGGTAGGCTTCCGAAATTTTTTTTGCAAGTCTAATTCTTATTTCGAGGCAAAGCTCCACGACATCCCAACCATTTTACATTGTTCGACGGTGTAGTGGCGTATGAAAGTGGTGGTGGTGATTGTTGCCCTTGAATGCGTTTAATCATCTCTTCCGTAACCTGGTTAGCTTCCTTGATTATGAGTGTGGCTTTTGATGGTCAGATGTGAGTGGACTTTAAGAATTCACTGCATTTTCTGTCAAACTGCGTCAGTTTTCTCAGTCATTCTCGAATCCTTGAAACGGTTTCGGGCCGACTCTATAAGGGATTTCTATATTCTTGCAGCCTCTTCCTCCAAATTGAGCTTGATCGAACTCTGTTTTAGTGCAACCTAGATAGAAGTTTCACAGTCGCATATCCTTTCCAAGATGGCAATCTGATGCTAGGCTACAGGGCCACGTGGCTGGCTGTCGCAATCGTGTGGTTGTCTGCGAACATGCAAGGCATTATTTCCTCTATCATGATGGCTTCTAAGGAGAAACTCAAACCTTTTTCCGTAATTAGGCGCATATAAGCGGTCTCATCGCCAGCGGCCTGCATCCTTCACCCTTCGAGTATGCCGATGTTGTCACCACAACGACGCACAAGACCCTTCGCGCCGCCCGTGGTGCTATGATCTTCTTCCGCCGACGCAAACTGGCCCCACCACCGAAAAAGATGGCCAAAAACGGTCCTATCGTCGGAGGGGTGAGTGGCGAATGGCTGATCAACGATTTTGGTGCTTTGCTCAGAGTGTATGGAATTTCGATGGCATGCTAGTTGCCTGTGTTTGTAATCAAAGTGCTGTTTGCCAATACTTCATCGTGGGCTATCGTTTAGTTGATTGACTCCCCATTGTTTTAAAGGCGAGGGTACTGGGTCTGGCTACTAATGTCCGTTGTAGTACTTTATTTATCCCTGTTACCCTTTGATCGAAGTATTGTTCGTAAAGCCAGTTTACTTCGTTTTTGATTCACCTGCCTCTCCGACTGTTACCCAATCCAATCTTATCCCTTCTTCACAATTGGCTGCGGTCGGTGCTCCAGAGCATTCTGTATTCGGCTCGCCAAAGTTCCCACTCTTCGGTTTATCAACCCATTCATAAATGGCTGTACGATGGTATTAACTCATGCTCCGGCATGTTTTGCACTGACAACTAGCGCGGCGTGTCACTAAGTTCGACGGGAGTCATGTATCACCCCGTCTGTTACACACAACGCCTCTCATTTCAACAGGCGCGATCATTCGATCTTACTGACCTCGCTTTACCTTTGGGGCAGGTCCAGGCTCGCTGAATCAGAAGTGCCACGTTCTTTACTCTTCATTGACTCGCATTTGAACCTCTGCTCTTTCTCCCAGCAAGTTGAGGTCCCGTTACCTCACCAACACGAATAAATGACGTCATTTTTGCGTATACGCTTCCTATTGGTCCACCTTGCCCACTTTACCCGGTGCTTGTTAGTCGTCTGTACCAACCTTGTCATGTATTACTTATTACTAATAAGCACAATGATTCGGTTCTAGATAAAAAATTGGAAAGCTGGTTTTTACGGCCCTCACTGCCGCCTTGGTACGTTTAATTTAATCGTGGGAGTGTGTCTTGCGATGGAAATTAGATAGAGCTTCCACTAAGTCTCGATTGTAATTTGAGAAAATGAGGGAATTTCCAACTTGATGCCTCAATGTTTTTCCTTCAAACAGGAGGGTGACGGACCTACCTATGTGGCGACGGACTTTGAGCAGCGTATCAACGATGCTGTTTTTCCCGGTCTGCAGGGCGGTCCCCACAACAACAACATCGCTGGCATCGCGGTGGGGCTGCAAGAGGCCCTCCAACCCGAATTCACTCACTACATCCACCGCGTTGTTGAGAACAGTAAATACCTTGCTGCACGGCTTCAGGATCTCGGATACACGGTTAGCTCCCTATTCACGTTGGGATTTGTCTTGAGCGTGCCAAGGTTAGCATTCGGAGGAGTGAATGTCTATGGTTGGGTGTGCTATGCTATGACACTCTATTAGTAGTTTACCATGATTTGTTACCCTTTAAGCATGTGAATCCTAGGACAGGATTCTGTCACATTTTGGGTGTTAAAAACTGGTGTGTAGGCCATGCTAATTTATTTTCACGTGTGATCTTGGTGTGAGAATGAATATCTGTTTTCTAAGGTTTTTTATAAGTTCATTAATGAGTATTCGAACTCATAGTTTAACTATTAGAGAGACCGGAGAAATGATCACTGAATGTCTTTCGGGTACGCTCACGCTCGGATTAATGATAATTTCGTCAAGAGGATGGCTAATTACTTTGCAAATGTGGTTACGCACAATTATCCTTTCGTTTTCTTCCATCACTGCCTATTCCCGTAGGAAGGATTATAATTGTCTGTAGTAGGTAGTCGCTGATACGAAAGAAGGTGGTACAGTGCGTCGTTGCCTTCTAAATCAGAAAAAAGGACTGGGTCGCGACCATGGGAAGGCATTTTGATGGAATCGGATCCGTTAATTGAATTTATGCTCTGTCGTAGGCTACCGCTCAACTTGATGCTATCGCCCTGATATGCAAAGAGCCACGTAACGTTGGTCTTACAAATGGGGTACAGCATCGCCCGATTCCCACCCTTTTGGGTCGGTCAAGTGGATGATGTTCGCTTTGCAATGAGGTGCGATATGGGCGACTTCACCCTCATCGACATGCTGGCCGAGAGATTGAGGGGCCTGTATCGCAGAGGAAAAGCATTTCACTCTTAATTGATCTCTGCCGACATTGCACCTTCTTCTTGTTTAGGTTTTTTGAGCACAAATGCTTTACTGCTGTTATTTGAGTTCATTTGCAAGACTAACGCCGTTCGCTACTTCAGATTGTGAATTCGGAACAGATGTACAGGTAAGTGCCCACTTTAACACCTGAGGAGAGTCAAAACTGCTTTTTTTTCTACTAGTATGTCCAACTGGTAGAGAAGGCAAACTTCAAGGGAATGTTGCGCTCAATTTGTCGAACCCCAAAGGCTGGATATGTCTTCAGTTTATACGCAAGCATTGTTAGCCGTGCGCCTTAGCCCTGGTTAATCCCCGTGCGTCTAATAAATACCACCAGTCGTCGATCAGGAACTAATCGGATCTCGCCATCTCCTGAGCGGTGATACACTTCATCGTTTATTCATGTCTGGTCAATCGCTAGTCTCGAGTGTTCCAACTGGCTGTTTCAAGCAAGGACGCCTCCAACTCTCATGCGTTTGTGCTGACCTATTCGTAGGATTGGCCGCGTGCAGCCGTCTCAACTGGGAATAATTTTGAAATGTTTTCCATGACCGCAGTGGCTGTGGCCGCTTATTCATTGCCGAGCGGGTGTGGTCATTAATAGTGCGATTTCTGTTTAAATGGTTTACTCTATTACTGGGGCAATGAACATTTCTGCTGTCAGTGGCACCAAAATACCCTCTACCTCACTAGGAGTATTTGTTTTAACCTGCCTCCGAAGATCCGTTTTTTTTTATCTCTAATCGTTTACACTGACCACATCCGGAGGCATATTGCCTCGCACGCAGAAGCTTGGCCGTGTGGTCGATCTCAGAGAGTAGTCAACTGGAAGTAACTAGACTCCATAGCACGTTTTCACTTCGGCGGACGCATAAGTCAAGGCTTCGTTTTGAAATTCGTTAGGGAATGCCTCTATGATGCACTGCTCGACGTGTTTCTTCATGGTTTTAAGACACAAAATTTGTCTTGCTCTGTGTTTAGATAACAACTGGTGGCACCGACACGCACCTCTTTTTGATGGACTTCCGACCCCTCAAGATGGACGGAGTGCGTGTCTCCACGGTACTGGAGGCAATCGGCATCACCGTGAATAAAAACACCGTCCCTGGGGACGTAAGCGCCTTTCGGTAAATCATCTTTCCCTCGTTGAAAGAACCTCTTTGCATTAACATCGTCTGCGCCTCGTTTGTTTGACTCAGTTTCGTACTGCTCGTGTAGCGCCTGAGTTATTTTGTTTTTGATGCCTTAGGCACGAAGACTTCGTTGTTGTGGTATAGACTAAAAATCGCAGGAAACTGACAAAAATTGAGTAATATTACGTATAAACGGATCAAATACCACTCTACCACGTTGCCTCCGGTTGATTTGAGCGTCATGCTTGGCACCCTCAGTGACTATTCCTCCACATTAGCCGTCGAAATGATTTTCCATCACACTGGGGAACCTTTCAATTCAGTCTTGCGGGTCTCTATGGTGGCCTGTATGCTAACCCCTTGCATGGAATGAATTTATATTTGGAATTAATCAGGCGAATCGTTTCGGTTCAAATGCTGTTTCCTAGCGAACATATTTCACAGTTGCGCATTAATCAGTTTCCCAGATTTACTTTACTGCTGTCTTGCCGTCCGTCCACGTGGGGAAGCGTCAACTGTTCAAATTTTGTTGATGCCCTGAACATGTGGCTTTCTGTAGATGCGGCTGCAAACATTACCGAGTGGACGACCCAGTAACGCGGTATCGCTTGTCTTGGTTTTAACAACAGATCTCACTGTAAAACGGTCCTAAGCCCACGATTGCAGGAGCTGAAACCACTTCTAGTAGATGCGGCTTGCGCATCGAGTTCCGCCCGCATCGCCAGAGGACTGAAGATGGCATGAAAGGCAGGAGAGGTTTAAAATACTGGCGACGTGGCGGGAGTTGGCAAACGGACTGTTTCCTTGTCCCTGTTTGAGGTGGTTCATTCACCGAACTGGGACGCACAAAATCCACTTGGACGAAGCCACAGATCTTGAACCTTTTCATTCATCAATCCTTGGCTACTTTGAATCACTTGAAAGGGCTTCGCGGTAGTTGCACCTCCTGATCACGGCAATTAAGCTCTTGTTTAGAGGATTTTTTTACATTTTGCCTCAGTCCCAGTGGCATTCGCATCGGCACACCAGCAGTGACCTCGCGTGGCTTCGGCTTGGCGGAGATGGAGCGGGTTGCAGAGTTCATCCACGCCGGGGTGCAGATCGCCTTGAAGGTTGCCGCAGGTCTTAAAACACCGGCAATCAAGGAGTTCGAGGTGAGGCGTAGTCACACTAGAACTGCAAGTTTTGAGCATCTTCCATTGTTTTTCCCATCTCTCAAAGGAGGTGCATCAAGTTCTGGATGTTTCCTCGATGTTCAATTTCCCTCCTAGGCTGCTCTAAGTCTCAACGCCGAGGCACAAGCTGAGATAAGGAACCTGAGGAGAGAGGTTACCGAATTTGCTGCAACTTTTCCTCTGCCAGGATTCTGATTAACAAGCATTTTATAAAAAACCCTAAAATTTTTACCAATAAACGTTTTCTACTACAAAAACGGGATTTTCCAGGGATAAAGGCGATTGTTGCGTGGTCCACATTGGGAGAGCCCTTTCGCTGGATTAGGTTCCGTGCTGATCTAGACGGACCTTCTCGTTTCCGCGATTTGTATTGCCGTTTTGGCACTATGAGGTGTCTGCGTCCGCAACTCCTCAGTATGAGGTTGGTGGAGCACCAATGCGGACGTGCACCGTTTTGTTGCTGTCGATGGAATTGTGGGACCTTGGTGAAGGCACGAGGCCCAAGTTCGGCACCCTTATTGCGGCGTCTGCTGCAACATGATGCGTGGGGTGCTGTCGTACACTTGAGGCCTCTCCCTTTGTCTACACCACAAAGATCGCGAATCACTGAGATGATGTGGCACGGAAGAGAGGTCAGTTCCCCCATGGACGGGATTCAATGGCGTCAGGTACTTCGCACTTCGGATCAGTCCACCCAACTGAAGGATGGTAGGGCTGCAGTTTGTTTACGCCACTTTCCGATTGTTGAATCTAAACGAGAATGGGCTTTTTCCTTTCTGGTATGACTATTCTCAGAAACGCAAATGGTGGTGGGGAAATACATGTCTTGAAAGCAATGTAATCACGTGACTTGGGGGCGCGACAAGACACTTATCATGCTATCAAAAAGGGCGGCTTGATTTATGATGCCGCCAATTTGTTCAGTTCATCATAAAAATGTCTGTACTTGGCATTCCTTATTAGTTATTTATAATTTCAAAGATTCCCTTTGGGGTATTAGATTATTTTCTTACAAGGCTGGGAAACTACCGCAGCAGGATCGCTATTGGTTCGATTGCATTATAGGATACTGAAGGCAACTTTCGAGTGAAGAAACTCACACATTTGGTAGAGTTAAAAATTTGTCTCACTTTTGTAGCGTCCCAAGACTCCCTTAAGACGAAAGAAGACACAATACTCGGGCAGAATATATATATTCAGCACGGAGAAGGTGTCTGGGCTATTGGCATGGCCCAAAAGGCCAGCCCACCCAGCGAGGTACAAGGGGGCTAATTCGAAGTACAAAAGTGGCGCCTCACCAGAACCGAGGGATAAACCACTATCGTATTACATAGCCTCCCTCCTCTTTTGAGTGTCGTCCCCGACGTTCCAGCAAGTCAACCTCCCGCGTCAGCACTTACAACGTAGTCGGTGCAGTAAGGAAACACCCACGAGCCAATCGTGCCAGTCACCAAATTAGCGCGCAACTGAGGGGATACTTGACCTCAACGCCACTGATCCCTCTTGGCGGCTTGACTGGATCTGGGGTTTCGCCCGGTTTAGGGATTTGATTCAGGACGGGGAACTGCGTCGGCCATCATGCGTGTCCATAGATAGATGTAGGAACACTGGCCTGAAAGTAGATTTGAGTAATGGAGGACAAGATTTAGAACAAGTCCATGGGAGACGGTAGGGGAAATTCGTAACGGAATTTCCAGATAGTTCACGGCTAATGTCTCTTCAGTTGTTAATAGCTTTTCTGCAGAACACGGGACTGGGAGAGATGCCGAAGGTAGACGTCGACATCAACCCTTCTGCTAGGAGTCATCACCATTCTCCCATCCGTAGCATATGTACTTCTTCCGCCCCACTAAGGCTTATCACGCAGAAGTAGAAAATCAGGATACGTGTCTTTCAAGATCGGGTTCGCTTTCCGCTGCCACCAATGTAGCGTCCCGAGACTCCCTTAAGACGAAAGAAGACACAATACTCGAGCAGAATATATATATTCAGCACGGAGAAGGTGTCTGGGCTATTGGCATGGCCCAAAAGGCCAGCCCACCCAGCGAGGAACAAGGGAACTAATTCAAGGTACAAAAGTGGCGCCTCACCAGAACCGAGGGATAAACCACTATCGTATTACACTTTTGATTGGAAAGTTTTTGATATAAATAGCAGTGTTTTCAAATTCCTGAAGTCGTCTACTGCAGTGATTTGCTACTTGATTTATCTAGCCGAGCAATTCAGACTTCGCAGGTTGTACTTCCAGTCTATGCCATGGCGGCAAGCCTACGTCAGAAAACGGTAAGTTAGGAACGTAACAGTATAATTGCATGTTTAACGCCGTTTTGGGTGCGCAAACAATTAAGGGCTTGTATATTGTAGTTCTCCCCAGCCTCCTAATCCTTCTATGCGACGATAATACATATTGTGCCCGAGCATTATATACAGTATGATATTTCTTCCACAACACAATGACTGGGGCACATTCCTCAGTGTTGATTTTTCTAAAAATTGCGCAGAACTGTTAGTGTCTGTTTAGCCTAAAGTTTCGATAAAGAAGGCCCCTAGGTGCTCCGCTATTGTACCTTTGCCGGGTAGGCTGGCACTCGGGCCAGGCTAGTAGTCTTACATCCTACCGTATGTCTTGTACATATATTGTTCCCATGTACTATGCTTCGATAGCTAAAATAACATCCAGTTTCGCAAAGTCGAACTGATTCAATACCACGAGGTGAATTTCGGACAAAATTACGTCTTTAGAATATTTAAAATAAAAAACAGTTCTTATACCCTAAGAGTCATTTGCGCAAAAATGGAGCACTTTAGCAAGACTGAAAACGTGTTTTAACAAAAGGATGTTTGTTTATACCCCAATTCAACAACAGTAGGGTCAAAATCTAAAAATACACTAGTTATGTTTTGCGTTTTAAAAACCTCTACATTAAGAACAAAATTGGCCACAAAAATTGTCACAATTTCTATGTAGTGTTGCAATACTTCTCTCACACACGGCTTACGCATAATACGGCAATATTTCACCGGACATTTAAAATCGTAGGTTGGGAGCCTTTTTGTCGGCAAATGTCGCGAACTTTTAAAGCAGAAGAATGAATTCGCTTGCTGGTGGTGCATCCTCCGTAAGTTGATAACTGATCGCCAGTTGTAATTTGTGTGTAAAGTGTGCTGATGCCAATCCGTTCTTTAAAATTTGGATGTCTTTTTAAGGATCAGGATGTAAGGCACCGTGGAAAAATTGAGACGTTCCGTTATGATTCTAATCCACAACTCCCTCCTAACCTCTACATTAGAGAAGACCTGATCTCCTTTCAAGCGGAGTTTCCCGATGCGGTCGTCTCCTATGATTCTATTAAATTAGCGGACAAATTGCAAACCATCCATTCAATTCACAGCGCTTCTAAGAAAGATGAAAATTCCGTCGTATGGAGACTGAATCACCGGCTAGTTTCATATTGGTCCTCCTTTTTTGGCTACTTGTCTCCTGTTATTCTTGCGTACAGCCAGTACAAAAGTGCTGGATTTCCTTGGGCTATTGGATGCTTGCCACCGTCTCTCATCACAGTCTTGTCAGTTCGTTGGCTCGAGGTCTCCCCTCCCGCCGTAGCAGTCGATGCCATTTCTACTCTTATTAACTTGGAGTCAGATGACGTCATCATCGATCCAACTCTGCCCGATTTCGATCCCGCTGCAATTCTTTCTCCCACCGAAAAATCCTCCGATTTTGTCGAGTGGAGACGGTGGCCCTTAACTTATGTGGATCCCTACCCACAATGGCGTGTCCTTGCCCTGCATGTCAATCAGTTTGTTGGTATTGGATACAGTAACGGAGCTATTGAGATCATAAACCTCAGCGATGCTAATTATCCTCCCATATTCATTCAGCAACCCTGCAATTCGGACTTCGCACCAATTGTAGGAATGAGCTTTTTGCGGGACTCTTCCTACCTCGTGGTGTGCCGATTTTCGGGCGAAATTGAATTGTGGCATCTTAAAGACAAATCTGTTGGTTTTTCCGCCCGTTTAGTTTCGCAAAAGCTTCACCACTCCTTTATATTCTCTTCTGTATTTGATGCCGAAAACTCCCTCCTTGCCGTTGGTAGCGAGTTTGTGGGTACACCGAGAGACCATCTGACAGTCCTTTCAATCGATAACCTCTCGTCTTTCTCTCTATTCGTTCCTCCTAAGACGACTGTCTCCGGAGCTGGTGTCCCCGCGGCATCTTCAAAGCTACGCTCTCTTATGCGTTCAATTTCTACTCGACAAAACGCTAATCTAGCAGACGGATTCGCCAGTCTTTCTCTATCTCCTGGTGGTAATCGCCTCGCTGCTCTGCACTGCTCTCGTGCTATTTCCGTGTGGTCGTTTCCTGCATGTTCTCTTCTTACCACCATCATTTCTGACGCTGTGGCAATCGACAGCTTGACAGTCGCATGCAAACCGCTTTCGCCATTCCTTAATTCCAAAATACCGGTGCCGCATCAATTAAATTGGTGGAGTCGGAATCCCACTGATCCGCTGTTGGCCATTCTCAAAAGTGACGGTTCCCTCTCAGTAATCGATATTGAGACCATGGAGAATCAGTTATTTAATGTAGACCATAATCAGGATGATGAAAGCATTCAATTTTCTCCATTTTCATCCTTTGCGGTTGCCAGTGTCATCAATTCCACTGTAACTGAGTTCTTCCTTCTTGACAGTTCCATGGAATGTCCTCCTAGGAGAGAGAAAAAAGTTCAGCGCCGCAGTAGTTCACAGAGGGGTTATATCAGTGCGTTAGCTGCAGCGCTGGGCATTACAGGGAAGTCGGAGTCCGAGAATGAGGTTACTGAACCTCTGGAAGAAGCCTCTTCCACGTTCATGAGGGCTAACGTAGTTCGCATTGTAGCGACCTCTCGTCGTGAGCTTTTCATCCACCGTCTTCGATGCTGCCGATTTTCTGAAGCACGGGCTCTCACTACTAACAATAACGATGGTGCCGATGGTGCAGAACTTGATCCGGAATTCGCTTGGCAGTATCAAATGCTTGCACTCTTCCATTTCCCTCTCAAACCTATCACATTTGAAAAAATTGTAGCAATTAGCGCCTCAAAAATCACAAAGCGGGTAAATTGGCTCCTTCGAGCGTGTCTCCACGAAATTCCTTGCATTGATGTGAGCTGGAAAACAGTAGACCTCTTTCGTACAGCAAAATCTCTTCTAAAGGCGGGCCTTTCTCGCTCCTCCAACGCTAATGTCACTGTAATGTTCCAGGAACGGCTCTACCAATTAAAGGTGTTGACAGCCATCTATGCTGAGGAGTGTGCTTTGTCTCTCTCGAATGAGACTGGTGATGACCATGCTGAAGACGAGGTGCAGAAATGGTGCTTGGAGTTGGAGGCCTATCGACAAAACTCCCCGCTAGATATTGCTCTCTGGTACTTGCAAACTCAGCGCTACGCAGCGTTTGGGATTTTAGTATCCCATTACTTTAACATTCTAGTTCCCCATCTTATTAGTCTTCTTTCAACTGTCCCTGCAACTGAATCGCCCGCTAAGTATCTTCGACTGGTTAGATTCTTCCCCTCAGAGTCGATGATGGAACAGCCTACCATGAGTAGGTTCTCGGAGAGTCGTCACAAAGATGCTACCGAGCGCTTATATTCCCTTCTTCCTAAAGACTTTCGATGGGCTAATACCACTCCAAGTATAGTAAATCTTGCTCATTGGGCTTGTACAAGGGCCTACGAGCTGGATCGGCTTTCCGGGCTTGCCACGGAAGCTGACGAGTTGTTGACAGTAGTCATTGAAATAATCAAGGATTGCAATAAAGATAAATCAGACGCGAAATGGCGTCGTTCAAAGCGACGTGCTTTGGCACTGCTGCAAAAGTACTCCGATGAAGTGGTCCAATTCACGACGGTAAGTTGGAACTGATTAATCTAAACTCTACTCTAGATCCTCTACCGTGCCGCCCCCGGCTATAGCTTTTCCAACACCCTTCGACGCAAGATTGATCTCGGCAGCCAATTGGTGTCCTTGAACCGTCTAAAGCTGGTGGAATTTCATCAGCTTACTTTTGAACAGCGGTTAGAACTTCTCATTTGCGTATGCATCGCCGCGCCATCGAAGGCAACAGCCGCGGATGTATGTAGTGTACTGACGCGGCACCTCCTCCCCTTCCTCACCTGCCATGAGAAGTCCTCGGTGGAGTCTCGGCTGAAGCAGTGTCTTCTGCGGGTCGCCGAATACGCCGCCACCGGTCTGGAGGCGGTTTGCATGCTCGTTAATAGATGGCGGCATTCGGACGTTGAAGTTATCGCGTCGCTTGAAGGTAGAATGTAATCTTGTATCAAAAGTTTACTTTTTGTATGTCACGGAGCAAGATAATTTCGCTTTCTTGTTTACCGATAAGGCCGTGAAGTATTCTGGACGGTCTGAGACAAGCCTAGCTAATATGATTGATGAAAATAAGATGTTCCCCCTTGATTTGTATACTTTAGTTTGTACTACACAAATTGTTTGGAGCAGTTACGTACCCTTTGTATTCTTCTATTACTAATGCTAGACGGCTTTAAAGGTGGCACAGCTTCATTACCACGGTAGCTTCTTTTGGAGTCTCGTTGTCAAGCGCACCCACTGTACCTAATGTGTAATATGCTTTGTTGTTGAACCAAGGATTAATCAAGTGGAACTATTTATTCAGGCATCTCCTTCGAATCGTGCATTGTCGATTTCCTTATCGAGTTCACACCACCCTCAACGGAGGACTCCGAGGTCTATTTGACGCACGTTCAGCGGATCCTCTCTGGCCTGCGTGCCGAAAAAGGGGACAAAGGGAGCTCGCTTTATCGCTTATCCGAATGTTGTGAGGCCCTCCTTGACTATCACTCACTTGTTCGTGAAATGGGCTATCTCGTTCCCCCACAGGGTGTACCTACATCCCTTGGTGAAGCGCTTTCCATCAGTACAGGCGATGAGTCACGACTCATACAACTTGTCAGTCGGTGGATTCGAGCTACCCTCGTCGCAGAGGGCGAGGCAATGGCGAAGAAGTCGCAGATGCAGGAGAGCTCACGAGGTATCCCATCATCCCCCCTTCATGCTATGAAACGCTTCTACTTCTATAACCGTCTCTCGAGTACTTCTGACGATGCTTCTACACTGCCATCAGAAAACAAGGACAATGACAATGAGACGCTCATGAGGCAAGTTATCTCCGCACTTAATTCCTCTTTATTTTAAATAAACTCGCGCCTGAGTAGGCAATCCTCTTTCCCACCTTGTAGCATCTTCCATCGTCTTTGCACCGCTCTAACAAAGCTACTCGGTGTCAACTTGAATGAGAGAGCACGCTTCCACCTGCTTGTTGGTGTGCTGTGTTCAGGGGACCGACGTCTTATAGATTTTGCAAGGACTTCACTGGCGCAGGGGCAGGAAAATGATCCCACCTGGCGTGCAGCACTTCAGTATGCTATCATTGTCTATTTCGATGCTACACCAGCGTTTGGAGTTGGTGAGGTGAATGAAGAATTGGGTGCTCTTTGCCTCTCACTCCTTCCCTCCCCTGAAGACTCACCAGAGTCCTCATTTTACGGAGCTGTGAAATTCCTCTCCGGCGTCGATCACCTAAACGGTCGTACCTCTCGTCTACCCTCTCGGTCGACATGGGCAAAAATGTTGCCGGAGAGAAAAGTGGAGCTCTTCACCGTGGCTCTGCAAAATCTCCTGAATCTAACATACATGAATGAGGTAAACCTCATTCAAGCGGGAAAATACTTTGAACTCTCCGAAGTGGACGTAAATCGGTGCTTCTTGAAGGCAGCAATTCAAGTCGCCACAATGAAGTCGCTTTGCAGTGCTGCAGTTGAAAGGACGGTGGCGCTAATGCAGAAAATCCTTTCTGTTCCTGTCCCTTCGGCATGGCGCGAGCTTCGACTGTGGAGTCGTGCACCTGTGGGAATTTTGGCGTCACTCTTCCCCGGCGTGGAGAACTCAGTAGTCGAGAGGTTCCGTTTAACTCTCGCTCGATTCGTGATTGCTTACTCCGTTCACGAAGCAGGCTGCAGTGAATATGCAGAAATTTGTGCCGAGTTCGCAGAAACTTGTGCTTCGCAGAAGTCCCTCGCACTGGAGGCTGAACATTGTTCCAGCGTGATGCAACGTCTACTCTCTGCCCTCTCTTCATCCTCCCACGAACCTACTGTGCATGAGAATAAACCCTTCCAACCCTGTAGTTTCTACCTATCCCCCTTGGATCCTACTGGACTTGAAGATTTCTTCTCGTCGTCTCCTCTTTCTGCATCAATGTCAGCGTATTTGTCAAGCTGGTCGTTAGCGGAACTCCGAACGAAAACTGTTCAGGAGGTGTGGACAAATGATTGCCTTCATGCAAAGAGTCTGGATGTTGGACTCTCTTACGCCTACGGTCCACCACTGGGACAGAAATCGCGAAATTGGACCAAAACTCTGTGTACTCGACTTTCCGAGGCTATCCGTGTCGGTGCCACTGACAATCGTGAGATGGAAGACTATCGGCTTGTGGCAGCTAGTATTTCCGCAAGTCCTCAATTGGCATCTGACTCTGAGGAAGTCTTTCCTCCGATACAAACGCTCCTGGAATCTCTGGCACGCCTCTCGGCCAAGCATCCACGCATTGCCAGTTGGCGTTCGAAGGCTCTCGTCTCGCGACTAGTTAGCCATCCAGACAAATTCTTCTCCGACGCAGCCTACAGACGCAACGAGCTATTGGCGATATCACAAACTCGCCCAGAAGTGTCTCTACTCCTGGCAAGGCACATGGAGGAGTCAGGCTCGCAGTTGATATTGACGAACCTCTCAGAAATCGTATTCTCCACGGGTGATGTTGACGCAGAGGTTACTAAACGCCGGCTAAAGGAGCTCTCGCCCTACCTCAAACGCGATGTTCCTACAGCCGATCTTACTTCCTACCTTCAAGAGACTGTTGATCCACGAATAGAGGCAATTCCTCTGTGGCGTTTGCTCCTCCTCTTGAAGGTCATTCTTGTGGTCATGGGTGGCCAGGACACGGGATTGCGTCTTCGTGGCATAACTATTAAGAAGCACATCGAGTTTATTAGCACGGTAATTCAACTGGATACACTAGTTTACTTCACCTTTTTGTCAGCCTTAAGTAAGGTAAATGAAGAGGATTTTCTTGCCTCCGTTCAACCCTACTTAACCTCCAAATCGGAGGTGGAGTCTCTGACTGTCCTAGTCCACCAATCAGATTGTCGCTTGGCTGTGAGCGATGCTCAGGTTTATGCAACCTATGCCACCCGTCTCCTCACCAACTCCGACTGGCCAATACAAGATTGCCTCGACTGTTTAGATGCCATGATAACACACGATGGTGACGCATCTGTACTTGTGGAGTGGATATCGAGGAGTCTCTTCGGAGCCGAGGCCCCTGGTCACTTGATAGACCTTGAGGGACGAATGCAATTGGTCGACTCCGCCTTCCGCGTTGCGAGTACCAAGTGAGCTGCGTCTTCTCAATTTTTATCAAATTCGATGATTTCCACTGTGGGAATTTGAGATTTGTGTGGTTTTTAGCCGAGAACATCCCTCCAGAACTCGACGCTTAAATCAACTTAGAAGGTACTTGATGACTTAGGGCTTGGAGCCTAAATTCCAGTTGCATCGGAAACTGTCATCACGCTGGACATGTCCGTATAGCGGCTAGCGTTGACCAGTAATTGTTTTTAGAAGCTGAACGAATCAGCAAAAGCTAAACAAATTACTATTCATTGCGTTGCAGGTCGTCTGATAATGCGTCAGTGGAAAAGTTGAAGCACTTTAAAGCAGACCTTCAACGACGAATCGATTGGATCAGACAGTTTGCAGACCGGTCCTTCCTAAGCGAACCTCTTCAACAACGTCTTCTGCTGCACCACTTTGAAGACATTGGAACAGGATCTGTTTTGGTTCTTCAGGCTGTTCGAGAATTCCTCTCCGCAACTCGTGGCGACGCTGGTGAAACCTTCAGCACTCTCCTCTCTACCTTCATCGACTTCACGCAGCGCATCGCAGGACTGTTGTATGTGGATTTCAAGGAGGTAGGTTCGAGTTACCGCTTTTCGGCTGACAATGAATGCATAGTTTCACTGCTCTTTTCCGTTTGTTTTTTTTTTCTAGATTTTATTAAAGGCCTTGTGCGAAAGTATCAATGAATTCCTCACCACAAACTTAGCAGATTGGATCTACTTGGATCCATTATCGCAACGTGATCTTGAAAACTCGGATCGGGTGATTGTAGAATTCGTAAAACCAAACCGGTGGAGCAGCAAGGCTTAGTGATCTCTCTTCTCCTCTCGTGGTCCGCTCCTCGTCAGTTTTTTGGACGTGTCCTTCTCGAAGTCGATCCATCTTGTGATAATCGTTGCATTATTGCTCAAAATGCCTTCAATCATGTGCTTGTGCGGTATAATTTGGCTTACAATTCGTCGGACGATGTGATCTCGAAGCTGATTGCCTTTCTCCAAGGTCACGAAGCTCCGGCCAATCCGATTGTTTGGCTATTGGGTGATGGTGGACTAACCAATGAAAATCTTATTCAAGCAACCGCGGTGGCCATCGAATTGGCGGGTTATTGTTTGACTGAAAATGCAGACGTAGTATCTCAAAATGAGAGTACTTTGTGGGAAAGTTGGTTGGAATGCTTCGGTCGACATCACACCTTGCCAGAACTGTCAAGGCAACTGGTCTCGCGAGTGCATCTGGCTCGCCTGCCCAATGTAGCTTATTTGACTGCTGTCGGGGCTCTCGAAACAGATGACACGAGCTTGAGAGAGGCTGTCAACAGTTGCCGACTTCTTTTACCTCCTCCAACTGCCACTACTGCTGCTGCCAATCTCCCCGCTGATATAAACTTGGATCCAGTTGCCTGTCGACGATTCCTCAGCAGAGTCGACACCTGGAGGACGTCAGCATTTCCTGTCTCCATGCTGAAAGCAGTTTTGGAGGTTGCTGAAGATGCGCGTTATGATGCTTTCTTGCGACACATTTTGTGTGAAATGCGTAGTTCTGGTGACGCTTGGATGGAAGTAGTCCTTATAGGCAGAGCCCACCTTTCGCGAAAACGGCGCTTGACCACCTTGGACGAGGTGTTGAAAGCTGTTGAAAACTTACTGAGCGAATGAGTTGTCTTTCCTCCTGCACTTTTTTACAAAGTCTCCACTTTAAACTGCCTCTTTGTTTGCATGGAATTAATCTATTTTTTTCCAAAAAAGTGAAAATGTAGATCCTTTAATGAGAGCAGTTTTACAACGTAATCAGGGTGTGGAGGGGGGGATAACCGTCGCCAGTCTCTACCATCTCGACGATTCGTTGCAGGAAACTTCTATCAAAATGAACGATGGATGGCTATTGTATTAGGCCTAGGTATTGTTACCCGAGCGCAGAGAGAGCAGACAGCTGGTGTGCGTTGCGAGAGTTCCAAGTCAGAGTTGACATAATCGGCTGAAACTACTAGAAGTGGGTCAGTTGAAGGGGGAAGCCGACCTAAAGAATTCCACACGGCCTGAGAATTGAGCTACAACATGAACTGAATCCCTAGGGCACGAAAAACTAGGATCTTTGGCACAAACACAAAGGCCGTCAGCAGGGTACGCAATTCTGTAGCCCCACAGCGGATGCCGACAGCCATACCACTCGTGGACAAACTCTCCGTAGAGGACCGGAAACATCCACGGTAAAGCCATAGCCAACCTGCGTGAGGCCACAGCACGTGATACTTGAGTCCACTTGATTTTAGGGCGGCACTAAAACTGCCCGCACTTGCATCTTCGTATCCAGTGGAAACGAGAAGCAACAACCTCCAGCTCACAAAATTTTTACGTACCCCACCGTAAGAGTCGCTAGCCTGAAGCGAAGATGACTTTGTTTATGCGTTAGAAACCGCCCGCTTTTATGGATAGAACCCTCTTTCCGAACCTCTGCCATCATAACTATGAAAAAAATTCCAAAAGTTTATGAAAACATAGAAAGGAGTGAATTCATGAAAAGCTGGACAACACTGACAACAGACTTGAGACAAACTGGGATCACAGTGTGTGGAGGAGGAAAGTGGCATCGACTGAAACAGAGCTCCGCTAATCCGAGATCACGGTTTTACTCCGTCAGCGTCATTGGATTCCAGAGGTCACACACTGATGCACCCAGTTTGGCTAATCAGGAAAAGAAAGGGGACTAGGACCTTGGCATATGGGGATTGCTGTTGGAATTGAAAGACATTCCAGGGGAAGCAGAACCCGGGGCCTGAAACTGTAGGTGTGCGTCGATAATTGATAGAAGCTCCTGTGGCTGGGGTAGCCTGTTGGACTGCAGCTTCGACCAGACTGGTATATCTGTTGAGGTCCAACGAAAGAAAAACAACTAATTTCATAGAAAATTGTAAATTAAAAGGGAAATCTATTAGAATTTTGGATAACAAGGCTCGAATACGTATTTCAGAGCATTGACACATTAAAGGCTTTCGTTTGATGCGAAATTAATAAGAACTACAAATACTTTCTACAAGTGGAAAGGATTTAATGCTGAAAATGACTTTATTCTCAATTCGACGCGTCTATGCGCTAAGGTCAAAGGCACGGTAATGCTCAATAAGGGTCATGCGGATCGGAAATGAACCTACTCAAACGGATGAAAAAACATCCACCAAAAATATGGCAATAGCATACAATAAAGTGGCCCAATTAAAAGCTAATTTAAACACTTACAATGCATGGTTAATGGTTTGTCACAGGAACAACTACATTCAACAATTTTAGGTGTGAACCGTGTGTTATTACAAATAAGGCATGTTAAAGCAGTGAGTTCAATGTGCCTACCACATCCGAAAAAGTAAAATAAAAATGGTGATTTTGTATACGTGGGCGCCGAGTAACTTGTATTCCAATGCAACGCAAATGTGAAGTCATGATGTTTCATGAAAATGCAAAAATGATTGAGTTATTTACTGGGATCCAATAATAAGTGAACAACTGTCCAGACCAAAGCCATTTTCTCAATTCATGCCAAAATCATACCAAATGATGTTCAAAGTTCTCCAAAACAAACAAAAAATGGCAACATATTAATACGATAGAGAATGATAACAGGCAATTCAAGTCGTGTGATAGCGTGCGCGAAGTACAGTCACCAATACATTCTGTGCTTTGCATACAATCAGGAAAATGTATGAAATTAACACTATTGAAAAAAAAACAGGTTCAAAGTTATTATTACTCAGCAATGAATATAAAAGTCAATAGAGAAATAGAGGTCAAAATCTATAAGGTAGTGAAAATACCAACGAGCCCTAATGTCAAAAAAAAGGTATCGGAACGCACAAAGCCGTGATGAAAGCAAAGCAATAAATCGGCCTTACGAATATTTACAAAATAAAAAAACTTTCCCGTGAGCAAAACAAGGCCCTTAAAAACACCACGAATTTCGGTGGATCAAAGAGGGCTCATAATAACAAAGACAGGAAGTATTGTAAGTATCAGTGAAAGTCATACCATTGAACGAGATCTCAAATGCACCCGTGGATAGAAGCTGGCCTTCGATAAGGCCGCCAATGAAGAAGCACATCAAGCAAACTGAAACCTTAAATTATAAAATAAGACGGCAACTATGAGAAAAGAAGTAACGTAGCATTATAATCATAGATGTAAAGGCTTACTTTATTTTCATTTGCATACGTCATAAAGTTTGGGGTACCAAGGCCAAAGTAAGGGAAGGGATTAATGCCTGCTATTACTAGGGCTAAAAATAAGAACTTCAAGGTGGTGACAATTTTAGCGGCAAAAGCTCGCCACTGCGGCGGGGGGTAGGTCGTTCCTTCGATATTGAGAATGGGATATCGCTGAACGACAATATGGGCCAACTCCTCGTAGGCCCTTCTGTACCCTCAGGAAACGCTATTTTGGACGTGCATGCGACGCAGCTCAATGACCTACCAGTACTGGAATCGGAGAGTAGGCACAACCGGTTGTGCGTCTTTTAATTCTGGGAATTCTTTTACTGGTTCTTTGGAATCCTCAGTTTCAGCTACATCGGCCATATCCCGGAGCGTTAATATGCCAAAAACGATGGCGGAAGCAAGCAAATAGATTGCAAGCCGCTCCATTAAATGGCATCATTCTAAACAGTTGACACATAGCATGTAGTCCCTAATCATAAAAATAATAATCTCGAATCCTAAAAGCTGGCAAAGGAACTGTATGTAATTAGCCATCCATTAATTTTTGGACCTCTTTGACCCACAAAGAAACAATTAATTTATGGTTAAAAGTTAAATGAATTTAATATCATAAGGGCCAAGAAAATTTTACTGCGCTGCAGAAGAGGAATAGGGTTGCAAAGTCATTGCAGCCATCCAAAAATATACTGAAGATAATTTTAATAATCTAATTTAATACATTCTAATTAGCCATTGAAATGTATGGCCTGTCGAAATTGTTAGTTGGTAACGCATAAAAATGACCGAATACACCTGCCTAAATCAGGGAAATTTTACTGTAATATTAATGGCTTAAAGTAGTCGATTGTTAGCCTGATACTCATTGTTGGTTAGACTTGTGGCGTTCCCTGGCTTTATTAATAGAAATAACGGCGTAAATGTTAAGTCAGTGGAGGATACATGATGACAAGTCAAATCTTCCTCGAAGTCGCAAAAGGCCGAAATACTATGGCAGGGTATGCATTATTAACGTGGTGAAGAGCCAATGTACCGTTAAGATAGTTTAAATTCACACAGCGGATCGGAAGAACAACACGGAATTTAACGCGCATTTAAAAAGGCATTTTAGCCAAGACTAATGAGCCATCTCATCAGTTCCACTGTATTCAGAGATTTTTCCTAATTGTAAACTGTAATGCAGAGTGAGTATGTACTGACCTCATCATACTCACGATCGGACGGTGCTATGCAACGGACGCATTTCCTATACCACCGTCCGGTCGCGAGGATATTGATTGACTCAACAGCAGGACCATCTAGTGGAAGACAAGATTTGAAGTAGTTTTACGGGGCTGGTGTTTTGCATCCATATCTCTATGCCACACTGTTTCCATTTCAGCACCGCTTAGCCACCTACCCGTCTGGGTTTCATTAAGCTAGTAGAGACGCACAAACCACCGGAACAGACTTTTTGAATAGATTCGAGTTTAGTGTCACTCCAATAGTTAGTAGTACCCTCGTAGGACTCGAGATTGTGACAACTGCCGAAAGTTAGGCGTCTTCACGGATCCACCCATCCGTCGCAGATGACGCCCCTTTGTCGCGGCAGGGACTGCAGAGTGAAATGAAACCCGCGAGGACTGAAATGTCCCGCGGTTCAGCACCTACGCGAACGCAATTCCAAGTCACACTAAAATCACTGAATCATTTTAAGGTCCTGAGAAAACAAAGTAGTACTTCCCCCCACTTCCTGACAGAAACAATCACGAGACGCATTTAGGTGCTACTGAATCCTAGCTAGAACTAATTTGATGAAAATGTCCGAACGCGTTAAACACATTGAAATTATTCGCGTCTTCCTTGATGTTCTAATAAACCACTCCATCACAAATGTTGACAACAACTATCCTTAGGCGCAGACAGAGCGCCCTGATACCGAGCGGAAGTACAACCCGCAGAGGCCAGGTGACCAGACCCACTGACAAAGTAAACACCGCCTCATTTCCCTACGAAAAGATGACAAACCGCGCGGCCTAACCTGCGCTTAAAAAGGTGCACCTCCAACGTAAGAAAAACGAAAGTCTCTTCATTAGGCGCCAAAAAAAGTGCATATACAGAGTCGTGGGATGCAAAACTGAAAGTCAACTGGTGGGCAAGCGGAGGGACTGGGGGAGGGGAAAGAGGACACAGATCGGAGCAGAGATGACACAACATGGTGTGGAGTGGAGATTGATTCCTCAGTGTCCACCGATGCTACTGTTGCGTTAAATTTTCCGCTCCGGACTCCTTCAAGGCCCCTCCACCAACGCCACACACGATGGGACGCGCCCATTCCACGAACTCGTCGATTAGCACCGGCCAGGCACCTTAAATTCAATTTTCACATACACACACATCTAAAAGCTTGCATTAAGTCCCCAGCGGAGTAGTCTGTAACTATAAATTGATCAGAAAGCATGAAAAATTATTTGAAGCCTTGAATTGGCGATAAAAATGGCAGTTTAGCTAATCCAGCAATTTCCATGCCACGTCAAGTACTTGCTACTGAAGTGGATAGGAAAGGGCTTCGATCAACAAATTTACTTTCCATTCCATCAAAAAGAAGCTCTCTCACCAATGGGGATATTATAAAAGTGGTAGTGTTTCAAAATCTGCAACAGCTAACGAAATAATGACAGAATAAACCAAGGTAAGGCACATGAACACATTATTTAGACGTGATATTGCAGAGGTATGAAGGTACATCTTGGGAGAATATGCAGAGCCGTTTATCTTCAAGATGAGGCCAAATTACTGGGCCTAGAGATCACTGGAAAGAGAGTTTCACCAGAAAATATCCACAAAAGACGTGGAGCAGAAAAGGCAGACGATGAAAGGCTTGACAACCTTCATATACTTGTCAGCGTCGACAAGAGTGGCTCTCGGCCACAGTGATTCCAAGCTTACACCCATCTTAAGCTTCACAGGTATTGGGTGTTAAAAATGGGAAGAATGCCTCATGACCGCTCGGGGAATGTTGCCACATAACCGAATTAAGTATTGTTAGGAGCGTTTAGTTTGCCCGGTTATTGCCAACAATGTATCGAAAGCAGTTAATAAGGGTTCCAAGAGCTGTGGATCAACGTAACGAACGATGCAGGAGATTACTGTCTAGTCCATGATTAAGACAGTTGTGCAGGGAGACCAGAAAGACCCTGCTCCTTTACATACAACTTGACAGATAGGGAGGTGAACTGCTTCCACCAACTAGGCCCCTATTTAAGCCCAGTGGAGAAGTGTTGGAGGCGTTGTTGAATTCTCGAGTCACACGCTTCGTCACAAGGACCCAGTGATGACTCCTACGAGGAACGTTGCGTGCGTCACTAATAAGCACAGGTGGACAGCATGCACCAGTATGTGGTAATACAAGACTACTTGCATATTTTTACAGTCTCTGAATTAAAATTGCGTCAGCATTTTGTGCCAATGGCAGTCGACAGCTTTTATACGAGTGGCAAGGTATTCAATTGTCGGGAGTGACTTACTAAAAATCCAAGATAATTAATAAAAAACCCAGGTGACATTTGCTTGAATGTGAACGGGGATTATGGTCAAGGGTAGGATGAGAACTGGTAAATTAACTAATTTTCAACTAGAAGTCACCAATCAAAATTAGCTGTTGATGTTTCCAGACAAGTGACAAGAAGTTACAGGATAAGAAACCAAAAGAAGTGACCCAGATTAAATTAATTTTCAACAGCCTCACACACAAAGTACTACGACTTGATCTATGTACTTTCGTCGGCTACTTATCTCAATTGAAATAATTAATTTGAAGTCATTTGTCTAGAAACACATCGCACTAACCACTTCACAGCATGAAAAGAGGAAATTTGTTGATCAAAGCAAAATTAAAATGGACTTAAGCAACATTTCATACATGTGATGCAAATCGTTTCGATTCAGGAACGATTTCTGCCGGAAAAAAAAAACTTTTGAGAAAAAAGTGCACCTGATCAAAGATTCCCTATGAATCAAAGAAGCCCTCATTTGCAATTGAAAATGAAAATCTCTCTTAATCCTTGACCATGGAGTAGTTTCAAGCGTAGACCTACCTTCTAGATCGTAGTTGGAGAAGTCTGAGGCAATTGTGTTTACAAATTCGAGCATCAAATCCCAGGTGTCCTTCGAAATCGACGACTTATGCTTCTCCTGCGTGAAAAGGGAAGGGTGGTTGCAACGCTGATTCAGGAAAGTCGAAATCACAAACAGAGTATAAAAGGGATGCTCACCTGAAGGAATTTGAACCACAGATCAAGATGCTCGAATTTGCCGCGAAGCAGAAGGTCAAAGTAAGGGATGGCGTAATCAAGCACTTCAAGAGGAAATACAACATGCGTAGGTATGAAACGAAGGGAAAGTTTGAAGGAGAAAAAAATCTTACCAAGCGTTTTACTATCATGCCTGTCTACGTTAGCGAAACCGAAAGTGAAGGTGTAGAGGCTTTTAAACGCAGCTGGATTCTCGACTTCCGATTCTAGGGTGGCCACACGATCTCGAAGTGTCTCGATAGAATCACAGCTTGAAAGAAAAAAATGCAAGATAATGAAAAATCGCAATTTCAAAAGAAAATAAAGTGGCAGCAAGCCACTTGCCCCAATTCGTGTAGACCGCGGAAGAATTCCTCTCTCGTAAACTCGCCCTGAGTGCGAGCACCAAATTTCCAGGCCAGAATCAGTACCACACGACTTGCAGGATCAAGATGGAGATCAGTCACAAGGAAACGCTCCATGCCAGTTGCTAGGATGCGGTCGGGATACTGGGGGTCTGTAAGCAAAAACGCGATGAGTGAAATATCAGAAAGGAGAAAGGCATAACAAAGGAAAAATTAGGCTAACCAGAATAGCGTTGAAATAGTTGTTCCATTTTTGACTCGTTGAGTACATTCGAGCTGTTGCTGAAATAGTACTCTAGAGAGCTGTCGAGTTTCCAGTTGTTCATGTGAAGACAGTGAAGAGCTGTCCTTTCGTCACTCTGCGTCACTGACTGAAATTTCTTCACTACTCTTTCTCGAGAGGAAGAAGGTTTGAACTAGAAATCCATAGACGAGAGTTAGGGGACCGAATATTGATTAAATAAGTCTGGCTTATCACTAGTTTTAAAGAATAGATCTTAATACTGAGAAAACAAACACAACTAAAAACTCGCGAAATACACCTAACATATCTCTACGAAAGAGATGAAGCCTATAGAAGTTCCAATAAGAATCACACAGTAATGTGAGGGAGAATTTTGCAGAGGCTTGTTATTTATCAAACAATAACTGATAAAATGCATCAACAGACAGACAAATGACTATTACCGGATGATTTGAACACCAAGGTTGAAATCTATTCGGAGTTGAACTACCACAAAGATCATATGTCACCGTCTATCAAGAAAAACTTACTTAATGATCTAGTTAACAGCACGCAAACTAACAGAAAAAGGTAGGCTAGAAATAGGCAAATAACTAGTTACCATTTTGTCCAAAATAAGAAAAAATCTGATTTGTCCACTAATGCAGGTGGGGTACTAAAACAAATTGGCGAGTGAAGATGCCTATCCAGTTTGTCAGTTTAAAAGGTGAATTTTTTGTGTAACACCATATTTTCTAATGTTTTTTATTTTTTATTCCACTATGATTAGCAGATAGGCTTAGTCAAAGTTGTGTCAAGTGTTGTTAAGATAGAAACAAAATATTCCCAACTTAGAGCTTCTTTCAACTAAGAAAAGCAGTCCTAATAGTTCTTCTTTTTTTACAATTTCTATTTCGTAATTTTAATTGTGCAAAATGGGCTTACATTTGTAAATGGAAACTTCAAACACATAAAGCTGCCGGGATGGAATCGAGGAGATAAATACTATGCTATGCACTATTATCTTGTGATGGATTTAGTTTTTGTTATTTTTTTCACCACGTCTGCTTATCTTTTATCCCAGCAGGTTGTACTGTAGTAATCTGAGCCTTCTCTGATGTCGTAATAAGCTAAAGTACTTCGGAAGAACCTACTTGATTGACGTACAAACGGACTGGGAGGCTATTGCATGCCCCCGAAGACCATACCACAGAGGACTGTTACAACTTTCCGCGACCTAAGTCACAGCGTAAGCACACGGTTAAGCAAATGATAAAGTCACTGCATTGTTTCCACTATGCGACATAGCGTTCAACCCGACCTGATGGCGCCTCAGCTCTCCTGCACGTCAGTAATGCATGTTCCTACATAGTAATATTAGACTACAACAACTTCAGTTAAAGCTAAAGGCACTGCATTAGTTTCATAGCTTTACTTTGTTGAATAAGTTGCAACAGGATGGGGATTTGAGGTAATTATCCTTTTAGTTACACACAAGATCCCCACCTTGCACAATTCATACTTTCGATAATACAAAACCCTTGACTGCACATACAGTCGTACTAAAGCAAATGTTTACTAACTTACATTTCTTACATATTCACAAATGGACTGAAAACAAAGGCTCTGTGTGGTGTGAGGTACAGCTGGTGAGGCTAATGTCAATGCAACGATTTTGGCGTCACCGATGTCGTCCGTGGTGACGGTAACTGAGTGGAGGGTAGTTTAAGCGCATTCATGCAATGCTCCACAAAGGCCGTGAATGCCCTTCTGTGCCTTTCAGCTGTGGGCTCTGCTTGATCAGCCTCCTTGACCGGGTCGTAGGAGTCACCGAAGTTGGAAGGATTGGCAAAATACTTCTGTGCGATGATTGAACAAAGCTCCACAAATGCAGGAAATGAGAGACCTACAACATTTTCCACTGAGCCATTAGGTTTCTTGAATTTCCATTAATTTTACAATCGTATTGGGGTATTTGAAGTGTTTAATGGAAGTAGTCCAATTCAAGACGCATCGCATTGGTGGTGGTAAAAGTGACCTACCAGTGTCGGCACTCGGAGTGTCCGGCTCGAACACACGAAACCAGTGGAGCCTGTGCTTCATGTAGAGTACGTCAACCTCCCGTATGGAGATACCGGCACTCTTTAATTTGCATCGCCTTCATGGAGGTGAGACAAGACATACGGAAGAGCATTTTGGGAAAAGTTGAACAATAGGGTGTAAACAAATGCCTACTTTAAAAAGACTATCCAGTGGAAGGCTAGCAAAATTGTAGAAAGTAACTACAATTCCACTTGTTTTGTGGAGTCCAAGCAGTTTTGGGGTGTTCGCCAGGGCAATCCATCCAACTGACAGCCAATCACAATCAGTGTGTCAACAACACAGAATCTGGAAGTCTGTCTACTTGACCGCCTACACACACACACACACCTGCACGTCTGTCTGAAAGTGATCGTTTCGTCTGCGATCCACAGAAGTGTCGCTCCACTTGACAAGCGGTCTGTTGTGGTTGACAAGAGACATGGAGGGAGACAAAGGGAACGAAGTGTGGGAGGGAGACTTGGAAGCCGGTCGCAGTAGTCCAAGTTCGAGGTACTTTGTTGCTGTGGTGTCTACTCTGCCATGGATCCGTCTCAACCCTTCCATTTTGCTTACAACTTCCAATGCACTCCCTCCTGTTCCCTTAAGTGCCACTTTTGGGAGGCAGGAGCTGATGGTTTTACTTCTTGATCACCATCAATTCCACCTTGATGATATTTTCCCTTTTAATTAGTTTTGTTTCCTTTTTCGAGTGGTCTTAGTCAAAATGAAGGATTCTATTGCGAAGTTAACACGATGTGGCGTCATGGAACACCTGAGCCAGTAATAAGACATCCAGTGGAATGTATAGGCACGTCTAGAACTACACCTGATTCTACAAGCTACTGACCTGTTTAAATTTCACTGTTAAACAAAAAAAGCGGAAGGAGAGATCTGACAGCAAAGGGCCCAATGCATTTCCCGTTTCATGACACATTCATCACAACTAGAATTTGCGCTATTCACCTACTGGGTGAACATCCGGAAACTGGTGAAATCCATCCGAGGAATGGGGACATCGACAATTCCCTGCGCCTCAGTGCTCCCGGTATTCGCGGTGGTGAAGTGTGAACTAACAGTCTTTCCATTGGGATCCACGTAAATAACGAAAGAAAGTTTGTTGCCAGGACGCGGTCGATTGGCATGACTTCGTTGACCCACATCATCCACGATTTCAGGAGGCTTCTGGTGGCTGCACTGGGGTCGTCGAATGGAGAGAATGTGAATAAATATCTCCGCCAGACGGTCCACTATTCGAAGATGCGCCACTGAGTTTGAGGTGGGTGGAGATGGCTGTGCGTACTCTAAGGAAGCTGATTCGTTGGATTTGAAGTCGCCTTGAAGTGGCTGCTTTTCATCAAGCCTCAACTAGGTGAGTGGACGGAAACAAATATTTGGTTTACAATTATATCCATGGTTGTGCATGGCTATGAAGTCCTCTGTGCTCGATATGAGACCACTATGCTATCAGACGTCTAACCATTCTTCCTGCCAATAAAAAAGTAAAGTCTGGTTTCCTGGACAGGTGCAGTTGAAGCGTATGAGCTTTAATTATGAAAGATTTTTATAACAAAGGCAATATCCATCCTGTTCTTCCTTTTTTGTCATTTTATACACTGTGATTGGACAAAAAGGGAGGTCAGAATGCAGACAACTAGCCAATGGCGTACCTTTTCCATGGTTTCCGGGGTTAATGGAGAAGGCTTCCTGACTTCCGTAGGGGCGAAAGTAGGAAAGGTCTGCGGAAATTGCACCTATGTGGAATCGAAAACCAACAGATTCTAGTTTAGTCTATTAAACCTGCCATTCTATTAATTTTCGGTTAAACTGACCTTCTCGTTGTTTGAAGCATTGAGTCCGCATTCTCTGTCATCCTCGGCAAAGATTCCAGTGGATGTTGGATAGATCTCGTCCTCGGCGTAAATACAATGGAGTCTGTTTCTGGCCTTTCTAGGAGAAAAATAAAACTGTTATTTTACTCAAAAGCTACTTTTTAGCATAGCCAGTCATTAAGGAGTGGGATAGTTGCAAAGTGACGCCATTGGTGTGCTGATAGCAAAGTTTTCCACCATTTGGGTAGGCAATTCATTATAAGAAATAAAGGAAGAGCTCCGTAGATGATTATCTACTGCCTGATGACAGACATTCCTCCGCGTGAAACCCACCGACAAGCCCGTGAAAGCGGCTGAGAGAGGAAGTGTTCGCTTAGCTTTTCACTCTGCCGCTGCCTTCCAGACGCTGTGTGGATGGAGGGACACCGCAACGGCGGCCAAACCGGTGCAGTGAGGGAAGGAATAGACGTCGACGTCTTTGCCACTGTTGTCACCATTGTCGATGTCGTTGGCATAGTTACAGACGCTTTCGTCGACACCAGAGGCGGTGAGAGGTGTTTCTTCTTCCGTTCACTCCATCTATCCTCGCGTGCACGAGGTCTGCAGTAGATCTGGGAGATCCGAGAGCTCATCCACCTGTTGCTACCACTGCAGCCCATGGCACCGCGTTGGGTTATGCGGCCTGATTGCGCAGGAAGCCTTGCGGGACTAAGAAGTCTGTTTGAGAGGATCAAGAATACTATTTGTGTTTCCGAAAAATCCCGTGATTCAAATCGCAAGCCATGATCACTTTACTTTACTATTCTAAAAGTATTTGGGCACCTCTTCAGATACCAAGATTTGAGTCTTACAAAAGAGCATTGTTAAGTTTGTACCGATAAAGCTTTGTTAGTTGCTAACCCATCCATCTATTATACCACTTCTCTAAACCCACACTCTCTAAGAGGTATTGTCCAAGCGTGGACAGCAATTTGGGCAAAATTGCATAAGTTTGAAGCTTAACCTTCTATCTCTCACAGACAAGCACAAGTACAAAAATTTACTTATCAACTTTGCTCTCTTTCTTAGTAGTATCAGCGGTGGACTTCTTGTTATTCTCAGTTCTTGCACTCAACGGAGTTTTGTATCCACACGCCTCTAAAAAAGCCTTTGCTTTCTCCGGGGAGTAGCGAAGGAGGCGTTGATGAATGATGCGACTACCCATGAGTAAGAGAGTTGCCTTTAACAAGCCCAATTTCACCGCTTCGTCTACACGAGATCGAAAGAAGGCGGAGTATTTTGGTGAGTTGACTACAATGTTCGGTGACAGGCCCTGACGTGCCGCCACGCTGGGGTAACGCACCAGTGGACGCATGCAGTCAATCCGGAGGCTTGGACTGCTATTCACTTCTAGCAAAACTGGTCGACAATCGGGTTCCACGAGAAGCAGATCGAAGCCGAAGATCTTTGAACCAACAAACAGAAAGAAATTTCCGGAAGTGTGAAACCACTAATTTTGACTTAAGTTTATAGAGTGGTAATAGGTATGAGGATATTAGGGATTATGCTTTCTGGCAAAAACATTGACTAAACTTTAAGCAGGACCTACGATATAGGTGCTTAGGACACGTGTGTCGCAGATAGTAAATTAAGACTACTTTAGTAGAAAAACTGAAAACTCAAAATTAATACACGATCTCAAGAAAAGTCCTAATTGCACACAAGTAAGCGTTCAGTCAGGGGCAGATGCTCCTAATTTCACGAGAGTGACTGCAAGATGGAAACACACCTGAAAGCATTGAGGTGGATCGTTGGATTTGACGAGCCCAGAATCAACCACTCCATAACCTTCACACTCCGCCCAATAGGCAACACGGAGATAGGGTACCAAGGCAAATATTGTGTTTCTTACCAACTCATCTACTTTTGCCCAAAAAGTGGTCGGGGTGAGGTTACTCCCTGTCTCAAAACGTCCAGACTGAATGAAGTAGTGAAGACGATGCTTGCACTGCCAGTTGGTTTTTGTTTCTACACAAGTGGGGTCCAGACATTCAGCGTCGCTATGACTACCACCCCTTATGGAGGTCGTCGTCAAACCTATCATAGGGGACTCCATTTGAGACGATGTTCCTGGATCCACACTATCTGGGAACTTGTTTATGGAATAGTTGGTGAGATGCATCTTACTCTACAAAATCAGGTTAGATGATATGATTATACAGGCGTCTACATCGGGGTGCATCTCCCAACTTCTTCAAATGCAACTCACATTCCGCATGTTCATGGGATCCGGTGTATGATACCTCTGGCTGGCCAAACGAACCAAACCGTCTCTATAAACATGGATCCGTAACGGTTTGATCGATTCCAGGACCACGTAGATTCGTAGATCTGCTTTGAAACCACTCACAAGTACTGGGTTGTCTTCGTACTGTTGAACTACCTCCTTGGCCGCCAAAAATCCCATTGAATCTGCTCCTAGACAGATAATCGGATCCATCACTGTTTTATTATCACTTTGAGGTCCATTTTCACGTGCATTCATCTGCTCTTTGCAGTACTCCTTCGGCGATTGAACCAGATAAATTCCCTTCCCCTGTGTTCCACCACTAGGCTTTACGATATATGTGACTGTTCCCGTTTTGTCTGCCAGATTAGAAAAAGTCAATTTCATTTTGCTCGAAACTAGGTAGAAGTGTAGAATGTGTAGAACATACATTGTGTGGTGTAAGAGGCCCATTCATCGTACTGGTGCGGCAGAAACCATGTGGGTGGATAAAAGTCGTAGGCCTCGGGAAAATAACGCCGCTGAAATTCCAAACATTTGAAAAGACTTATTTTCGTCAAAAGGCAGTGGATTCCTAAAAGAGTAAGGATAGTATCTACATATAAAACAGATTTCACTTTTGGTGTGCCATAAGAAATATGAATAAACACCTGCAAATGTAAATTAAGGCAAGTGGTATAAAAAGAAGATTTAAAGTACCCCGCATTGACGCTTTAAAATTGATGTTATCATTCAATTTACTGCATTATTTTAAAGTTAGGGCTCACTCCTCACTGTGGCTAGAACTATTTTATCTGAATGGGTATCAAAATGCTTTCCTAAAACATTAAAGTGGAGAAATGTCCAACTAACCTGGAAATTTATTGATACAACCACTCCTAGATCTATCCTTCTTGAAGAAGTATGCGGCGTTCCAAGTTATATCACGATCTTGTTCTTCCGTAACCTAGAAGTAAGCGACTCTACATGTTCTTAGGGTCGTAATGAGGATATATTTGAGACAAGTGTAAAAAAATGGCAGAAAATGATTTCGAGGTTTTAAAACATGGAGGTATGAGAAATAGGAATTTTGGATATCTTTAAGTGGATATTTAGGTAAGACAAGATGTTTATAACGATTGTTTACATCTAAAACTCGTTATTTTTAGCTTTAGACCTACCCAAACCTGCTTGTTTTTGAAGTGAAAAATGGAAAAGAAGTATTTTGATTTAATCACTACTATACTTTCAAAAATTTAGGTTTTGTAACTTGCAGTCCAATGCACAGGACAATGTACTGCTTTATCTCATAAACGAAGCATTTTATTAAATAAATGATGTAAATATTGATATTCACCACTGTAGGAAGGGCTAATACCTCTAGAAAACATTTGTTTGGCTAAGCAAATCCTAAATCTACTAACTTCGTTAAATCCAAGGTCTTGGATGGCGAGTCGCAAAGCATCGATATTGCTTCCAGCGAAATGAGTGCCAACTGATAAAGCACATCTCTGCACAGACTCCCTATGTTGCACCCGTATTGACCGTTTAGTAAACAAGGAATATTCACGCAGAGTCCTCATTCTTTTTTCAATTATATACCGTCGGAAATCCGTCGGTTTGTATGCCAAGAGGGGCTTAAAGGTGGTGTAGTGCGCCTGACGTGGTTTAGGTCCAGAAAGCATATTCGGTTGCAAATTATTCATATAAAAATTAATTTTTATGGAATGGGGATTAACTAAGGCTTCTCTATACTGTGCGAAAATCACAACAAGTTATCGTGTCACTTCATGGCCTTGCTATCGTTTAAATTATTGCTTCCGTAGTAATTACTCTAACAAGGCCTTATAACGCAAATTTTTATCTTTATATCCTTCTAGCTGATGTGCTTTTATAACATAATTAGGTTTGCTTCGCAATAACTAACTTTGGCTGACAAGTGCCGGCCGTGGAGAAAAGTAAATGGCTATAAAAATATGCAATTTTCTACTTCACGTGTTTTGCAATTAAAATTTGTTTCTTCTTGCTTAATCTTCTAAATTTGTCAAAATTCCGTTTGTTTTGATACCGATGACACGCTTACTTGAGTGCTAATCTTACTGACGCCATATATTATTAAGCGTTTTGCTTTAAATTCGTCAGCTTCCGGATCTCCTTAATAATAAAAAAAATTTACTATCAATCCACTCAATAACACTCTTTTACACCTTTAAGCGTAGCTGAAACAATGTAATGGCAATTTATTTCGTTATATTTTTGTCCCACCGTCATATGAATGCTAAAGTATTCTTTAGGTACCAATTATTTTGTAGTTTTGGAGGTAAAACTAAATTTTTCCGCGCACTTATTAGCAATGGTAATGCTCATTGGAATGTATTATGTCCACTCCATAGTAGGGAAAGATAAGATCTGAATTTCCATCACAGTACTTAAGAAAGTTTAAGTAATTATGTGAGCTGCTTAAGTGGTAGTTGTCGCAGCACTTTGAAACTTTTCTGAAGACTAAGGGAGACAATTCTTGGGCAGAGCATGTATTGTCGACGTAGAGAAGGTGTTTGGGCTGCCTGGCGGAGGTACAGTGGCGGAGCCTCCAAGTACCTCGTTACCAAAGCCGAGAGTTAAACAATTAATCAACTCATTACATTGTTTTTTTTGCTTTTCTTAACATAATGTAACAGTATCATCTATTGTCAACCTTCTCCTAGTAATTTCTGGGGAGCAGTACTCCAGAAGCTTTTTATCATAAAAACACTACGTTTGGGTAGATAAGGGCTTTGACCTACACGTAGTTCTGTTTTTATGTAAAAGTACACCTATTCTAACTATTTTATAGACTTAAAAGCCATAAGTGATGATGATTGAATATTGAAAAGGGACCCCTAGGTCAGGTCAAGGGGACTAATGATAACACATGCCATAGTCCACCTAATTACAAGCTGGATTAAGTGGAGTGACCATTTCTATCCACAGCAGACCAGTTGAAACCACATTACCGTGAATCTCTTGTAAGGAGGGGATAAAAAACGTCATTTGGCAATATTATCTGTACCATTTTTTTTTGCGTCAGAGACGAGAGACAATTGTACGGTCTGGCGCATATGCCATTTGGACAGGATTTCAATGAACCATGTCTGTATTAATCCCAATCACCCTTCAACGAGGATTGAAGGCCTTTTTGACTTCCGTTATTTCCTGAACCAAGCAGGCATACACACACACACATTCACTCACTCACTTAAGCACATTTGCATTGGCGACCCCTGCCCCATGTGTGGAGGCATTTTCACAGACGACGAGGCACGTTTTGGCCCACACCTGCGATTTATCGTTGGAGGAGTGGACAGACCGGTGCGCCTGTAGCAATTTCAATCCGTCTTAAGTGTACCAATGGTGAAGAACCGAAGGCGACAACGACAACGACGACTACCACAACCTCGAGAGAGATACAAAAGTGAACACACACACACACACACAAGCACACGCATATAGATATTTATGTACATGAGGAGAAAAGGGAAAATTCCTCACGTGAACGCAAAAATGTGGCGAATATCTGAGAAATGGGGAGGATGCGAGGCTGTAAAGGCTGTTTAACCTTTTGTTAATGACTCCTTGAATTGATTTTGGAAAGTCTCTGGTCATTTTTTTTTTGTCAGTTTACTGTTTTAAGCAAGTTTTGCCCTTGTGAATGCAGTAAAACGTGTTTTTTTTTCTTTTTTTCTCACTTTAAACCAGATCCAGTTCCCAACCTTCCACGCAATGGAGCCTCCGGGCACGTACACACCGACCGCGCCTTCTTCGGGTACTCTTGACGATGGTCACTAAGGCCATCCGTTCTGAAGTCTCTATTCGCTTGGAGGTGCTGATAGGGTCTGCGAACTCGGGCAGAGATACTCTAAGACACGAAATTTACAATTCGGTCTATAATAATTATTGGCGTACTTGTTACTAATGACAACGCAGTTTATAACAACTTCAACAACTCCTTGCGCATTCCGCATGGTTTTGGTGTTAATTTCGAATGTCAGTGCATCCTTCCCTCACCGAATTTAAAAGCAAAGACGAATTGACACCGAGGGGCTACACCTCGCGGGAACCAAGGCTCAATCCATCCAATCGTGGTGGCGACCAACGCACTGAATGGCCCGATCCCGTAATTGTAAAACCACCATCCATTCTTAAGGAGAAAGAAAACTGTGATCCTCTCGTCATTTAAAAAATCTCAGCCTCCCCGATGGATGGCATCTGAAAATAAAGGGAGAAGGGGAAAATGCCATGTAAGGGATTTGATCGGATCACCTTAAATGCAGTCAGACCAACGGAAGCTGTCTATAGAAATGAAGCGAAGGTGATATCAGAGAGAGGAGGTGCGATTTTATCAACTCTCCGTCTTCATGTCTTCCCTACTTGGCATCATTTCGGGTGTCGATTTGTAAATCAACCGGGTGAAGGCTTAACAAAGTTTTCTTGGGTCCGCTTCAATACGCCTTCTCGACTTCACTCCACCATGCTGGAAGACTTTCGCCGTGAGACTGTCAAACCTCTCGTGAAATAAAAGATGAAGTGTCTATCATCATTGTGTTTTCGGTTATGAATGCGGTTTTGAACTGTTAATTTCCCCGACCTTGTATGTCCAAAGCGGGTCTGTCCACTAACCCTAACCCCAGCAGTCAATTAAAACAAGCGGTGAATCAAAATGATCCTCACTTTCTGGACACTCCTGTGAACCAAGAAGCGTCAAGGTACTCTGGCCATGCACAAGGGAGGTGCGTGAATTTTTTTTAGGGAGCCAAAGGTTAAACTGTCAAGAAGGTAGTCAAAGTGATTTATGACTTTGCCGTGGGTGTGGTCCATGTCAGTCGTTGCCCGGCAGCATTTTATGGCGTGTGAAGGATAATTTGGTGGTTAGTTGACAAAGTTCCTCACTAATCTATATCCTCGTCAAGATGCTTTTTTTCCTTTCCTAAATCTTTTTTTCTTAGTCCCTCCCTTATCGATGAGCTGGTTGACCACTCTGGGTGGCTGGCGCAAGAAATGGGCACCCTTCCGCAGCACAAGGGGCTAATAATGACTTGACGGGGGATTAGGCAGCATTAAATATGCTAAGAAATGCAAAGGTAGAGTGTAGTTAGAAAGGAACTAAGAAATAACTTAAAATCATTCATTTTGTTAAGTAATTTTGATCTTAGACAAGTTTCCCTCCAAAATATGCTCGGCGTTGAGCACCGTCCAATTTGAATAAATACTTTGCAGGTAAAAAATCGAGGACATATTAAATGAAAACCTTGGTAGCCTTGGAAGCCTTCTGTCCGTGTTGTAAGTCATCGTACAGTCTGCCTTTCCGTCTCGCGGTTCATTTTAATTCACTGATGTGTTGGCCGACCTGGAGGAGCGCTTCCAGACTTGCGTGTTCAATGCTAAAATTGCTGCCTTCATGTCAGTGCTTTGCTGGCAAATAAACACTTTTTAAGTTCACATTTGATAGTAGCTAATACTCTCAGAGAAAAATTTGACAAAGTCCATGCGGGACCTGACTAGGGCAGGGCGCGGTGATTCACGGAAGGCAGCACCGTTCCCATGTCCACATAATGCAGTGGGAGTGATTAGTCTTTACCAGGGGGTACATATCATTAAATTTTGATACTTTATTGCCTTTTTAATTTCTGCCTTTCCTGGACATTCGATTAGCCAGGTAGCAACTGGCTGTGCAGAAATGCAGCCTTATTAACTGGGGTGGGGGGGGGAGAATGGGAAGTGGAGGGGGACGGGGCGGGGGAAGGCGGGGAAGCGGTGACGGTAGAACCGAAGTGGTAATTATCCATGACCCAAGTCAACCTATGCCGCAAAAGATGCATTCCTCTTCAATAAATTATGACCTAAAGACACGAGGTCAGGCGGAAAGGGGCTACTGACTTTGACTAGAGAGAAACTGTCTTTTTATTGACTTGTAAGAGTTTTTAAAAATATCACAAGCAAAATTCTCAAGTTATACAGTGCCTTTTAAAATAACTTCATTGACATTGCTTAAAGTATATATGATTGCGACTCGAGAAATGGGTCACATCTCTGTCTAGCCAAGTAAGAAGTCCTTGCAGACTTTGATGTGGTTGACATTTTGATAAAATCCTCTGTAAGCTTCTTCTTTTTCTATAAAAATTAAAATGAGGGGAAGCCGGTAAGCCCTTTGAATAACTGGATGGGTTTTAACAGCGAAAAAGTGGAAATCGTTACCATGACAACCTGCCAGAAATGTGGTATAACTCTTCTGCCAGAGAGGCATTTTAATGGATATTGATTGGCAGGATTTCCACTGACAAGACCAATGACAATTCGCACACACACACACATACACACACACACACACACACGCTTGCAGAAATCGCACTCCCAGTCAACATGGGATGTGTTTACACTTGATAGTTAAATGGGGAAAAGCGCAGGAGGGAGAGGGTGGGGAAAAGGTGCCGGGGGAAGGAGGAGGGGGACGCGAGAGAGGTGAGGGGTGAACAAATCACCGTCTGGTCGTTTGTTTAGCTTTCTTGCGTTGGCAACTGAGATTGTGTATGCAAGGCCCTTAACTGCGTGAAAATTTATGCCATGGGAATTGACGCTATAAGCGGAACAGATTATAACTGTCAATTGTACGCGCCTGATTCCCTTGTATTAGCCTCACTTGACTTAGTTAAAACTTATTTGCCTTTTTCGACGGTTAGAGGAAAAAAGGCTGAGTTCGGGTAGACGGTTGGGTCTTTCATGACAGCTCATGACGAAGTCTACTGAAGAATGCATCTACCCATTCCACCATCCGTTCAGTTTGGACTTCGGGTGGCTGCGATACCTCCTCCGTACTTCTGTTTTCCTTTCTGGTCTCTTAAGCGCACCCTGCCACCGTCGCCAAGGCATTCCGAGGATGGGGTTTTGTCTCAATTCTTTTTGATTGGGTAGTGATGGCTCATGAAAGACAAATGATAGGAATGTCCTCTTATACTGCGTGTCAGGCAAAGGCAAAGCGGCATACTCTGTGGACAGAGGGTGTTTAAGGCGGTGACCCTTTAAATTACCTATCGACAAATTAGGGGGGGGGAAACTAGGATTAGAATAATAACCAATAAAAATAGGTCCATTGTAGTTCAAATGACTAGGACCCATCTCACAAAGTCGGGATTTTGCTGTGCAAGTTTCATGCGCCGATAGGAGATTGATTGCGCGCTGCCACACCTGTCACCGGGATCGGTCACCCTCCGTGGCCCAATCGATGCCATGGTGTCCTCCCCCCCTTCCCCACCTTGTCCCCTGGCATGTGCTAACGCCACTAAATCATTGTCCCCGCGTGTATATCGCCATTGCCTTAGTTGCTAGGTGGGAGATATGGGACACCGAGTGGTGTGAAAACGGGTCAAGCCTTGGGGCAAATCTTTCCCACTTCGGTCATGACACGATCATAAGGCGCGAGGCATGGAGACAGGCAAATACCCCAATCGCTTCATTTTTGGTAACTTTTAAAAGTTTCTTGAATCACAATACTCACGTAATTTGCAAGCATTTAGATTACCTGGAAGATCAAGACTAATAAAACTCCCACTTCCTCTGACTATTCAAAATAACTCGTTTTGATGATTGACCTGTCCACCACATTAGGCAATCAGAGTTATTGCCTCGCGCACGAAGTGTCATCCTTCACGCACACTAATCTGTCATCCGCTTCGCGTCCATTTCTTTCTGCAAATGTCCAAAACAATTCAGGGGATTAATTGTAGACAGACACATAAAGAAAGAAAGGATGATGTATGGATGGATAAAAGAGGTTATAAGCTTTCTTGGTGATTGAATAGACATTATCTATTCGGAAGGTAAAATTGAAGGACTGAAACTGAAATATTTGTTTGCAGAAAAAGAAAATCAAGCATGGCGACCGAATTAGTCGTTCTGAAATGCAATATGGCCTAAAACCTCGTCATTGTGATGCTGTTTAAGTGATGTAGGAGGGTTATTAAAGCCTACGAATGTCATCAAATAGGGATGCAACATTTTTCAATTTCCGTCTCTACAAAAATCTCCTTTAATTATTAACTCTATCTTTTTAAGCCATTCTTGGCTGACGAAGGCTACTTACTTCCATGACAGACCTGTCCATCAAGTCCACACAGGCTAAATTGGATCTGAATTCAACCGTGAAAGTTCGCCTTGTGAATAGGCGGCCCCCTTGGCTCAAATTTCAAGTCAAAATTTATCGCTCCAAAGGATTTTAATTGTGGGAGGTCGGCTCTAATTGCAGCAAAAAGGTCCACACAAGCAGACAAAAGGGAGTGTTGCCCCATCACTTTGATAACTTGCCCCCATGAGAAGCATTGACACCGCAATAAATACACATTGTGCTGCTAATCCTATGCTAATATTCGAATGGACTAAAGAAAAATAAGAAATGCGCACTTAGATTGGCGCTAAACAGGCGGAAAGAGGCGATCCAGAGGTAGGCGCGGTTAGTCGTCACTACATACGCACCGCATGCGCTCTTCACCTGATTGGCTGATAAGGGGCACGTGAGCAACCAATGGGCGTTGAGAGCTGTCGTCACAAGCCCAGTGGTGCCTTGACGAATTGCCATCGTCACCGTGAGTGCGGACGTGTGTGTGTGTGCATAACACGCGAGCGGGTGGGGAGAGGGATATAGGTTGCAGTGGGTGGAGTGTGGGGGAGGCACAGGACGCAAATTTCACTCCTCCTCTGACTGTATGACCAACGAGACGATGTCTGCGAAGGCCTCCGCTTTCTCCATCGATGCTATCATGACTGCCACGCCTGCTAGGGCCTCTGCTAAGTCTACCTCCTCTCAACATAGTCCTGGTGCGTTTCACTTCTGCATTTTTTGAATATATCGTTCTTAGAAGTTGCAATATTTACTCATGAAATACATACACGATTTAATTTTGCCCTTTTTTAAAGGAGTATTCCCCACCCCTAGTTGCCAAATGAATAAAATCTCTTTATGATAAGAAAAAAAAAACACTTAAAATGCAATAAAGATAAAACTGTTGTAAATGTAAATCAGGTTTTACTACGACAATACTCGAACTGTCTTTTGAATGCAATCGTTTTGCCATCAGAGCGCATTTTTGTAGATTTTAAGTGAAAAGTGATAGATGATCTACTTAATAATTCATCAAATTAATTATTTCGAATTATGCGCTAGTGGTTGCCTTTTCTGAAAAAAGCTTCCCTACCTATCATTGGTTAGGTGTTCACAAGGCAAATAATTAAATAATTCACAAACCAGTGATTTAGAGCTCAAAATTTGTGTAAACTCTCGGTGTAAAAGATGGATTGTTAATTGATGCTTAGAGTGGTTTCTTTTCAGATAATAAAAATGCTTAAAAATGGAATTGCCGTTTAATTTTGGGACATTGAAACTTAATAAGACACAAACAGAAAATTGGCAATTTAAAATTCCCCTTGCTGCTGATTTTTAGAATGGAGATTGCGGGAGTTCTAAAAAGATAATCTGGTCAGGATTAAATTGGGATGATATGATCACCGTAGGCTCCAAGTGCCGTTTGTCTGGGCCCCAGTCAAGTGTAAACACCCCGGCGCCACTCGCCTCGCTTTAACAACATGTCTGGATATTCATTTGATCAGAAGTTGGTACTAACTGGAGAATTTAAGAATGTGTCTTAGGCAAAATGAAGAGCTACCTCATAACAATACCCTTACATGAGCCAAGTTTTGACGTGAACCTGTCAAAGATAAGGGATTTACTCCAGGAGTCGACTTGTCCTAAACTGGAGAGGGGTGTAAATAATATTTTGTTGAATTCCTTTAATTAATATAATGCTAAATAATAAAAACCTCGACGGATTTCTACGGTTGCGTGGATGGTGAAAGTGTTTTTATGAGGACCAATTAGTGACTTGGAAGGGCTGCATTTTTAGAGGTCATCTAGTAGATCAGAAAAGTAGCACAAGGTCAGAAGTTAAGGTTTTCCTTCCAGCTACTCATCTCTCATTCTGTCCAATCACCATCCAGTACGGAAAACTAGCTAGGGATAAAATCGAGAGAAAAAGTCAAAGGGCCTCCAGCCTCGTAGAGGTGAGAGGAGGAACGAAGGGACCCCAGCAGCAAAGTGCCCCGGCGGCACCGTCATTGATGCAGGAGACAACAAACGGGTGAGGCAGTCGGGCGGACTGACAGTTACGACCCAATTAGGTACCGCTTCGTGTTCCATTAGCTTCGCCTCACCTCCGTCCTCTCGTCCACAAAAACATAGAAGAGTCTATTTTGCACCGAGGAGAGCAATCGGTCACAACTCAACAACCCCGTAGCCTTCGATTCAACTCAATTGTTCCATGGCAATTAGCTCATTGTCTGGACAGAGCAGAGCATCTTGCATCACTTTGTTAAACCGTAGGTCTTGAATGACACGAAATATGAAAAAAAGGTGCCTGAGAAGTAGTCTACGAACGTGAGGGTTTTCGAAAGGTGTTTGACGATGCTTCCTCTGCAGGAGTTTCAAAATAAGAAATAAAAATCGGCAGTTTTGGGCTCTAAAACAAAAATAAACATAAACTGGTTACCGTTGTTCCACGCCGTGCCTGTCCACGAGAATGACACCTCGGCGGTTACCTGAGTCTGTTAGGGGAGGAAGGGTTGGGACGGATCAATGGTAAAGCAGACACCACAGTAACCAAATCTCTCAAATTGGGGCTGCCACAGCCGTCTCCTTCTCTTCGTCCCCCACCTTGTCTCTTGTCAACCACAACAGACCGCTTGTCAAGTGGAACGACACTTCTGTGGATCGCAGACGAAACGATCACTTTCAGACAGACGTGCAGGTGTGTGTGTGTGTGTAGGCGGTCAAGTAGACAGACTTCCAGATTCTGTGTTGTTGACACACTGATTGTGATTGGCTGTCAGTTGGATGGATTGCCCTGGCGAACACCCCAAAACTGCTTGGACTCCACAAAACAAGTGGAATTGTAGTTACTTCCCACAATGTTGCCAGCCTTCCACTAGATTGTTTACACCCCATTGTTCCAATTTTCCTGATGTGCTCATCCATCCATCTTGTTTCACCTCCATGAAGGCGATGCAAATTAAAGAGTGTCGGTGCCTCCATACGGGAAGGTGACAGGTGACACCCAAAATGCACCACAGCACCAATTTTATTTATTCAAGCTCAATGTCAAACAGGTCTAGTTTGCTGCTATTGTCTCTCTGACCACAGAGAAGGATGGAGTCAAGTCCGGCTACTTTTGCCACGAAATTTGATGATCGCGCTACATTTGTTGCCATGGTTTCACACACAGCACTGGACTGACCACAGCAGCGACGAAAATGCAATTGTGCTGTTGAAATCAAATCTCTCCTAGACAACGGCATCATCAACGGCATCATTAACGGCACCAACACCCCCACCACCACCACCGCCGCCGCCGCCGCCATCAAGTCTGCTGTTGGGTCGGAGACTGTGTAATTTGATAGGGCAGGTGTTGGTGGCGGAGCCGACGGTTTCAGACAAATTTGCCTAAAATACTGTTACTCTCGTCGTTAAGCCAAAGTGGGACATTGTGCGCCCTCCTAGTCAGTGGAAGTCAGAGAGCGCCTTCATGTAAAACTGCCAAGGAAAAAAAAAGTTCTCTAAGAACAGGGGCTGCAGTGACAGAGGCAAAAGTGATCTTTGAACTGGCGAGTTCCATCCAAGCGTTATTCTTTATCAAACAATTCAATTAAGCTGCTTCCATTTTATAGTAAGTCCCAAGTCGGAGGGTCGACTGCTGCGACGAAGTTGGTCAAGTCTCCTTAGCAATGAAGAGACCTCGCCACCTCCAACAAAGTCCCCACGACTACCCTTCCATCCGTCATCTCCACTGGTTCATCAAGACGCCCAAATACCACCCCCATGTGAGAGCCTGTTAAGGTAAAGCCACAAAACATCAGTACTCTTGCAGATCGTCCATGGAGCATAGTAAAAATTTAAAAAAATTATTTTTCCTTAGCCTTTCGAAATCTGATGAATCAGTTGTACTGCCGAGTCTTAGGAGTAGCAACTTTCCTTGTCGAACAACCGGAGGAACAGGCGACTTAGCACAAGCTCAATGTCATCTGGAAACCCGGGAACTGTGGCAAAAATTTAATGAACTCGGCACTGAAATGATTATCACCAAGTCGGGAAGGTAAGGCATTTCACCTTCACCTCCACATTTCATTCTAGACGAATGTTTCCCGTAATGCGAGTGTCCTTCACCGGTCTCCGACCAGGACAGAAGTACACTGTGTTGATGGACATTGTTCCAGTTGACAATAAACGCTATCGCTACGCATACCACCGATCCAGTTGGTTGGTAGCAGGCAAGGCTGATCCCGAAACCACCGAACAACAGCGAAGACGTCGTCGATGTTACCTGCATCCCGATGCACCATTCACTGGCGAACAGTTGGCTCGCCAGACGGTTTCATTCGAGAAACTCAAACTGACCAACAACCTGCTTGACAAGCACGGTTATGTGAGTAGCCACTTAATGCAGTGACCAATCCGAAAGTCACTTTCAGGGTGAAAATGCTTCTGGTTGATCATTTGAGTGGTGCAATTTTGTCCCGGATTGACTTACCCCGGGGTCCTCCGTATTTATGACTCTTTCCTTGTCCTGCAGATAATTCTCAACTCAATGCACAAATACCAGCCACGAATTCACTTGGTGAGACGACCGAGATGCAGTTTCTCATCGGATACACTCACTTCTCTGCCTGCGGAGGAGATAAAGACGTTTGAATTCCCCGAAACCGTCTTTATTGCGGTGACCGCCTACCAGAACCAACTTGTAAGTTCCCTACCGGTGGAATGAGAAGTGGGTTTTAGCGTCTCGCTGGAGGGTAGGCCTGTCTTGTTTAAGAAAAAGTCAACATCCATTGCCACATGAGTAGTGGTGCCTGGAAGGTAACTGAAGGGCTGCATGGGTGGAAGGATCCAGATAAGATGCGGTGGTCATTACTGCTACTCGGACCCTATTGTCTTTTGAGTGTCGGCTACAAAGTGTGTGATCATGAGCCCGAATGATGGGATGGTCAATTTGGATGGCCCTTCCGTCCAAGTACCTCTTAAGGAGACGTCCACGGTGGATCGCTTTCTTCCACAACGATCAACTTGAACGCCATCCATTCATCAATTTCCCATTTCCACTGAATGTCTTCCAAAGGATGCTAAGGAGGTAAAAACGTTAAGAAAAAGGCCAGTAATCAAATCTAAAATGAGTAATGATGAGGGGAGTCCTTCACTTGATGGTCGTGTGGAAGGGATGAAGAGTAGCAGCACCATCTGGCACTACGAAGATCAGCATCGACATCGTAATTAGCAGTCATCTTCACAGCGAAAGTAGTCACATCTGGTTTGCAGGTAACATCACAAGGCAATGGAAGAGAGGAGGGGAAAGGCAAGGGGAAAGGGAGAAGGGTGCAAGTGGGGTGGGCGGGGGGTAGGCGAAGGATGGCATAGGGTGGTGGCGAATGCTCCCGCCCTTCCTTTGCCACCCCTCCACACACCCACACCTGAGTGAACCACGTGTGTGAATGTGTTGGTGCGTAACAACTTTCTAGTTGTGCGCCTGACCCAGAAAGACGTCTTTGCACATGCAAAGGTGCTGATTTACGACCAGTAGCTGCGCCTGCACTGCATAACACGGCACAGACCGAAATGTCACCTGTTTGCGGCTTCCACTTCGCCTGCCTGACTGCCTGCCTGCCCTACATCCTCTCTGTGGTTGTTGGTGTTGCTAATCTTCTTGTTTTGTAGATAACAAAACTGAAAATTGACTGCAATCCATTCGCCAAGGGCTTCCGTGATTCATCGCGTCTGTCCGACTTCGAACGGTGAGTTGGCTCAATTGAGTAGCTCGAGAATGACCTCCACGGTGCAGCCCTTTCATTATAATAAACTTTTATCGAAAATTTAGACATCAGAATTTAACAGTTTAACAATTTATTGTTAGTTGCATTGTCTCCGTTAACGACTGACCAGTTTTTAAAACAATTGACCCGCTGATCCTCCGCCCCGAGAGGAGCGCTTAGCCACCTTTCGGTCACTTTAAGTGATCTCCGGAGGCAGGAGAAAGAGGCGTTGCTACACCTGGACGGGGAATTCCCTTAGCAGGTGCTTCCGCCGCCCAATTTTATTGCTTTTGTTTACTATGAGGGCTAGCGCTTGCTAGCGCCCCAAAGAGGAAGCGTGAACAGGAGGTCGGTGTTTACACGAAGCCCTGACGCCAACACTCCGGCGAGAGGAGGGCAGGAAAAAGGGACTGGGAACTGATTTATTTGTTCTTCCTAAGAAGGGATAAGGCAAAGGGCGGGGGGTGGGGAGGGGAGGGGAGGGGAAGGATAAAGTGGTGGTAAGGGTGGTGATGACGGTGATGGTGATGGCATTGACGACCGGTGCAAAGACGGCATTTGGCGAGGAGCACAATGTGTCTGTTTACATTAGTAACATGCGGTGAAAACGTTCGGATGGGCGCACTATTATGAGGACCTATTTTGCCAGGTCAGGCAAAAAGAAGGCAAGACGGCAGGGCAAGAGGGCAAATTTTGCCCAAATTTGTAGACTCTGCACGCACCCACGCACGTACGCACCATCAAGGGCAAAATTAATGTTGTAGGTGGCAACATCCTTCTTCCTTCTTTTCAAAAATCTTGTCTTTTTCGATTCAAACGACTTGTAAGAGGTACTATTTAAAGCCTGAATAATTTATTTCATTTCAGGGAATCAGTGGAAAGTCTTTTGGCCTCTCAACATTCCGGTGGGATGATTTCAGCCCTGACCACAGGACACTTTCGAACGCCTCCAGCACTGAACACAGCACATCCACATTCTGATCGCAACTCGTCCTCGTCCTCCGCCTCCTCCTCCTCCGCCTTCCATACCATCACTACGACTAACCCGTCCAACTCCCTGACAAGCTTCATGCAACAGATGCTCACTTCCACACTGGCTCATCGCGATCTCCCACCGAATCTCCCTCTGCCATCCAATTCTGCGGTGGCAATGCTGGCCTACCTCCAATTGGTCCATTCCTTAAGTGGCCATGACAACAGCCAATCGCAGTGGACGGAGAGGGATTCTGTGTCCTGAGTGATTTACTGGTGCTACTAACTTTGTCCCTCCTATTCTTGTGTGTGTGTGTGTATATAGGCCACATAAAAAAAAGCTGTTAATACCTTACCTTGAGCCTGAAATCCAGATCGAGAGATCTATTAACGTTGCTGGGCCTAGCGGACATTCAGTTCACGCATGGAAGTTGCATTTACCGAAGGGAAGTAATCTAACCTGCTGAAATCACACCATCCCGGATTCATGGGGCGTAAAGTAGAAGGAACTTTACTTTGTTATGTGAATAAGGCACTGCTTAAGGATCTAGTGATACCTCTCTCCGAATGGGGACATTCCCAGCAAAGGCGAGGGACAGGATGGAGTGGGAAGAGGTGTGACGATGACATAAACATCTCGCCAGTTGCCAACTCGCCTTATCCCCTTTCCCTACAACATAAACAAGCACCACCTTTTGTGGGAGGTCAGTAAAATGAGGCAGCAGTGCCATTTTACCGCATTTCTTTACCACATCAAGTGGGTCAACAATTTAACGTCCGGACAGTGCGGTACAGTGGGTGAAATGGTGCAGCACCACAAATGTCATCTCCACGCCTTGCAAGAGGAGTGTGATGGCAGGAAAGGTTGACGAGACAGATGGATTTCACAGCCTGAGATAAGCGAACGAATGCTGGCAGGTGGCACCTCTGAGTGTCCCTTTCTTCCACTAGTTGAGAAATCAAATAATGGGTCTAGGTAGTTAAAAAGGCCAATAACAAGGCTTGACAATATTCAAAACTGACAAGACTAAGTAAACCAGATGATAAACAGCGAGTAAAAGAGGGAAAATCCTGGGGAAACTCGTCATGGAGGCAGGAAGCTACTCCCGGGGCGGGTTGTCAAAAGTTTTCCATTTGTGCTTGCTAAACTGACAAAAATTTCCCAAAATTACACTAATGAAACTCGTATTTGTTTCACCTAAAGCCTCTAAAGGCGATACAGTGATTTTACCGTGGAAATTGTGAGCTAGATCCATTGAAAGTGGCTTGGAGAACTTCACTGAAATGGGCGCACACCCTTATGAGCTGGCACACACACACGGATTCGGGCTCGGGTGAGGAGTACAGACAGTGTACGGCAAAACGTGTGAAATTTTGCACACAAAGATGTGCTTTAGGAAATTTGAGAAAGCCCCTCTTGCAAATTATTGCTGGCCCTCGAAAACGCCAACGACGAGAATTTACGCGAGGGAGGGAGAGAGAGAGAGAGATTTTGAAGATTCAACTTCCAAAGTGAAGGCAACAGTGACATACAGTTGGGCGATTTTGGGAATGAGTGAAACTTAAAACTTTCAAGTTCTGTGTGATTACTGAATAAAAAGTAAAGAGGATATTCTTGAGCAGCTACATGACAGTTAATTTACAACTGCACGAACCAAAATGCATTTAAAACTTTAATAAGCTCTCCAAATTAGAATTGGTGGTCTAATTATAATTTATTTTAGCAAATACCACCATGAATTGGGAGAATGGTGCTATCCTACTAAAGGAAGGCAGTAATTTTATCGAGATTTTCTGGGATTTCTGGCGAGAGAAATATGATGATCGAGTGATCTATTGATCAGAGGGTGTCGAGTTACCGGTCTTTGTTAAGGAATCACAGTTCATCATTTCCAGCATACAAGGATTATAGTAAGAGGAATTCACACGAATTTTTAGCGTGTGATTTGAAGCATGCCCCTGGCGCCTCAAAATCTATGCAGGTGGCAGAAGATCAGATTTCTGCAGAACGTCGCCGCACAGTCACCACTACACACACGTGAGACTAGTTTATTCACTGTTTTTACTGATTACTTTTAAGTAACAATTGTTTTTTATAATACTATGCGGGGCTCGTGTACGACCAAGCGGTCGACTGACTGTTGTCTACAAACAGATCAAATGCAATGGTGGATGCGAATCCGACGAGTGTGAATTCGCGTGTCGAGTTAAATTACTATTTAGTATCAAAAACTTAATGTCTATCTCCAAAACAATGTTGTATAATGTTTTGGTCCCCTGCTCTTTAATTATTTGTCGGATTGCTAGGTTAAAGGAAAGTGAGATCCACTTGAAAGGATTAAGCGCAGCTCCAAGACTTTTTTACCAGATGTGATGGATGACCAGCTAGTACATGCCAATGTAATAAACGGGGTAGATTTATTTGTCACTACACTTTCTGTACCTAGAGCATAAGATGAGCGTTGCTTTGTGATGAAAATGACCTGTCACTATTTACACGAGCTGATTATATTAATCATTAGCTACTTTCTTTATTTATTCATATAACCTCTTACATCGGTAGTCACCCACCTATTAGGATCGAATGATTAAATCTCCTGAAAGTGCAACAGATTTTATTAACGGTAAATCACTGGATGTTTCTTACTACTATATTTGTAAATCGTCATACTAAAATGGCCTTACGAAATGCTTTCGCATCCCTATGGGTAGGACAAAACCATTCGTCTCTATTATTTCAGTGCAGCTAGAAACATTTTCAAATTTTTCCGTATTTTGGGAACAAGTGAATGAGGGTAGCTGAATTCACTACTTTCAAACGCCCCTCATGTGCCTGAGTAAATTTCAAGGAATAAGTTGCATGATAAAATGAAAATCCTCAATCATTTGCAAACATTGAGCATTTTTAGCCAGTCCCGTTGATGATGCATAGAACTGTCTGCATTAATTTATATCTTTTTCTATGAGAAATAGCGCTTCAATGGTTCCAGTTTGGGTTGAAAGTCAATTTACAAAGGCAAAACCATCAAATAAAAGTGGCGTTTCAGGCAGTAATGAGACACTCCTACAATTATAACGTAACTCGGGGACAGGCAGTTTACCATCTCGGATGAGTATAAAAGGAAAGACTTCTTGCCAGATGTCACAGAATCACAAGCCGAACGTGGAAATCATTGCGTTGTTGGGGAAGCAGATATGATCATTTTGTCAAGCACCAGCACTGTAGCATTCACAGAATTCATTGTTCCCATCTTCATCTTTCTTATCCAAAGCCTACCCTTCCTTTATGGCCTGAGTAAATGCAAAAATTACACATGATTCGACAGAAGTTTGCCAAATTTCAGAGTGGTCAAATCGTTGTTATGGGCAAGGATGCAATCTGTAATTGCGCCGACGAGAAGCAATCGAATTAGACTTCTTCGTCCATTGTGACTCCTTCCTGCTTTTCTTTTTTGCACTTAAGACTAGCCAGCAGAGCAAACTATACACCTTTTCAGGTATTATTTAAATTTGCAGTGAGGACGTACGTCCTGTATGTTTCCACTTATATCATCGCAGCGCAGAGCCCATTGCTAGTGCAGTTTGGCCTGCACTAGTCCGCGGCCAGCGAGCGTAAATCCAACAGCACTGTTGACCTAGTGGATGGTGGTTTTGGAGACTGAATCTGTGAAGATTTCCCACAGAAACGAACTTAGCCTAGCTTGGCAACCGGTATCGGCAGTGAACTAATAAATGTCACGCAATCCAAGTGCAATTTTAGGGTGTATAACAGGGAGGCCGCAACTTCCTTGTTGGTTGCCCAGGTGTATTTTTTGTATGTTCTCATTATGTAGGGTTTTATGCATTGGCAACACTGGAATCCTGTGTAAAAGTAATTGGATATAAAATTTCTGCACGACTTAGTCCAAAATGTCAACTACCAATTCTTGTGGAAAGAATGCACTTGGTGGGCACAATCTCACCTTTATCGCCGAGAGCGCTGTTTTAATGAGAGCAAATTCTTCTCTGAAAGGAGTTGTTCATGTGCGGGAGACATTTATACTGAACTAACAAAAGTTGAGTGACCCTGACGTCTGATTACAGTAGCCATAGCAAAATGGAAGTAACAAACCCGAAAAATTACTGCCGTATCAGCAACGTAACGGTCCATCAGGCTTTGGGGAAGTTAAGTGAAAATGTTGGATACATCTGGGCTCCTTTTTATGGTCTCTCGCTATTTGTTAAGGAAAGAGCGCACGCCTAAACCTTTAAGTACTCATCCTCACTACTGTCATTGTGAAGATTTTTCTCCAGGCGAGAGCCATTCAAAGGCGTTGGGTAATGCAACCTGCTTTGAAATGGAGGTATAGGGGCACTGAAAACTCCTTGTCTTTTAAAGAAAAGTATTTTCCGACACCCTCTTAAATCCACTTTACCCCAAAAAGCCCCAAAAGCCCAATATCAAGAGCCACATACTTGGACCTTTCGTGGTTTATCACTAGTTAGTCTGGCGATCGCAACACAACAACGTCTGCATTAATTCGGCTTTTTCCTGTGGGGCATCCACTAGCTTCTAACAGTACCCAGGCAATGAATCCTCTTGTCCATAGTGCATCATACCGTTCTGGGATGAAATTGAATATCCACAACTGGAAGCGCCGAGGACGATATTTGAAAGAAGGGCTTAGCTTTGTGACATTATGACTCTTGAGTCCACACAATTTGCCCACCATCATGATGTCCTAACTCGTTTGCTTGGAGAGACGTAAAATCAGTTTTTTGCATGGCATTTATTGACTGTGGAGTTAATAAATAGGGCAACAACCCTCAGCGGAAGTCGTCACAAAGTACCCGATTGGCGTCAAGTTTAGTAATCTACTAAGGACAATGATTCTGGAAACGCCCACAAACGACCCGATCCTACCAATGTCAGCGGGTAGAGCGCAGACAGAGTGGCGGTGTCTCAGCTCAGGCCGGCCGGACTAAACGGTAACTTGCAACTTACACAATGACAGGATCTGATCAGTGACAGAAACATCCAGCCATAGTTGGCCGAGGATTTCAACAAAGTGCTGGTTTATCAAGCTCCTTGGCTCCGACAGATGGGATGGCATTTCTCATCGGAGATTGCCTTCGTCTCATCACTGGAGCTACCAAATTTAACAATCAATTTATTCTTTGCCTCGTAAAACGTGGACTATGGCGGTGGCAACACGATGTTAGCTTTCATTCCACACAAAGTAGCCGTCCACTCTCAGCAAACGTCAAAGTCCATCGAGAGGAGGTAAGAAAGGCCACTGCAGTGGATGACTGGGTCTGCGGAGGTCGACTGCATTTCGCAAGACCATGACAGAGGCGAATGGAAGACGCTGAGGTGGTTTCACAATGAGAAGTGGTATGGAGAATACCCACGTTCAGTCTGCAGCGATATTCCCGGACGAAGTTTCCGCACCGCAGTTGTATAATTCGGAATGAATGAATGCCGTTGAATTGTCACTAAACTTCGCGGTTGGGTAACCTTCAGTTGAAAACTAACGTGCTGGACGGTGGTGAAGATTAAACAAGACAAACTAAGGATAATGCTCAAGGCAGGACGGAGGTTGTGACAGGATAAAAGTGTGCTGCCAATCACAAGAAGTTCTATTCAAACGAACTCCAGTGGACAAAACTGTCCGGCATGTATGTTGGCGCAGGTAATGACAAAACTCCACCTACACCCACTTCAGGTGTGTTAGACTTCACCGGCCATTCCATCTCCATGGTTGCAGTCATCATTCCACCCTCGAAAGAGAGTGGTCCAAACTCAGGCGGCAGAGGATTTTAGAGCTAGACTGTAAAATACTGTTGGCGACAGGGGGAAATGTTCCAAGGAAATTTCCTACTGCTGCTGACTGAAAAACAAAAAGACAAGCACAAAGAAAAACACGCCTTGTACTCAGACAATAGAAGCGTTGTTTCTACAATTCACAAAATCATGACAAACACTGATGTACGCATCACCAAGGTATATAAAACGTACTAATTTTGTGTGAGTTAAAGCAGGGAAAATGGAGTACAGGTGATAATTTGATAAGACTGGAGAGAAAGGGGGAGAGGGAGAGCTCATTTATGTACAAATATATCAAAACACATGTATTACTTCTTGCGACTCTTCTGCTCAGCAATTTTGCAACATTCGTCAGCTTCCATCCTGAGGACGGCAGTTACCTTGTCAATATCATCGACACCGCAGTATTCAAAGGAGTCATCATCCTCATCTTCATCCACTTCCTCAATCACTTCTCCCTCCTCCTCAGGTCTGGAGAAATGCGGACTCACGTCCACTTCGGCGGAAGTCGAGTCAGACTCCATGCTGTCTAAAATGGTCGGCATGGACGAGGGCATAAGCCTCAACCGCATCGGAGAGGAGCAACCGAACCAGGCTTCTCCATCCACCATTGTTCGTTTTCGACTGATTTCTAAATCACCGTTTCTAAAGTTCACACCGTGCTTCTCTGCACAGAAACACACAAGCTCATGAAGCTCGCCAGCGGAGTAACCCATGAGAGTTTTTAGGTCACAGATAAATTTGTAGCAGAAGCGTTTGCTCTGCACCTTTGCGATCATATCCCCATCGTAATAGTAACGCAAAGCTCGTGAGAGCTTCTCGTAATTCATTGCCGGTTTGTTCTTGCGCTGACCCCACATCGCCGCCACCCGTTCGGGGTTGGCAAGCATGAACTCGCCGTCCCTGTTCACCCAGTGGATGGCGTCCTGGTGGCGCCAATCAGTGAGGAGATCCAACAAGAATTGCCACAGATGAACCTGGCAACCACTACCGGCCGCGGACGACTGAGCGCCTCCTCCCCCTCCAAGCGCAACGGAGGGCATCTAAGGGCGAAAGCCATAATTCCCTTGTCATTGCCATTTTTTGTCAAATTGACACTAGCACGAAGCTAATTCAGTCCAAGTAAGCATACTCTTTACAGCATTTGCTATGATAAAATCAAAACTCACGGTTATGGTGCCTGAGTCGTGATGATGGGGAGGTGAGAGGGCCGATACAACCCGATATTTCCTCACACTATTAGGAGCACCACTACCGTCAACCGACAGAGAGGGAAATGGGGAATAAATGCGCTCCTCTGTACGGAAGGCTGCGACGGCGGCGGCGTCAGTGTTACCAGTTGAAGTCACAGGAACAACGGAAGAATTTCTATCACTGGTGCCATAGAAACTGCTCCCATGAGCAGTAAAACCGGCCTGTGTGGGTGTAGGCACGGAAGTGAAGTAGGAGGAGGAGGTTGAGACGGGGGAGGAAGAGGCAAGACGTCCATAGGAGAGCTGTACACTAGGAGCAGAGGGTTGACTGATACGCGACTGAAAACCTCCGCCGTTGAGACGCAGGTTACTTGTGAGGGGAAGGGAGGGCGAGAAGACGGCTCCATTCAGACCTGTTATGCCGTTGGCTAAAAGGTAGCAAAGAATTCGGTAAGTCGCTGCAGGTGCGCATAATTGGGCGGGAGAAATAGGACGGTTCGTACCGGTGCCACCGGGGAAACGAGTAATCACAGTGCTGCCATTAGTTGTGGAATAGGCGGAGGACGAGGGACCATTGGAAGCGTACTCTCCACCACCGTTGCGGGAGCTGCGAACCCGCGATCTGCCCATCTGACGGTAGACGCGCTGAGAATTCTGCGGTACCGTGTACGGTTGTACTTGCGGTTTGTAGGGAACACCTTAAAGGGATACTTTTACTTATTTACTCTTAGTAGACACACATTTCAAAGTGAATTAGTGATGAAACAAAAAAAAGTACAATTTAAGTGAAACTACGCAAGTTTTGGGTTCAAAAACAGCGACGAGCAATTCGCTTACTTTTAGCCTAGCCCAACCTAATCCCGTTACTTTTCTAAATATCATCAAAGACCTAACATAAACTTTGAAAACTCATTAATTGAAGAAGTTTATGAAGTATAAAAATGATCCTAACATAAAATGCATTCACTATTTTAGAATGAAAAACCTATGCATCTTTCAACTTCTTTTTTCAAAAATACGACGCATAAAACCAAACGTTAAGCCGACAACACTTTCACATTTCTCGAAAAATTTCCCTTGTGTTTGGACTAACTGCTAAACGTTCGGCGCTTTAAGCGCCAAAAAGGTGAACAAGCGTGTCAAATTACTGAGACTCACAGACTTCGCGACAATTCTTGAGCAATTCGAAGTGAGTGAAAAAGGCCACGTTGGGAGTGGCTGTTGAGCCGGAGAAGTTAAATCGTGCGGAGAGGTCAGTAAGTGAAAGGCCCAGCAGGTCCTCGCCTAGCAGACCTTCAAAGGCCCTGGCTAATTTACCACCATCACCTCCCCCGTTAGCGTGGTGATGGGAGCTGGTGGAACCGTTATTCACCAGTTTGAATTGCTTCAAAGCCCAGTTTATCCACATCACCACCTGGACACATAGATTTAAATAGGGAACAAAAGGCAAAATTTGCGGTTCCGTTGACAACAAAAGGGTGAAAAGGAGGCGGAAGCGAAGCTTTACCTGCGTTGCATTCCATTGGCCGGGATCGCTCGGAATGCTGTTCATCCTCATAAGCCGATGGTAGTGCTCGTCGATGGTCCATTTGCCACCGACATCGTTACCACCGCCAGCAAGACGCTCCATTATGACAGCGTAACTTGAGCCATACTGGGAGGTGCCAACGCGTGGTGTGGAGTAAAAACTCGATGGCAGCGCTACAGAACTTTGGTTGACAACGCTGTTGGAGGCGGTGGTGGTAGAAAAGCGCTCCATGTTCTCGATGGCTCTGTTAGCGGCATTGAATGCCTCGAAAACGGCACTGGATGAGATAAACCTGGACTCCTGACCTGTGGAAGACCCCTCGGAGTTAAGGGTACCATCGGATCTGACGTTTGAATGTGATAAAGCTGATGACATGCCGTTTAGGCTTGTCGCCGCGTTGGAACGATGTGACTGTGCGAAGGGAAATACATAAGACATTTAATAAGCCCCTGTTGGAGGACACTGCTAAGAAACATTTCATAAAACAAACAATATTTAACACTCAGTGTAGAATGAGAATGCAAATGCATTTCCCGAATTAAAATGTTTTGTTAAAATTCGTTAGTCACTAAGTTCAGTTCTATGCAAACAAGTGTTTCTGTAAACACTATTATAAAAACTATTCAGCTCCAGATCACTTAATATGCTGTCGAAGAATCCACGTTATCAATCGAAATAGTGTTTAGCTTGAATTATCATTCCACCAACACCATAGTGAATTTTAATTGCAGAAATTGTGAGAGGCTTTATAACATTCCCCGTTTCGGTCGTTCAACATGATAGGTAAAATTTTAAAAATACAGTTCTCAATAAAGGCTGTTTAACATTAGTCTTGCAGTATTAAAAAACTGAGGCGATAAAATAACTTCGAAATGCCGAACTGCCAAGTCGATAAATCAGCTTTTATAGCCAGGCAGAACTTGCTTGACAATGTAAGAAACCACTAAAGCAAGACCCAAAACCACAGATTCTCCAAACGAAAGCTTTCGGGAGACAAAAACTGGCCACGTCATGATTGGTGGAGGGTTCAATTGATAATTGGTAGATGCAAAATGTGCTAAATGAAAACAATCTGGAATGAAATACACGAGGTTTGAGTTTCGAGGTCTTAGTTGAAAGTAGCCAACAAGCAATAGCCACCGCACCAAAGCTAATTTGATTACCCGCCCAAAAATGAACACAAGCGACTTAATGAAACGCCGATTGCATCTATTAAGTGTTGGTAACACATAACTTTCCCACGTAGAAGGGATTACTACCATAAGAGAGCGGCAATGCGACCAGACACGTGCAAACGAAAAATAACACTACCTTGTCTGATTGGTATAAGAGCAATAACCTATGCGCATCGGTCATAACTTAGATTAATTCAGTGATGATGCAACTAGCTTTATTTACGGAGGAAACCGACAAGGTATCACCGACGTTTTCCACGTCCAACTCAAGAAGGAGCGAAGCAGAAAATCGAATGGGGAAGTATTGACGTCTAAAGCGTTCGTCACTATTAATAATTAAATTAACAGCTGTAGTAAATGAGTACGATTAGCAAGTCTCTTTGAAAAAGCCAATGATAAAGCGAGTCAAAAAAAAAACAAATTTGCCCTTCTGATTAACATGGCTAACCGGAATAATGCTCAAATACAACTAGTGTGGTTTTCGTAGCAGCACATTATCAGAAACGCAGTTGTAACGGAAATAATAAAATCGACACGCTGAACACCACACAAGAATGAAAAAACGCAAGAAAACAAATGCTACCTGGCCAACACCACCCTCACTCATTCTATTTTTGTTATTAAGGGCTGGAGATTCTGTACAATCCACTTCGGCATCAGGAGAAAGAATGTCGACAACATTTAGTCGGGTGAACCGATAGGACGATATATGGGTGGGCATGGACTTAATTTCCAGTAGCAGTTGGACCATTCCGCTGGGCTGTATACAATGAGCAGATAGTGGCCAGTTTCCGTGAAGCTACAAAGGTGGACGAAAATAAGGACCACCTACCCGAATACGGTCATTGAGGTAATACTGACAATCTTTGAGATCGAGACCAAAACGACGTTGAAGAATGCAGGCAATTTCATTAAGAGTACGATCAAGTGAGACAATAAGACTTATTCGTTTGTGTGAGCTACTGGCAGCCTTTGCAAAGCGAGAACCGGAATGACTTGGTCGGTTTGAGTTCACCATGGATGAATCAGAACTATTCCTCAATTTAAAAATACGGGACATTTCCAACAACTATCAGCAGGATCAAACGTGCTCAGGATGAATGAGTCATAAAATCAGGGAATATTTGTGAATTTCGGGGGAATCGGTTGTAACCGCAAGCAAAAAAACGTGTTAAACAAAGTAAACTTATGCAAAGTTCTTGAATGACTTTGGATTAGCGAAGGGGTCTCGAACAGACTGCAAATAACAACCAGTACATAAAATGGCGTCACGTTTATTCAAGCTAAGCGCTTGGCTAGCATAAAGGGGCAAGTAGATACGAAATTGATACAAACTATCTAAGGTTACAGCATATAGTAACCTATTTTGAGAAAGAGAGTAAGTTGGATATTAAAAAGTAAAAAACCGAGAAAAAAATAAAAATTTGCCGGTGGATTTTTTGATGGGATTACGACTTGACATATGAACCTAGAACATTCCTGTGTGGTACAGAGCTACAGTTACAGCAATCTTCATTTGCTACTAATTCTCAGGAATCCATCTTTTTTAATCAGACAGAACTTGCTATGCATTAGAGATATTCGTAGCCCCCCAAAACTTACCTGAAGTCGAAAGAAGACATAAAACCCGGGCAGATGTATTTTCGACTTAGAATAGGGCTTAGGACTGCTGCTCTAAACGAATGTTAGCCAAACACTTAGCCTATTACATAACCTCTATTCTATTTTGAGCGTCGTCTGCGGTGTTCTCCTTTTCAACTATAACTAAGTGATCAGTGCTCTAAGAAAAAAAACATGCATGATCCAACCATAACATGTATCAAATTCCTATAAAAGTGAGATTATATTTTACCCTAAGGGCACCGTGGAGCGAGACTCCTCGGTCTCCGCTTTCCTTTTCCAAGCGTTCTTAGACAAGCCCGGTTGATTCGCATTGGACATCTTTATTAAAGGTGACAAGATGGATGGGGAAAATAAAATATTCAAGAAGGAGTGGAGCCGTTGTCGCTAGGTAAGGGAGAGGGCGATCCGGTCACAAGGTTCGGATTTCCTGATTGCCTCCTCCCCAAAAAGGCGCATTAAAACAACATAAGTATTACAGCACTGCTTCCATCCAGACATTCCTACTTGATCTGCAATTCTACCCTGCATAGGAACTGTAGTAGGGGACTGGAAATTCTGCGAATCGCTACGCGTATCCATAGCTAGTCATTACAGCAATAATATAAAAGCAGGGTCGTATAACAAAGGATTGAGTCTAACATGGTTAAGTGGGGATAGGGTTTCGTTTATACTACATTTTGGCTCTTCATTCTCATTTAAGTGCTGCCCATTTGCATCTATCTGGGTTCTTTCCAGCTAGCAGAGAAGTGGTGAAGGCGTAGCGCTTCCAGAGTCGTAAATAGCTTCCCTGTAGAACATAGGACTGAGCAGTTGCTTAAGGTAGACGTTATTTTCAGTCCTTTTATTATGGGCTGCCACAGCACTTTCTCCTACCCGCTAAGGTTAATCATTCAGTGGTTGAAATCAAAATGGATGTACTGTATGTTTCGATTTGCTTTCTGCTGCAACCACTACGGCATTACGCGACTTACCTGAAGATCAGAGAAGATAGGTGTTGCCCTAGTATATTAAGGCCAGCCCACCCGGGGGACGTACAAAAGCGACGCCCAGAACTGGACCGTTACCAAGGCCGCGAGTTAAACAATGAACGTAATAAAATACTAAACAGTTACTTAAATAATTCAGCTGACCATTTTCGAACAAAAAGCACAATGGATTCAGGAAAATAACGCCTCAAGGAGTGAATTGTCTACCTTATTTGGGACTGAATAATCAACTCAACCATATATAGTGTATTGCCTTGAGCCTTCGCCGAAGTTTTCCTAAGGCACATCATAAAAGCTATTTTCCTGCATAGTCCCTTTCTTCTTTTAAGCTTCAGCTCAGGCTCTCTCCTTCCGAAACTCCTACGTCGGCCACCACAGAATTGTTGATGTTTTGAAAAACACTCCTCCAACCGGCAACGTTTGTCGCCGAATTTTCTGGTATTCCTGAGTCCTCTCTGCGATTACGCCGTTTCCAGAGTTTTGCCCTATTTGTGAAATAAAAGGCGAAGTGGACTTTTAGCGACCTCATTATGCTCAAGACTAGCATTTTCAATGCCACCGTCTGATCGTGAGGAAATTAATTGGCTCAACAGCAGGGCCATCAGGTAGAAGACAAGATTTCAAGCAGTTTTATGGAGCCAGTGTTTTGCATCTAGTCCTCCATGCCACGCTATTTCAATTTCAATGCCGCCTAGCCACCTACCACCTGTCTGGGTTTCATTCAGCTAGTAGAGACGCATACGCCTCTATAATGGACTTTTTGAAAAGATCCAAGTTTAGTTTCAATCCGGTCTTTAATAGCATTTGTTGGAGAGCCCAAGACTGCAGTAAGTATGAAAGCAGACATCATTTTAACCCCTCTAATAGAGGTTGCCACGGATTCGCTCTCCGTGGCAGATACCCTTCTTCTCTCGCGCTAATGTGTGGTATTTAGTTACGGACACTTAAGCTTTTGGTAGAACTAACTTGAAGCGGTCACCGAGTAGCATCCAGAGTTTTCATCAAAGTTGCATATATTATTAAACATATTACTCCTATAGAAGTGCTAAGATAATGTTAGCGTGCCCAATCAGTAATTATATTGTACGTTGCTGGAAAGGCCACTGTTTTCTGTTACACCTGCAACGGCCTCGTCGAATGCTTCACTACTCGCTGGAATCCAGTACCATGGCTAACTAGATTAAGCCTTCTTTATGCGGAGTTGGCTCTACTGAAAAAGAAGTTACGGAGTGTTCTGGCGGTGTTTGATCCAGCACCTTGACTTTCTACCATTTGTGGGGTTCATCCTACATTGAATGCATTTAACCTCAAACACAAAACTTACTAGTCCCACACTTTCCCCTGTACGCCTGTATAAAAAATCACGAATGCATTTGGACTTCACTGTTTGCAGCAGGTGGAGCGACATGAAAGGAGTGGATGAAGTTAATACATGTTGATGACTTTCCTCCTTCCACCTTACAATTCATCGCCATTACCCCAATTAGAATTTCAAACATGTCTCCTGCATAAACTGCTTACTCGTGTACGTCAAAAGTCACCCTCAGTTGGTCCATCGCGCATCCACCGCATGCACACATTGCGTATTGTGCAACCTCCCGTACCTTCAACAAATTACACCCATTGATGCCTATAGTCCAAATAATTTTTGTGCCTTAATAATACTATTTTCTCTACGGTGGAATGAGGCAAATTGCATCCTGGTAGATGATTCTGGGGGCACCGTATAGGACACATATTTTATCTCATGGGAAGTTAGGAGCAAATGTGTAAAGCTTTAGAACCGTTCAAATTCGCAGCGAATGTAGAATTAAGTGCCAAATTTTTGAAAAGAACCTTGAACTAGAAGCCTTCTAAAGCTTCCTAAGGGAAAAGCTGCCATAATTATTATTCACTAAGGTTTTTTGAATTAAGCGCAACAGGTAACCTCAATCTAAACTTCTGCTTTTGCAGGATTTGGCTGAAATTATTGTCTTTATTTTTACCATATAGCAAAATTTTATGAAGTGTTAAAATGTGGGTTTGGACAGTTTGGGTCGACCCAATATAGGACCACGCTTATCGATTTAGGTGGCTCTAGCGGTCTCATTTGTGTTGTCGCGTTTAATCAGTTCGTTTCGTTTACTCAGTTTGCCACAACACTTCATACAAGAACTGTATGTTTTTTATTAGATTGTGCCGCATTTATTATATATTTGGGAAACTTGCCTTGTAATTTTGTTCGCATACCACGTCCAACAATATTGCATTGCTTATTGTTCGATAGCTATGTGGGTGTGCTGCGAATTCTTATTGGGGAGTAACGCAGTTACGCCCTATCTTAGCGATATATTTTTCTAGTTGGGGGTTTTGTCATGATTTTTACAAGAAATTTTACTCACCCGCGTTTGGAGCCTTCTTTTGCATAACAGCAGGGTTTAAATGTTTTGAATCATGCATATGAAGTTGTGATTTTGATTTAGTTTGTTTGATTTTAGTCTCAAGGATGTAATTACATAATGTGAAAGCTATGATTAAATTTAGTGCATAGTTAGAATTGGGAAGTCGGGTTAAAGAGTAGGAGCACATTTAGTAGAGCTTTTTTTCTCCCGGAAATGGAAATTGCTTTCCAGTTTTGCTTTGCTTTACTTTTAGCTATTTTCGAAATTTCCCACTTGGGAATAGGGGACTGTTTCAGTTCTCTGTTTTTTAAGATTTAATGTTAAGTAGTCAAACGCTTTATCAGTGGAGTGTCAATACTTTGTTGTTAGTTTTGCAGCTCAGTTCTTGCGCTCGGATGGCGGACATCAAGTTTTTCTCAGAAAATCCAGCTGACGACATCTTTACTGATGATGAAGATGTGGATTCCTCATTTAATCAGTCCTTCCCTTCCCAACCGCATGCGTCCTCCACCAATGGCGATATCCCTTTAAAACGCCGTAAACTAACTCGGGGCAAGCAGAAGATTCCTATCTCTTTCATGCAAGACCGCGTGCGACGTTGCTCAACCTTTTCAAAACGCAAAACCGGTCTCATGAAGAAGGCCTTCGAGTTAGCTGAGCTCACAGGAGCCGAGGTGCTTCTTCTTGTCGCCTCGGAGACCAACCATGTGTACACATTTACGACAAACCGTTTGAAGGCCATCATCGACTCGGACCAGGGGAGGGAGTTGATTCAGTCGTGTCTTGGATCGCGTGGCCAAACCACCACGTCTTCACCATCATTGCCAGCCCCGCCATCAGCCTCGGCACAACTGCAACCCGCCCAATCTCGTGACGAGGAGAGCGACGGGCAAGGTGATGGTCGACCGTCACCGACGGAGGCGGAACCCCAGACGCTTTCAATTCAGATGATTGATGGCACGTTGCTCCACTTACCAGTCACCTTCCCTGGCGGCTCAGATCTGGTGTTGCCCTTTCTACCCACCGGCGATGCGCGTTCGCGGTCAGTGGCAGGTAAAGCCGTCGCTCCGCCACCGTGCTTAACTGTTGCCAACGGTGAGAACCAACCTCAACTCCCGACAACGACCGAGGAAAAGCCGGCGGCGCAATAACACCCACTTCCCCTTTATAACTTGTAATTTTACTTTGAATGAATCAAGTCTATTCGTTCTTCACGTTTACGCCTCTTCCTGACGAGGTTTCTCTGGAATGCGTCAAAGTGAGCCCTCAATGACAAAAGAGCTTTTTAACATTTTCTTTTATCCATTTGACAATCGACATCTGAAAGGGCACAACGACCTATGCGACCACATTGAGGAAGCAGAGAAAGAGGATCCTCTGCAACAGTAACCACAAAGATCGGTAGGTTGGTCACGTCAACAGTAGAGCATGAGTTCCCGAATCATCGCCACTTTGTCTGAGAAAAACATCCGCTGAGGCAAAAGTTCATCCGCACTCGCTCTACACGCAACCCTTGAGGTCGTAGTGCAGCGAGCATCAACTAAGGTCAGAAATCTGGCCTCTACATGTGTAAAACAACGGTTGAGTTGAACACAGCGTATTTTGAGCTATGGAGTAGAGGTTACCAACCAAGAAAAAGTAATCTGTATCAAAACATGCACAACAGTGAAGGGATGACGATGTTTGCATCGGTCTCAATACTGACGTCGAAAGTGTCCACGCAGAACGTAGTTTCCACGCATGCCCAGCTTAAGGTCGTCTTTGCTCGACTTGATCCACTTCAACATCTGCTGAAGGGCTTCCATGCGCGAGACGCCTGGAGCGCCGTAGGAGGTGTTTGCCAAGTCGCCACATCGCCTTATCGTTTCTATGGCGGAAAGCCGACGTCCACCAACACCTTCACTGCCTGTCGTTAGAGCAAGGCGTTTCCGACGCTCCGCCACCTCAGAGAGGTAAGACCCAACATTCTGTCGGTATACTGTCTGATAATACCGTCTGTGTCCCATAAAACCTCCCGTTGGCAGTCGAACTTCGTAAGCCTCCTCACCTCCCTCTACATTATCAGGCTGAAGTGGGGATTGCATGGACCAGAGGGTTAGCAATGAGTGCAGTAATTCAAATAGGAAAGAGTAATGCAAAGCAATACAATAAGATGTAAATGTCAAAGCGCTTATAAGTTTAAGCAAATTACCAAAACGACCGTTCTGTTGGCCCGATCAAGGGTGTAAAATTGACTGTATAGCTCTCCCCCAACACGGGCGATTGGAGGCAAAGATTGCCCTCTCTTCTTTTCGTCCTCTCCTACTGTCTCAGCAACTGCCAGTGCCACAACGACAGGATCCTCCTCACCGACATAAAGAAAGTTGTGCTGCTTATCAACCATGTGCATCCGCACTGCTTTTAGGGCCTCTTGGCGCAACTGCGAGAGTGAACGCTTGTGTCTATTTGTCCGCCGACCGTTGAACTTTCGACCGCAACCAAGACAAGCAAACTCTTCTCCCACCAAACGACCCAATTCGGTGAGCAGACCGTGTGCGTTCACTAACTTGTCAGAAAAGGGCAACACAAAATTATGCGCCTCCTTCATGTGGCGTAGCACACGAGACTCGGGTTTTAGAGAATTTGCGAAGGAGACACTACAAAAGAGGCATGCACCGACCGGCAAAGGTTGTCCCAAATTCTCCTCCCCATTAACTGTTTCAACATCGGTGCTGTTAACGCGTTCAGTGTCCGAGTCTTTCATGTTTGTCACGCCAGCTTCTTCCTGTTCATCGTACTTCCTGTAGGCACAACATCAACTTAAGCATTCGTGACTGTAGCCAATAAAGGCAATGAAAGTTAATCAAGTAAACCTACTGCTCAAATTCTCTCAATCTGGCCTTATGCTGCCGTGATCGGACGTGATTCTCATATGACTTGTTAGAGTTGAAAGTTTTCCTGCATGACTCACAATGGAGGTTCTGAAGAATAAAACGCGGTAACAACAACAAACTATATGCTACCAAACCTTTTTATCTTGTGGAATACTATCTGAACCACTTGCACCAACTGAATCAAGCAGCTCGTGTTTCTTCTGGAATTGAGCTTCGGACAACGGCGCCAGGGAGGCGATGGCACGCTTTAGGTTATATATGTGCCATTCCGAACGCAGATGAATCCTCAGCTCGGTGTCTTGAACATCAGCTTGACAAGTATGACAACGTCGAGCACTCATTCCTCTAAAAAGAACGATGCAATAAGCCAATAAATCAGGCAGGAAAAAACCGTTTGCTCTAATTACAATCGACTGTTAACTAGCAAGTACAGTGCAGATGAGTCAAAGCTGCACCAAATTCTATGCATCGCATTCGAATTAAAAGATGGCCATGAACCCCTCAGAAGAAAATAGTTCTCACAACAATATAGGCAAAAAAGAGAGATTAGAGCGCTCAATAATGTAGGAAAAAACCAGTTTATATGCGTATACAACAACTACAGGTATCCAGCCCACGCACAGTAAACACCACGCAGGAAAGGTGAAGTGCCGAACCCAATGTTTGAAACTGGCACACCGAATTCCGCTTTCGAAATTGCTTTAAATACTGAAGTAAAGCGTATATGTAGGAAACAATAAAAATCTTATAACATTTTCTCACTATTTTGCTCGCAGAAATTAGATAGCGGATCATGCAAACCCAGTGAATTCTTCTATTATTTTGGCATTTGGTAATATTATACTTCGTATTTTAACTTGTGGTATTGTATCTTGTACTTCTGTTGTCCCTATTTCAAACAAATTGGATGTTTTGTTGTTTGCGTTAAAATTTGTCTACCTACGCAAGCTCTTCAGTCACCCTGTCTCTTACCTCCGCTTAAATGCGTGGTAATATAGACATGCCTCTTGGCTAAAAATTTTTCCGTACCCTAGTGACAAGCGTTTTCTTTAGGTCCTACACATCCCATATTAGCTATAGAGAAGGTTAAAGGCTTAATAGTGGGGGAGACATTAAATATGAAGGCTTTATCTTCTGCACATAGAATAGAGTGGCATGGGAAGGAAATGCAATTGACGATAGAGAACGAGCCTGAGTTGCTAAAATTAAAGCGAAATAAAAGTAAGTCACTGCAATGGGTGGTGTCCTCCGCGTTTGTAGTCACGCTTCTGGTTGAGGATTTTGAGGCGAAATATAACTGTCTCCTCAAAACAGCCTTGGAAAGACTAAGCAGGAATCTTGCCAAACCGAGAAAGTTACCCCTTGGTGAACCAAATGGTGTAGGTCTTGTTTAGGCTCTCGCATATCGCATTCTTCGCAAGTCGGATTGCACCTTGAAAAGGTCCATTTGTGAGATGGTGCTAAAGGATGTGCTGCGAGCCGCATATTTCACCACTTTTCGACACAACAATTTGTTTTTAATTTTTACCAATTGGCCTGCAGTAAGCCTTTTTCCAAGACTTTTGTAATTTGTTAAAACTCCACCCCACCATATTAAGTGCTACTGTAACTCAAAAAAAATTCAAAATTTTTCAAAAGCGGATGTCAACTCATTCCCTCTATTGAAAGCCCCCCTCATATTTTGGATGTGCATAGTGAAAAGCTTCCTTCTACGGCTTCTAGATTTCGTAATTGGTTGATAAGGTCGAGCTCGTTCCTCACCTGTTTTTTTGTTCATCACTGTAACCAAAACAGCGTCCCATTTCTACCCCAAGGCTGTAATGTATCGCGTCAGTACATAAGAAAACCTCATTGTTGGTGTACGGATGGGATGAAAGGCTATGGAAACCCCCGCGAAGTCATTCAGTGGGACAAACTGCAATGGGTAAGCCGAGGTGCCTGAGCAGTTTATACTGGGTCAAAATGGATATTAAAATGCGTAAATTTAGTACAAAGGCTAAAGACGATGATATTCTGGTATTAATTTACTCTTTGACCCTGGCATTTTGTCAAGTTAGCCCTGACTTCCATTTCTGCGGTTTTTCGAACTCCGCCACTGCACAAAAATCCTTGATGAAATCCGCACCAACACTTTGATAAAACACTGCTAAATTAATTGAAAAGGAAAACCTAGAAGCAAAATATTTATAGGTAAGTAAAAGTAATATCTCCCGGAATTTATTCTTATCGGGGAAATTGGAAATGAAATTTTGATCGTGGTGAGGTCTACGGGTGTTGAATTAGTGTAAGACATAGCGAATTTTTGACAGAATTTCTACCCAATAGGTTCAAAAGCTACTTTTTCGGAATTCCAAACTAATCTTATTAAAAATCTCCTTTTGTATGCTAGAAATTGAGCTGAAACATAGTGCATTTACCATAAGAGATGACGATCAAACGAGTATTTTTGAGTGGAATTGGCACATACTATTTATCTGCACCAAATTTGTTCGAGTTATTAGTAACTTTAAACTTATCTTCTCATCGCAATGCTTGTTACAAAAGGCTGAACTGTGGACTTTAGAAGAGAAATAGAATATCGGTCCACGAAGAGGATATCTTTAGGGTGAACTTAACCACGGAGTTAAAGGTACCTGCTAACGAAAGTTTTAGCTGGCTATAATATAAAACAAGCCTTGTGAGCCCCTGAGTGGCATACATTTCTGCTTTTATTGTCCCATTTGTTCAATAATGCTACTTCCAGATATCTCGGTCTTACTTTTTTTCCAGACCTGGCTCGTGTGTAGCACACACATACGCATATTTATGTAGATGTTTGTTTGTTCGTATGCATGCACCAGTCATGTGAGTGTTTTTTAGTATTTGGATACAAAAAACAAATGTATTTGCATTTCCCATTCCCAGTCATACGGTCGGTCGGTCACTCGCTTCAGACGGTCCCACGGCCTGCCGCAGACACATCGAGAGCACTCGATTTTCCGATTCAAGTGAAGCTACACGTTGCTGGAGCTCGAGAAGCAGGTTCAGCTGAGCGGAGTGCGCCAAAGAGGGTGATGCCGAAGTGGAGCCGCAGCCGGAGCCCGAAGCGGAGGTGGACGTGGAGGCATTGAAGAGGTGATTGGTTGCTTCAGGCAACTGCAACCGAGTCTGACTCTGCTCCTCCCCTTGAATGTCCTCGGGGATGCTGAACTCCACTGGGAGCTGTTTCAGGTCAGACTCAAGATTTGGCCGTCCCACTGGTGTGGCAGCCCTTTCAAAACGAATCTGTGGAATAGGATTGTTTGTGGCCTCGGTTGGAAGGAAGATTGACGTGGTTGGAACTTCTTCACCCGGATTGTGTATTGAACGAAGAACTGCTGAGGTGATGGTTCGACGTTGAGTCTGTGTAACTGGTTCCACAGTCTCACCGTAGTTGCATTGAAGGGAGAATTGACGGTGGAGAATTGGAGCAGTTCTTGTAGAACAGCTTCGATCCAAAGATGTGTGACGATCACAGACAGCGTGACTGTTACACGGTAGGTATGACGAGTTCATAGAAAGTGCAGATCGACGTCGTTTTAGACCTAATCGACTGGATGGCGGAAGCGGTGGTGGTAATTGAAGTGGCAGAGTCAAAGGAAAAGGCGATCGCCGAGAAACAGACGACGCCGATGAGACACTTCGTTGTGGACGTCTGTGTAACTCCACTTCACCTGGAATGGATAGTCAAGTATGTGTGAGTCTTGAAGTAGCTTTTTTTGCAACAAGTTCGAGGATGAGAGGGTATGGAAAATTCTCGAGCTCGGAAAGAGAAGCACCATTTCTGAGATTACAAGCAGGATCAGCTTGGGGAATTGACGGTACATTGCCTATGTCAGATTAATCATTACTTAAAATGTTTTACTCATGCAAAGGACTACTTTGGATAAACACACCATCACAATTTTCACCAGACTGAATTGGACTTCTGCGGGAGCTGAGTCGATCAAAAGCGACCTTCTCCAGTTTTCGTTTGGCCGATGGATAGTCATTTAACACATTCCACAGGTCCTCCTTCGAGAGGCAGAAGAGATCGGAGTAACCGATGGAGCGCACAGACGCGGTGCGTCGGTTGCCCACGTTACCCATGTTGAGGATGGAAATCTCACCAAAGTAACTGCCAGGACCGAGAGTGGCTAGAATGGTAGCCTCGTCGGCGGCGAGGACATCCAATTTGCCTTGGCTCACAAAGAACATCTCCCGCCCAATTTCACCTGAAGAAATGTGCTGCAGTTAGGAGAAGCCATCCTGGATCGTGGGTTCTTTACCGAAAGAGGTTGCATGATCCCCTCCTCGGAGTTATTGCGCCTTGAATATGAGCATGGAAGGCATCCCCAGATTGATACTGACCTAGCTTAAGGTTTTCCGATTCGTGATAACCTTTCCCTTCATTTTTTCCTTCAAATTTTGAACTTTAAATGCTGATATTCGTGTAGATGACCTCTAACTGCCAAGAGAGGAGGGGCGTTTGATTAAGTGAGGGGAGAATTGAAGAGGATGATGTCAGTAGTGCAAGGGGCGATTTTTACGCCTCCGCCCATGGAATCCTGGAACTGATTCGCGTTGTTTTTCCTGATGCACCGCAGTCACTCCTCCTTCCCTATCGATGCCATTAAGGGATAATTGTCGTAGCTAAAAATAGGCTTCAAGAATAAGGAAGTAGGCTGGTCGAAGTACAGGCTAGAGACAGCACCCAGTGTAGCCAGTGACTGACTCGTACATTGTAGTCTCATTACACCATCTCGAGTTTATTTAAACGTTTTTTTCTTCACTCTCAACTTCTTTTGATAATTGTAAAACACGGAGGAGGCTGTGGACGTCTTTTTCTTTATCAAAATTTCGTTTCCACATCCTCTATGAACCAACCTGTCTTCAATGAACACCTTCATGAAGTTGCGGTAATTGTGTGATGATGAAAAAATATTCCAAAAGGAAAACTCCCATTGAAAATGATTGACTGGTTATTGAAAGTGAATGGGGAAAGAGGCCCCAAAAAGGGGGCAATTCAACTTAAAACTGATGACTGTACTCACGAATGCTGGTCAATGTGACCAGACAACTGTATGTCAAACCCAAGAGTCAGTTTAATAGCAAATTTTAATTGTTTGGAAGTAAAAGTGGCATACCTGGCCGTAGTGGGGGCGAATACAATTGTGAAAAACTACTGGATTAACCCTAGGTTTTGGTGAGGGGCAGATTTGTGCCTCGACCATCGTTCCTTCGCCTACGGGCTGGCCTCCGGCCAATGCCATGCGATGAGGATGAAGCTCAAAAGAGGAGAGGAGCCATGTAATATGTTGTTGGTTTGTTTTTTTTTTAACTCTCGGTTTGGATAAAAAGGCCCGATTGGATCTTGGCTACTATTTCCTCTCGGTTTTTGATAAAGGGTCTCGTTGTGTCGTGGCCATTGTACCTTCGCCGAGCAGGCTGGCCTCCGGGCCATAGCAGTAGCCCCAGCCACCTTTGTATGTTGAATGTATACATTCTGCCCCAGTTTTATGTCTTCTTGCATCATCAGGGAAATCTCAGGGCGCTACACAATGGCATTAACGAGAGTACAACCAACCACGCAGTTTCGTAGGCACGCCAAAATGTGGTTTTAAAGGTTAGAAAATACGGCAAAGCATTACTGAATTTCGCAATCAATTTCATTTGTTTTGAAGACATTTACAATTGCATTTAGAGTGCAGTATTTGTGGCTGAAGAGGTGGTCAGCATGGCAGGAAAATGATCCTTCCAAGAGTCACCACAAGGGGTGAAAAGGGAGATCGTCACAGCGATACCAGGCATTCACCACACCACTTCAATGCTGACAGCTGACAAAATGGGAATTGAAGTATCCAACGTAAGTAATCTTTTCAAAAATCAGCCATTGGGGCGACTAAATCCACCTATTTCCTGCATTACTTTTCCTATACGTTAATTCTGGTGATTGAGAAAAAGTGACTACTGGCGGAAGTGTTCTCTCCACCAGAGGCCGAAACAACATTGGTCAGCTGTTCTAAATATGCAGGAAAAGAAGGAACAAACCTTTTCGGCAGATAAAATCCCCGGGCGAGAAGAGCGCAGGACGAAGGCGAAGAACTAGGTCGAGGAGAAAGCCCTCCTCGGTGTCCTGGAACATGTCCACGCGTTTAAGCATGTCCAAGTGTACATGAATAGCCACTTCAGCCTTTAAGCGATCGGGTAAGTGCTTGAACACCCTCTGTTCGTCGGGAATGTGGCTCTGACGCCAGAGGTAGTCAAACCAGCACACTACACGCCGTTTCAATGTCTCCGGTGCCTTGCGTCTGACTAAATACATCCGAACTTCTGCCAATTGACCTAAAAATGTTTGTACTTGGATAATAATCATGGATTGTCCGACGTAGACAAGATGGCATGTCATGACAAATCAAGGCATGGATACAATTTAATAGCCCCAAAGACAAGTTCTTCATGCCGACAGGAGTGATCAAGCAAGAGGAAGGGAGGTGGAGATTGCATTGTGTGCTTTAATGTTTGAAGAATTAAGTAGATTTTGGATACAAAGGAGATATGTTACGCCATAAAAAAGAAAAATTCAAAGTGAATTATGCATACATATAACTTTGCATGATCATTTCGAAGGAAAACTGGAATCGCGTAAATATTTTGTCTAAGCACCGTAAAAATAATTACTTTTCCAGGCATTTTTACATCAAACAACTAAGTAGGCGCAGAGATGCAAAAATATGCTAAAATAAGCGTAAATATATCATATGAATGCAAAGGGAAGATCTGAGGGGATGGGAAGTTGGAGTTATTTTAAGAAAATAACAAGTCGTTTGAAAACTATTTACCGAGAAGTGTGCTAAAAATAAACTTGCTTTCAAGGCGCGCTTCTTTATTACTGCTAATAAAGAGAGCCCTTGAAGCCCTGGTGTGGTCTCCGACAGCGGTAGGGGTAAACAAACTCGATCCAAGTAAACAGCGGTTCCGAGTTAATTCGATAGATGTTGTACCGAAATCTCGTGTTTGTGTGTAGGTGTGTGTGTCCATAATGATTCATAGTGGAAGGTTTGCCAACCACCCCAATTTCCCCAATTTACGCATAATGGCTCCAAACAGAAGAATCAGATATTCAATGAAGCTGATGAATTTTGACAATCTCTTCATTTACGGCATTTAAGGCACCTTATTGCCGCAATGGTATCCCGTGTCCACATACCTCCTGCACCCTCCCCCCCGATCTTCCGTGCGTTAATGGCTATATTTGATTTAAGATAAATTCCTTATTTTATTACTAATACTGACTAGAAATTCAATCGTTCCAGCATAAACATTGAATTTTTGCATTTTACTGCTTTTAATTTTCATATATGGTGCTTGACCCTTATACACGAATTCTGCTTCAATTATACAAGTAGTTTCCTGGATGAACTATGGTCCTTTTTACACCAAAAATGCATTATCACTAAAGTAATTTTTGTGATTAAGTAAGACAAATGGCTCCTTGTTCCTTTCACTCTTCCCTTTTGATTTATTTTCTCTGTCCTCTACCTATGGATGCGGAAATGTGTAGAAACTTGCTCAGTCTCTATCCGAAAATGGGTATGTTCGACAATAGAATCGGTGTAAAAACTAGAAAAGGGAGGGAAAGAAAATGAGGGGTGGTACATTTCCTTTTTATCTATTCTGCATGTGGATGAAGTCAGAGAAAAAATTGCTACTTTATACGAGCAACCTTATAAAAGACTTTAGTTAAGGTAGCACTAGATTTAATATTTTTTACACAAGTAAAAGCAGTTCATATTAGTTCAGGAGATGTTGCTTTATAAATGTTTAAATTAGTAATAAGGAAATGCCACATCAACCTTAGGAAGTGGGTACATTTAAATCTAACATATTATCTCGGAAGACAGAACAAGGATGACTACTCGCTCCACAATTGATTATAACTCTGATTACAGTTGTAAAGCTAATTTAAAATATAAAATGAAGTTAAAACACCCAGAACCTGTATAATTACCTGAACCTTTGATATTTGCTCCATAAAAGACAATAAATCGAGGTGCAATTACCATTTTATGGAGTCCACTCTCGGACAGCGAGTTGTGCTCGTCATTTTGAATGCAACTGGGAAAAGCTGATACTATTTCTGTCTAAAGTTCACCCAAACAATACTTAACTTGTCCCGAAATCAAAACTTCTAACAGTGCAGCGTATGGGACAGAGTCATATTTACCTTCTTAGTTTGACTGACTGTTTTTTATTCCGTTTTGATCAAATAATGGCGCAATACTTGTGGGATTTTCGTAATAATAACGCTCAACTACTTGTTTTCATTTTTTAGCATTAGACTAACCAGGAAATCTTGATTTACTCTAAGAGCAAGAGGAAATGTCCTCATTTGTGTAGGTTAAATCAATTATGTATTAAAGTCTGCAAAATCAATTTTATCCTTATAGTACCAAGTGGTAGTACTGACTTACCTTCAAATATCAGCACAGTATTATTTAACTTCTTCGGAAGGAATGTAACTTTATTACTGGTACATGTCATATTTCTCCTCAGGACATCTAATATTAGAAAAATCCTCGCCCTGTCAATCCCGGTGCAAGAGACATTGCCATTTCAATGTTGTTGACGTTAGTGCCAATGTCATTAATTGTGCCAAATTTTGTCAGTGCAGTGCCAGCTTAGTGCAAAAAAAATAACGCTCATAAATCCTGCACAATCGGAGAATTAACAATGCAGGAAGCTTCTCTCTCCTATTTGCCACCGGGAAATCCTCATAAACTTACATTTGTCTCAGGTTCATATAAAATACAAATTTTTATACTGATGAAAACTTTCTACTTCCACCATTGTAGGGGACTTTCTTTTTTGCTGGAAGAGAAACTTGGCATTTGAATTAGTTATTTCATTAGCGGTGCTTCCTACTGGGTCACGCGATACAATGAGAGCATTTTCGAGTTACTGGGCGCAACTTACGTCGAAATTCATTCTCATTGACACGAGCATTAGCAACTAGCATATTCACATTCGCAATCAAGCTCGTGATGATGGCGATTCCAGTCAGTCCTTCAAATATAAGTAAAGCGTAGAGTTGCCATGCGTTTGTTGTTTCTTTGAGTTGGGGTTCTTTTTGAAGGGTTAGACAGAGCAAACTGTCATAGACGGAGTGCACGTAGGTCTCTAAGACATCACCCGTTGAGTTGTAGTGGAAGCCGAGAGATCGCATTGCACACTGGTAGAAACACGCATTCCAGTGCAGTCCGGTTAGGGTAATTATGATCCACCCAAAAGTGCGGAAGAAATTTGGATGGACAGTGCGTCGTTGAGCCATGTCAATGCTTTCAAAGAGCTTGTAGATTTTAACAAATCGCAAAATGCGCAGAAGCGACACAACGCCCACCGAAATGTATAGTAGGTCCAGGGGCAAAATACACAGACAGTTGAGATAAAAGCGCATTGAGTTAAGGTAGTGCTGTCTGGATTTGCGGGGGTCCTTTTGAAGGATTCCATTCTCCAGGTAGGCTATACGAAATCCCAGTAGAAGGTCGAGGAGATAGAGACCGTCTGCAGTGTAATCCAGTGTGAACCATACAGAGGCGGTCGCACTTGTGACTTCAGCAAATGCAAAACGGAAGGGGATGATCCACATGTTGTAGAGGCATGCTACACAGACCACCCACGACCAGAAGAAAATACAACTACCATCTGGTGCTAGAATGCAAACCGACTTGGAGGCCTTCTCCATACTCGTCAGCAAGCCTACACCTTCCTCTCCTGAAATATTTCGGGATGAATCAACTTGATGGCCGGTCTTCAAGCCGCTCGGAGATGAATGTTTGACCTCCTCGTCGAAGAGACTGCGTGGCGGTGCTCCACTATAGCTATGCCACCGAACACCTTCAGCATCCTGGTGGGCATCCATGAGTCGATGGTCACTCATTGCTGGACGCAGACGCGCGGACATGCTTCCATTGCGGCTGTCTGCACTACCAACATTACCTCCACCACTGAGATTGATGTCAGAGTTGGTGTCACTGGACGATCGACGCGGCAGACTGACGTTAAGACGCAGGCACGAGGAGGTCTCCTTGAAGGTACTCAATGCTGTGTTTGCACCTAGCGAGGGGATGCACTGAGAGGTTTGAACGGGATGCGAGGGCATAGGCTAGTGGATCTGTGCCATGGCCTTGTGTTCGTATTTCTGCCAATGCTGCTGTTGCTTCTGCTGCTCCTGCCGCTGTCGCTACGACTTGTCAGTGAACACGTTTTGCCCACAACATCTGATTGGCCGACCAGCGCACCAATGGCCGCGTAGCATCTACGTACGTATCCAATTGGCGTTTAAGGGGTAAAATTACCCCTTAGGGAGGACTAAGTTACCTTTCTTCAATTCGACGCTAACCCTTCTCCCCATCATTAATGTAAATTGGCACTGTACCACTGTGACACAAACCTCAGCAGCAAAGTCGATGCCAATGGTCACAAGTACCAAGGTCACTTACCCGACCCGAGCCCAGCCCCCTCAGGGCACTTTGCTTATTTTGTTTTGTTCGAATAAATCATCTGCTTTTGTTCAGCAATGCAAAACAGCATATTCATTTATGTCGCCATGACAAAATGAAATGCTTCACCTGCATGATATAAACATTTTGCCCCGCACAAATGTATTTTACCATTGTTTCAACCCTGACGGATGATTTTATCAATCAGGCCAACATTTTGCTCCAAAATGGACACTAGCCTGATCTGTAGGCAAACCTTGCTAAAAAATATTTAATTTGGAATATACACAAGTTCTCGCAACGAAATTGTGGTGATTAGGAATTGGTTGGCCGTTAATGTATTCATTTAGAAGAGCAGTAAAGGAAGAAGCCCTTGAACCCTACAATTTGTAATGCAATAGAGGAGACCGAAACCCACTGAAGTGGTAGATGGGTAAATTTTCCCAACCCACCTTGAACTCTTTAGCTACCGCCACACTTGGAGTGTGGGGACCATCAAGACCCTCTTTTTAGGGAAGCAGTCATTTTAATTTGGGTTAACACTTTGACATTAGGTGTGTCGCGCAATCAAATGCGCGGTAAGATTTGTGTCGGTTTGCAAAATTTAAATTAATCCCCCTCTCCCAGTTTTGAGCTACTCTCTTTTAAGAGCATCAAAACGCAACGAAATTTCCTTTTTTTAATCATCCGACGCGGGAAGAAGACATCCCCCCGACTTTATTGGGGGAAAACAAGTCTCTTTCCAAAAATATTTGCAAAGGTATTTGACATGATGTTTACCTCCTAACAGCTATGCAGCACTCATGCTCTGCAACACTAAGAGTTGGGAAGAACCAGGCCATCACTGAAGGATGTGTTTCTTGGAATCCGTCCTTCTCAAAACTGACCTTTCTATTAAAAACGTAAAGAATTTTGGAAGTAAAAGCAAGTATACTACTGAATTATAAGTATAATAGTAATTTTGCAATGTTAAAATAGGTAATATTTCCTAGTCAGATTTATTTTTATCCAATCCATGCGAATCAAGGCTGATGTATCATTGAACCAACAGTTCCACTACTGCCACCATTGCACTGTCGGACCAAATCTTACTACTACAGCGGACATGCTGTACGGTCACAAGTGATTCAAAATGCAATCCCCTTGAAGTCCTCTCCTCCAGGCGCTGTGGGGTATGTTGGCATAAAATTAGATATGGAATGATGAGAGAGGTGTAGCGCTCTGTGACTTCGGCAGAGCCTAGGGCTGCTGGCACGGTCTAGATTTTAGACCATCCGGTGAGGGAACAGTGGACAGGATCCAAGCTGACCATTTACCAAAACTGAGAGTTAGGCAAACAACCTCTTTTCAGCGTTTTTTGTCCCCTCGGTCAAACCCGTGCTCCAGCCATCACAACGTTGTTGGTACTGTAGGGGGAACACCCACCCTCTATCCGTGCCAGTCATCGAATTCCTACGCAACTAAGGAGAGGATTAACGGTAATTTCACTGATTTCTATTGGCAATTTAACAGGATCTACAATTTCTTCCTGCATGGGAAATGGATTTTAAACATGGGAAATTTTGCTGGTCATTAGGCGTGTTCGAGGCTAGACGTGGAAACACTGGCCTAGAAGCCAATTTATGTAAGGGAGGACGGGATTTGGTACAGTTAGGTGAGGGGATGGTCCCACAACTCTTCCTTCTTGCCACTGTTATTACTCCATTGCTACCCAGTTGTATCGCTTCCGTTTCCACCCAGCCAGCAAAGATGTGGAGGAGGTATCGCCAGATTAACTCCGTAACAAAGCTTTTCCAACTAATTTAACAGCTATTGTTAATGGCTTTCCTGCAGACCACGGAACACAAGGCAGGGGTAGTGGCTGAAGGCAGACGTCAAATTTCAGCCCTTCTGTTATGGGTCATCACCGATTCCCCCATCCGTAGTATATATGCTGCCCTCGCTTTGCTGAGGTTTATCACCCGGCAGTAGAAAAGAGGATGGACGTCCTTTGGGATCGGGTCTGCTCTCCGCTGCCACTAATGCAGGACCTGTGATTACTGGCATGGTTCAAAGGCCAACCCACCCGAAGAAGGTATAAGGGCCAAGGCACAAATTTGCCCCTTACCAAGGCCGAGAGTTTACCAACAAACGCATCGCAGAGGCGTTTTTAAGGACCATATGTATAACACCATTCTCATCTTTACTTAAGGACACATGAAAGCCAAATATCTGCTTTATTATAACTGGAAAAAAAGGAAACAAATTTGTTGATTCGAGTTTGCTTTCTTTTGCTCAGACGAGAAAACAGTGCAAAACAAAAACCCTTGTTTCGCAGGTCCAATAAGACTTTAAAAAAATTTATTGGAAATGGACACTACATGAATATGAGTCCATTTTTAAATGAGGACATTATTTTGTCTGTTAAAAACCACAAAGAGGAGGCAAGTTAGCAGAAATCTAAGCCAAAACTAACCCAGGGGAAATTTTGTTAATATGATTGCATTAAAATGACGCCGTTTCCATCGTAACAGGAAAATTAATCACTCAAATCACTTTTGGTAAAACGACAAACGCCTGTAATGGATTTGCAGGTGGTGCAATACTTCTTTCGTCCAAAGTATGTAAATTCTAACCCACCTAGTGCAAAAGTGACTTGATTTAAGGCTAGAATTTTAGCTATTGCCGATTAGGAAACGAAAAGAGAAAAAAAACACCACTGCATTTGTGAATAGTGCCCAAATTAATTTCTATGAGATTAGCACTTTCTGATTAACTATTTCGAACTTTCGGTTACATTTTTCAGTCGCGATTGCTTAAGTGTTAGAAGAGAAAGTATTCACGTTGGTGGCTACCCCTTGAATGCGTTTATTGGGCTTTGCGAAATTACCGTGGGCTACCGCATTGGTGAATGGAATGTTTCTGGGAATTTCGAGGTCTGACAATTGTCGATAGCTCTGCGGTTTCGTCGTTTCAAACGTCCTCCAGGCCCTCTAACCACTATCACTTATTCACGTTCAACCCTGATTGTTATGCAGCTTCTCGAGACTTCCCTGAAGACGAGAGCAGATTTAAGCTTCGGGTGCAGTAGGGTCTGAGGCTACTAGAATGGCCCAACCGGTAATGGTGCAATGGGTCATACAAACAATTAAACAACTTATTACACAACCCTCGCCACATTTTGAGCATTGTCCCTACCGCTTCCCTTGGTCAACTTCTCAATTCGGCCATCACATTGTAGTCGGTGCTGTGGGGAGAACATTCACGCGCCCTATTCGACGCAGTCACCGAATTTCATTGCAATTAAGGCGATACTCGGTCGCAGCGTCACTGATCCCTCTTAGCAAATCACTTGGATGTGCAGTATCTTGCAGCTTGGAAACTGGATTTTAGGCAGTGGGAATTGTGCTAACCACCACACGCGTCCATAACTAGTCGCGGGAACACTGGCCTAGATGCAGATTTGTGCAAAGGAGGACAGGATTTAACACAGTTCGGTGGGGTAGGGTTTCATGTCCATTCCTCCTTGTCACCTTGTTCTCACTTCAGAGACGTAATTCACATCTATCTGGTTTCTATCCACCTAGTGGAGAACTGGAGGTGGTATTACAAATTCACATTATTGATATCTCAATACAGATGCAGTAAAAAACTCAGTAAGAAAGCTATCCCAGCTAGGATAACGGCTAGTGTCGCATCCGTTGTTGGTAGCTTTCTTGTAGACCACAGGAATGAGGTTGCTGCCGAAGGTAGACACCATTTGCAGCCCTTGTGTTTAAGGCCTTCACCGATCCTCCTCTCAGTGGCCTTGGCACGTCTTCTGCCGTAAGAAATCGGGATTTATGTCCCGTAAGATCGGATTGCCCTTTCCGCTGCCACTAATATGGTGTCATGAAACTGCCCTGGATACGATAGAAGTGGCATGGGGGGGGGCATGCGGGCTAGTGGCATGGCCCGGAGGCTAACTTGCCAGGCGAAGGTAGTGGCCCTTTGTCACAACCAAGAGTTCAACTGCCAACGCATTGCAGTTAGCTGCTCTTCAGTTTTTCCATACTTATGCATTGGAAAACTACTCTAAAGCCGTATTCGCTTCTAAGGGGGTGTTAGATTTCAAGTGGAAAATTTCGTCCAATTAATTCTTAAAATAGTAAATTGTCCCGCCAAAAGACGGTTGAGAAACATGAAGAGGTGACTTTCTCAAGAGCAGTGTTTTCTGATGAAGCATCAATAGGTTATCAAAAACAATTATTTAATGCTTTTTGGCATAAAGTAAACATTTCATAACCTAAGCAATTGGGAAAAAATTTAAATAGGGAAACTCCGTTTGAATAAAAGAATGCCAACTCACGCACCGAATTTAATTCACTTAAATAAATTTATTTTGTATCGCTCAATCACTCTAGGAAGAACGACAGTCTGCAAGCGACTTACTTTTAGGGCATTAATGACTTCAATTCCACAAGAAAACACATTGTCCTTTTGTTGAGCTCAACAAATCAACGCTCGTTTGGCCTTGGGCAATGGCATACAATGCTACATACCATTTCAAGTTTGTCGCATATTTTTCAAATAGAAACGGACACTACGAGAGGAAGGATTTAAATGGGATGACCTGCTGCTTTTTAGTGATAGGGTTTTCAAGAACGAAGGTCTAATTGGCAGCCTCAATCTCATCGTCTGTCCATAAATGATTAATCTTGGTTAGCAGAGTGTCAAAAGTAATTGAGAATTGCGTGGAAAATTATAGAAGTTGACCTAGCACATGCATGGCTCTCCATTTGCAAATGGGGATACTCAAACTAACAAGTGGCTGATATTACACCGGCAGTGAACTGAAATCGTTTGATTTTCTGATATAATATGTGAAATTCACCTATAAGTAGAGTCATAATGACGAATAAGGAATACCTCCAACCGAATTTCTGATTTTAGGAAGTAAAGTTAAGCTAGTCGCGTCATCTTGATTGGTTTAGTGTTAATGATGTTACACAGAGTACAACTTCTTTTACTAAAATTTCATATTTGTGCGAAATAGCAGTTCTACTATGATGCCAATTTGGTATGGCCAGATCATGATAACGGGTTGAAAATTTCGGCCTCTAATTCTATCAAGTTGGTTAGGCTTGGGGTAAAATAAGACCATAAAATGAAATCCACCAAAGTGAGGACAACTTTGTGGTTTTCAAAAATGGGGAACCTTTAATACGAAGGCGTTAAGGCACATAGGATGAGTGACATCTCGTGAACTTTTTGATGCTCTGACACAATGACAAAATAAAGTTGTGATAAAATTAATTATTCGTTTGTTAGCTCTTTGGGTAACAGAATTAGGATAGAAAAGACAGTTCTACTTATTTGAAGTCCTGTTGCTTTCAGTTGGCACCAGATCTCATGCACTTTGTCTATTCTGTATCAGTGAGCGCATAATTTCGGTTGTTATTAAACAGACATTGAAAAATAAATAATTAAACGCATAAACAAATAAACAAGAATCGCTTCTGCCAAATTACTGTAGTAATTTTAAGTCCAATTCACTTGCCTGAAAATGCAAACTCGTTCTTTCGTTATAACATGTACTACTATTGCAATATAAGTAGACAACGATTTGATTACCTTAAAACTGACAGTTATAAAATGATTTCACGAAAAATTTGTGCGTTTACGCGCATTATATCCTATTTTACATTTTTAATTTTTTGTGGGTTCGTGCTCATATGTTTCTAAATTTGATTTTGGTTGAATAAGTGAGAGCAGGGAAACACAGAAAAAACCAGTCATCTATAGCCAAACCTGACTACAGTGCCCCCGGCGGTCCCGCATTGTCTCCGCGCAACATTAACACAACAGTTCCTGGGGCAACGCGATTGCCTAACCACGGGCATTGGCATCTTTTTTGTTCACACATTTCATTCTGCTTGACATTGACGAAATTACCGATTTTGGAACGATATGGCACACGCCCTGTTGTGTGGCCACGTTTCAACCATGATTTGCCCTGGCACTTGACACATTGCATTTGACAATTAAAATGCCACCACAAAAAGAAAATGAAAAAATTGTACCTACTGCACTAGCAATATTCCCTTTTTAATTCAGAAAAATGACTTAAAAAATAGATCCAGCATATGTTCTCTGGTTTCTTTTCTTCTTAGCTTCCTGCGTTCTGTCATATTTGTAGCGCTCCAAAATGTGTTGGGCAAAAAAATCAAAAAGGATATTAACTTCAACTATTAAATTACATTTTAAAAGATTTCATGACATCTTTTCTTGACGTTTTAATGGCAAGCTGACAGCATTGGGTATGGTCAAAGTGCATGTCAAAATACGCTTCGGAATAATGAAAGTTTGACTACTCAAGAACCAAAACCAACGTCTTTCCCCAATATGCCGCAGGATATTTGTGGAAAATGAAAAAAAGGCAACAAGGGATACCAAAAGTTGTACAAGTGCCTTCACCTATTCCAAAAAGGGATAAATTCACTTCTAACTGCTCATCATCACTTTCACAATTTGGACACCGTGATTGGAAAGTAATGTGAAATGAGGAGAGGGTGGCATAGTATTTACTATATATTCTGCGTCGAACATAAGAATAACGACACATTTAGTAATCATTAAAGTGAGGAAAGAAAAACCACAGAGGTTATGCGTGTGAGAAGCGCGTGTATACACGCACGCACCTGGAGAGCGGGAGACTAAACATTGAGGGCCCTTTTCCTCCGGCGAGGCGAATCCACGTTTGCAGTTGATGGTGGAGGCGGACCATTTAGAAAGGTGAGAAGTATATTTCTTTAAAACAACTTTCAGAATAAGCTTGGTTGCTTGAGTGCAGGTTAGAAATGTTCTGGCATACCATTTTTCATGCAATTCATTTTTGAAAGTAGAACGGCAGGACAGGTGGAATATTTGTGGTGGTATAAATGAACATTGAAGATATAAAAGAGAGCTAGAAACTGTTTAGTTGAGAAGATGGTCCATTTCACCATGCAATACAGCCAAAGCTGCTGAAGCCTCACTGTCCCATGGTTTTATACCCTGGCATAGCAGTTCTTCCACCTCTTCATCGGTGAAGCCGCAATTCAAATCCAGTCTCGTTGGTGAGGTAATTTGACGAAGAGACTGTGAGACTGACCGTAGTCTAGGCCGGTCGAAGTGGCGATGTGCTGAGTTAAGGGGTTTGTTACGGTTTGCCGATGATATTCCACCACGAAAGCTTCTTCCAGTGGCTCGACCGAATCCACTAAGACTTCCTCTTCCACCGATGCCGATGTCTCCACGGGGGCAAGGAAGCGCAGCTGCGCTATTAGTATTGTTCGAATTAGCCTGTTTATTAGTAGAAATTGACGGGGTTTCAGATTCAGCATTGTCTTGCGTTTGCTGATTTTTTGCGTGATAAGGCGGGGGTGCAGATGGATGATCGCCTGATGCGCCCGCAACGTGGAGCTCCGATTTAGCCACCACCTCTTCATTATTCTCCGACTCCTCAACCACACTAGCATCTGGATTCTCAACTTCCTCTTGTGTGCTTTCCTCCGCAACTGCCTCGTCCACAGGCTGTCCATTTTCGTCAACGTCCCGAAAGACTAAACTAGGAGGCGTAGGAGTAGGATGATCTCCAGCCGATTCAAGGAAAGGTTGTTGCTGATGCTGCTGCTGAATCGCGCCACGGAAAGTTCGAGTACCGAAACGTCCACAAACACCAGATGGAGACGGTGGAAGAAATGGAAAACAATTAGAACCACCAGCAAAAGCTGCTCTGGCGATTGCTGCGGCCCCTCCTGCACGACGTAGCATCTGGCGATGGAAATTTTCTATCTTACGCATCATTTCCCGCTGGTGTAGTCTCCAGGGGCTGCTGATTGGCGCTAGCCACTGAACCATTGCTGCAGCTGCCACCGCAGCCGCTTCCATCTCTTCCTCCATTGTGTGCTGATCAGCCAAGAGGTTTCGAAGATCAGTGCGCAATTTCATTAGACTAAAAAGGCCAAGGTCGTGGCCTAGGAAATGGCAGGAGCTTCTGATCAGAGACACATACGTGAACAAAACTTAAGATCAAATGCCTTCCGATTTACCAGCCATTAGACCAGCGACACTGTCGATCCAGTCAAGGTGGACCTTCTTCTCCCAACGCTGAACTTTGGCTCCCTTTGCCTTGTCAGCCATGTGTTGGAAGAGCGACCAGGGCTTCTCAAAGATGAGGATGCATGACTTGCACCAATACATCTGCCCTGGTTCGAGAGCAGCCTTTAGTTTGACGCACTTCACATGATCGCCTTCCTTATCTAGGAAGCACTCGAGATAGTGGTCCTTCAGTAGGTTGCAGTAGCTCTCGTTGCCTCTTCTCTCCAGTATTTGTTTACAGGTGCCTGATGGAAAACATATGCTTGTTATAAGTTTAAACTAATGTCTAAGCTAGCAGCTAAATTGATTTCATTTAACATACCACACATTATTTGTGAGTCCAAAGTGAGTTGCTCTTGTTGGAAATTGGAGTCAGAAGGGAATTCAGAAAGTTCCATCAATTTTGGCATCAGATCTGAAAATGTGGAACTCAAAACGGATGAGAAGATAGTTTTCAACAGTCTTTATGCCTTAAGTCAAGAAAGCCAAACCTTTGTCATGTGGACAAAGATCTGCCACCGCCTCCTCAGCGGAAGTCACGGTATTATTGTTTATTTTCTCTTCACTATTTGCAACAACCTCAGCAGATGTGTCCCCGCTACTCTTAGAGCTGTCAGCCGTCTTTGGAGGCTCGGTGATGATTAGACGAGAAGATATGGCCATGTTATTATTATTCCGACCTGATGTATTTCCTGACTCTTTATTGTCCTTAAGAACCTGCTTGAATAAAATCAAGCATCAAAGCACATAAATTAGTTACATTCATTCAGGACTACCAGAAAATTTACCTGAGATTAATCCAACCTGACTAAAAACGACAAAATAAATATGCCGATTTTGAAAAGACTAGTTTTAAAGGACCAAAATTCTAAAAAGAATACGTGCCAAAAAGGGCAATACAATGAAAAGAGTTCCTCTTCTCGAGCTAAAGCGAACCCTATTAGACTGTGGAGGAATGTAAATATTAATTTCGTTTAATGAGAATGCAAGTCATGCAAAAGGTCACAGGTTATTGCTATCCAGTTAAAAGATCCAGAAATTGCAGATTTATTTATTTCATTACTAAAGGCATGCATAAATTGCCATTTGTGCCAAATAAAATCAAACAAACAATTCTGAAAATTGAGTGGTTCTCAAAAAGTCCTCAGTAGTAAACAATGCTATTTTTAGGAAATTAGTAAAAATTTCTAAGCAAAATAATACGGTCACATCACAGAGCCTTCAAAATTACTAATTGAGCCACTCTAACTGACAATTGTACAAATATAGGCTAAGTAAGTAGTAAATTGATGAAGCCAAAATATTTCAAACTATACTTTTACAATAGAGTGCTTCTGCCCTAGAAAAATTAATCAAATGCAAAAAAATATTCATTAAAAAAACTCCAATTAAAAGCCTGTAAAGTGCTTACATACCTCATTAGGGAGAGGAACTTTGCAAATGGGCTGTTCAACTACTTTTAAAGACGCACAGTCATGTGAGAAATGACAGTTTTCACCAAAACGACATCCTGTAGATGATTTATCCCTAGAAAATCAGATCCCACAAGTGGTTTACCAAAAAAATTTGCAAGGTGGTCTTTTATCCGGAATGTGTAAAAAGTTGCAATTATCTCCATACCAACAACCACCAACGGCATTAAAATAACGGCAGATTTTCTTATCTGGATCACCCATAGAAAGAGCTGCGAAATAAAGCAGCAAAAAATATATCGCCGCACTCCAAAATTCAAAAATGCCTCAAGAAAACCACGACAACATGTACTGATTAGTTGCGCATGCTGTTAACGTTATTTTATCGTTATTTTCGAGACATTTAAACAAGTGACAAAAAGAAACATGCATGGATGCATGCTGTCGCCATTTTATAGTTGACGTTCTCAAAAAAATTTAAAATTGTTAGAAGACCGAACAATTAGATCCAAAAATGCTAATTGCAACACGCAGTCTGTTAAATGTACGTTTTCGGTGAGAAGCGATCAGGAACCCTCATCCTGCAAAAAAGACTTTGGAAGGTTTTTAAAGTTTTTCAGATATTTGCAATTAAATTTTTCAGGACTGCATTAAGTACGTGATATCAGTCGGATATCAGGTTTCAAAAGCCTAGATTTTAATCATAGCCATCTGGTTATTCATCTTTAGTAAGGTAAGGGTGCTATTTGTTCTTTCCACCTCGCCGTTGCCTTGCAGATGTACAGGTGTTTTGTGGATTTTTGAGACCTGGCACATATTACATAGCTCAGTAAAGAGTCGGCTCTCAAGGTTAAGACCTTTGTAGCGCCTTGAAACTCCTTTAAGACAAAAGAAAACAATACTCGGGCAGAATGTATATATTCAGCACGGAGAAGATGTCTGGGCTATCGGAATGAACCAAAAGGCCAGCCCACCCAGCGAGGTACAAGGGGGCTAATTCAAAGTACTAAAGTGGCGCCTTACCATTGCCGAGGGACGAACCACTATCGTATTACACCTTGATCGCTCTAAACAAATTCGGGCACTCCATGCTGGCGAATCCACCATTTGAATAAAACTGAAGCAACCGTTTCAGCATCTTGTGCGTTAATAGGTTCTGCCTTAGCCACATTTGTGAAGCAATCTATTATGAACAAAATTTATCGGTTCCCTCTTTTGGCGGGTGGCTAGGAGCCACTCTTCTAAATTTACATCTTCTTCGAAAGGGGGTAGGTCTGCGTGCGCTGCCACCAGTCTGAAAGAGAGCGGGTTCATATCCACCGAAGCCACCAGTGTAGGGCGAGACTCACAGGTCTCCTTTATTTAGTTCTTAGTCTTTCTGAAACAGCTTGGTTTATTTGATTTTGACATCTTAATTAAGGGGGAAAGAACGTGAGGAAAGGTACAACGTTTAAGTAGGGCAAGAACCGCAATCACAGCTGGGCACGGAAGACGACAACTCTCTTACCAGATTCAAATTTCTGAATGACCTTTTTTCCAAAAGATACATTATAACTACATAAGTACTATACATACACTTGAGAATCACTTTTTTATTTTAACTACAATCCAAAATATTTGCTCGAAGTGACCAAGCGCAAAACAGGATTTTATTTACTAGCTTAGTTGTTGGATTTTAAAATTAAAGAATTTGAAAAACAGGGCCTTTTTTTATTCGGCTTCCTTAGGCATTTATATAATGCTTGCCGTGAGACAGTAATTTCTGCAGAACATCTATTTTTAAATGTGTAGATAGCATTGCAATTTTTAATGTAAATACAAAGCATTTAAAGAACATAAAAATTGTTTAAGGCATTGCTTTTACTTGCCCAGTTAAGGGGTCCTGTTTGGCACTCAATATCATTTACAAAAGGCGCAAATACTGAACTGTTGGTGGTAGAGCCCACGTGTGGGCATACACTTAGTCGCTACAATGAATACGGTATTGGAAAATCAGCGTAGCATACATGAAGAGCGTGAACGTTTAATAGATGCAATGTCGAAAGAGATGTGTTTTAAACCTAAAACGGTTTGTTGGCATGTTATGGCCTATGTATTTTATAGCACAAAGAAGGCGTAAATTCGGAATTTCGTCTACGAACCATGTTTGACGTAATGAGTTTTTTTTTCTCGCTTTTTGACAACGAATTTAGCGATATATGGACATTACAAAAGCACTTAAGGAACTTTACGAGGACAAAGACGGGTAACATTTGTGATTGTTGTGTTTTGTAGGTACTTTTTATGAATTAATCGCATCTCCTATTTGATCTTAGTCTTAGAAAGCAGGACATTCAATCACTTTCTGGTCCGAATGAGTTTAATGAGTTCTATTCGCGTCTGAAGGCGTTGAAGGATTTTCATCGTTCACATCCGGATGAAGTTAGCATAAGATATTCTTTTGTAACTTGATAAAAAAATTTCAGTTAAGCATTCCTATGTCGGTTGAATTCGAGCGTTTTAAGGAGATGCGTGAGAATCCTGAAGAGTCAGCCGCAACAATGATCGAATTCACAGATGAAGAGGGTTACGGACGCTTCCTTGACCTTCACGAACTATATGAAATTTTCATTAATATAAAAGGCATTCCAGTAAGCTTTTACTTCTCTCTAATCCCTCGAATTTTACTCTTGCATCTTAGCGCAGTATTATAAGTTCAATTGTGAAGTAGGTATATCCATGATTTCTAATTTATTGCCAAGTAAATTCTCCTACGTTTATGTCAAAGTTATTAAAGTCCAGGAATCCAAGTCACAATTTTGATTTTCCCCTTTGCTTATATCCAGTATTTTTTCACTTGTTGATCCTTTTTATATTTAAATTGTGCTTCCACTAGATACACTTTATAAGTGGATTCCCATGTTTCTTGACAGCATTGAAAGTATCTGGGGTGCTGCATCCTTGTGGTTCACATCTCCAGAAGTCCCTTATAGTTAAGTCTCAGCTTTTTACATGGTCTTGATTACGACAGCTTGGTGGATTCTGGTATGCACTGGTGTTATCTGTGTGAGTTTGGACGCTGTCGCGCTTCCAACCAGGGTAGTTACGAAGTGAGACTAGGGAAACGATGTTTTTTATGTTGACATCGAATGTACATTTAAACCATGGTATTTGCACTTACCTCCATTTCCTGTAGGGCTGAGATCCTGATGACCATTAATTCAACGTATTTATAGCATTACTGATGGCCTTGGCACTACCATGGTTATATGTATACGTAGGATCTCTCAGCATTAATGCTGATTAATGAGACCCCAGTGGGAGCTTAGATAGATTAATTTCCTGGAACATTCGAAGCGTCAAATGTCGGGAACAAATTTCTAAGACACTACAAAGATGTTCTTCTGTTATCATTAGATACCCCTGTGGATTTCCGTTTTTCTAGCTCTCAATTTTTAGTCCTTTTGGTATTATCAAAATCATACTGACATTCAAGAGTACGCATGATAAGCGATAGAGAGAGGCATGGTAGTAAATTGGCGGTGACTCTCCCTTTTGAATATTATTTTATTGGAGTTGCTGAATCTTCATTTTTTGCAATTGGCGTATTTGCAAGTCCTTGAACGCTATCCTACGTGTTTCCGCTCAATGCGAGAAAGATTAAGAGTTTTCATCTATGTTTGAAAATCTTGCAGAAGGTGGACTATCTGACGTACCTTCAGACCTACGATAAGTTGTATGAGATCCTTCGTGAGCGTAAAACTGCCTCAGGTGCCTACCGTCACTACCTGGAGCGCCTCATTTCTTATCTGGAAGGCTATTTGTCGCGTGCAAAGCCGATGCTGGACCTTGCTGAGGTCTCCGCCTCTGCTCTTGCTCGCTTCGAGCGCGAGTGGGCGGAGGACGTCTTCCCGGGTTGGGGCAGCAGTGGGAGCGGTAGTGGTGGAACTGCTGCACCCGCTCTCTCTCGCGCTGGCGCGCACCTTGACCTTACGCCCTTCCGACAGGCCGAGGAGCTCGCTTCCCTTGGTCTGGATCGCCTTAAATCAGCCCTCCTCGCGCTCGGTCTTAAATGCGGTGGCACGTTAGAGGAGCGTGCCCAGCGTCTCTGGGCCACCAAAGGGCGCGCTCTCGAAGACCTCCCACCCGAATTCTTCCCTTCTGCCAAAGCCGCTACCCGTTCCAGGAATCATCGTGGTGGTATTAATGCTGCTGCACCTGAGTAAGTACAGATTTTGAGGTAGACTCGGAAATTCTCTATGCTCGTGCGCGATGGGGAGTAGCTCTATCCGGTAAAAGGTCTTTAGGACCTGCGATACATAAACTTCGAAAATCAGTGTAAGTGATAGATCTGTTTATAATTGTCAGATGGACGCTCAATTAACTGATATGGGAGCACTAGAATAAAAGCATTTATTTAAATTTTGCCTACATCTCCTCCGCTTTCGTGAAAGTGGTACTTTTCGACGTTTAAAACTTTCTAATATCGACATGGGAGTTAACTTTTGCGACTTCAAAAGCAAACGCCAGAGTATGCATCGTAGTCATTCATCAAGTATTGTAGTAAAGAAGTTAAAAACGCCCATTGACACAGTAGTTAATTCCATTTAGGGATTAAACCAGTGGTGGGAGCTTAAATCTGTTGTCCAATGGATTTTAAGGCAGCCGGGCTATTAGAGTCGACTGTTGTGCCACACATTTAGGGACTTAGAACGCGTGCGTGAGATAGCTATGCTAGAGGCGTGCGTCTACCAGTTGGCGGAGATTTTGAACGAGCATAGGGCTGCGACCGTTGAGAACGTTCAGCGGCGACAGGCACGAACTTTGGCGGAGAGAGAGGAGGAGGAGGACAGTGACGCTGAGAACGAGGTGGGCGGTGGTGTTGGTGCCAATGGCGACAGAGGCAAGGATGCCGAGGGTGGTCCAGATGTAGAAGACGATGACATCCCTTATAACCCCAAAAACCTTCCACTTGGCTGGGATGGAAAAGTAAGTTTCCATTTTATTTTAAGAATCAGTTATTTATCTAAGTTAGGAAGACGGGTCTTTGAAATCGGGGTTATCGTGCTTGGTTAGTGAGACATAATTTAATCTCGGAAATGCTTGTTTCTCCGGTGCTTTTTAGTAATTTTTATGAATATTCCTCCCCTGTAGCCAATCCCCTACTGGTTGTACAAGTTGCACGGCCTAAACATGTACTACTCATGTGAGATTTGCGGCAATCAGACGTACCGAGGACCGAAAGCGTTCCAGCGCCACTTTTCCGAGTGGCGCCATGCACACGGCATGCGCTGCCTCGGCATTCCTAACACAGCACACTTCGCGCATGTCACGAAGATTGAGGAGGCTCTGGCCCTCTGGCAGCGCATTCGCACCACCAAGGAGGCGGAGCGCTGGCGGCCCGATGTGGAGGAGGAGATGGAGGACCACGCCGGCAACGTTGTCTCGCGCAAAACCTACGAGGACCTCAAGCGGCAAGGCCTCCTTTGAACAGCCTCTCTCTCTCCTGTCAGACCGCCCGTTACCGGGGCTATAGCCTACGTGATCTTTGTGTTAATATTAAATAAAGCAACTTTTTTTCTAATGGCACTTCTGCTTTCTCGCTGTGCGTTTGATGGTTCCAGCACTGCTTCCATCTTTTCTAGTGGGTAACGTTAATACTTTTTCATTCCGCATTCCCACTACTATTGCAAATTGAAATGTGGTAGCATTTCGGGCTTTTATTATGTGGTATCACCTTCAAATTCTGGGGCAGATTTTACACGAACTTTTTTTGCTTTTCGATATTTTTAATTGGATTTCAAAATTTACTTCATACGTGCTTTTATTTATGAAGTGAAGTAACTTTATTCAATCAAATCTCTTGCCTTAGCGATGTAGTAGAAAACCACAGATTTAGTGCTTTCTCAATGGTTTGTTAGATTAATCCACCTATCACATAAATTTGTTTTTTTTAGCTCCCATAAATGGAGGATTCCTCGAACGTCACCACGACGTCAGATGACGGACCAGATAGTGCCTCAACAGGTAAGACAGCTAGATTTCTTACTTTGTAGAGACTGAAGAACCCACAAAGCAAGAAGAGCAAACATTTAAAGCACCAGAAACAGTACCTGCTAAGAGATCGTCCGAAGAAATTTCCAGTGAAAATTTGGTAAATTCTTCTGTAAGTACTTTTTTGGCCAAAAGTCTGGCGTCTGATTTTTTTAAGTAGTAATCATGTGCACACTTGTAGGCGTATTATCAACCACCGGATTGGGCTTGTACCTGCCCCTCATCATCGCGCTACTTTCTTGAGGTGATAAAAAATGGAATTCCATTGCCCGAGGCGACAATAGACCTCTCCAATATCGATCACTGCATCCTTGGACGTCAACCGGGTCCCTTGCTGAATCAGCAAAATCCCACTGGTCGCACCGCTACCCTCCTTCATCCCTCCATAAGTCGTGCCCACGCTGTTCTCCAATTTGGCAGTAACTCTGATCTCTCGCCCGGTTGGTATGTCTATGACCTTGACAGCACACACGGCACTTTTGTGAACAAGCACCGCGTTCCATCGGGACGATATATTCGCCTTCGAGTTGGCTACGTCCTTCGTTTCGGCAGCAGTACGCGTCTGCTCATTCTCAACGGGCCGGAATCTGATGTTGAGTCGGAAACTAAAGAAACGTGGAGTGAGTTGGTTGCGAAAAAAAAGGCGAAAAGGGAGGGAGAAAAGAGGAAACGGGAGGATGAAAGTGATGCAAATATATGCAACTGGGGCATGGAGGGTGAGTAAGTCCTTTCACTTCGATGGCCTTGTTACCGGGAGAGTTGACAGACGCTAATTTCCTCTTATTTACTAGATGATGGCGATGAGGACGAAAACGTGTTGCAGCAGCGCTTGGCCGAGAGTGGGAACTGCTTAAGTCATGAAAGCTCCTACATCGCGGATCCGAAGAGGGCGTTAAGAGCATTTTTCGATCGTGAGGGCTTAGATCCTTTGCCCGAGTACGAATTCGTAAAAGGCCGTTTCGGTCAGCAGATGTGCAGAATTGAGTGCGTTTGTCACATTCCTTACGCCCTTTCAACGTGAGAGGAGTAAAAGTGTAAAAGTTAAAATTTTGCGTCATAGATTGCCACTAGAGGCGGGCACACTGTTTGCAGAGGTGCCGATGACCGGCCAGAAGCGAAAGGAGGCTGTCGCGGCTTGTGCTCTTGAGGCCTGCCGCATCCTCGATCGTCTGGGTGAATTTGATGCCAATAAAGGTATGGCTGTGATTTGATGAGGCATTCATGCATCCCTATCCGGTTCTCTGTATATTCATTGATAATACAATGCAATTTTGTTGGAGATAAGCAGTGCTTTGCATTTGGTTGGTAAATGGAAAACATTCTTTTTTTTTCAATTTTATGTATGTAGCCCATACTAGAGCAACTAAGGGCATAGACAATTCTAGGTCACAACCTACCACTTTTGTGATTTCGCCTTTCGTTAATTCAACGCCTACACAGCGCTTTCAGTGCACATTTGATTGCACTAATTCCAATTCCTTTAATTATCTCCACCTTTTGTTGAGTATAATTTCGCACAAAACGACAAGAATGTTTTTTTTTCCTATTTTATGACATTTGACATGTAGAAGGGGCAGAGGCGGTGAGACGAGCACGTGAGAAGGCGTACTGGCAGTCGAACGACTACTACTCCTCCGATGAGGACACTTTTCTGGACCGGACAGGCCAAATCGAGGCCCGACGGCGCCGACGAATGAGACGCATGGGTGTCGAGGGAGCGGAGGTCACGTCGACTGACGATTCAATGTCACAAGAGACGTCTGAAGAGCCACAGGATTCCCTGTCTGTGGTGAGTGTTATGAAATTGAATTCTAGACTCCTAGTTATTTACCATCATCACACATCAACATAGCGGTTGCATAGCGCACCACAGTGTCTTCTTGACCACCTTCAGTAATTGCGTAACCATGTTTTCTGCTGTTTTAGTGAGCCAGCCTTAAGCTCATTTGAGTCTCTGCCCTCTTTCAGTTGGCTACACTGGAGGAATTGGGAAGGAAGATCATTGAAGTGGAGACGGAGCTAGACGCAGCTGAACGAGGTACCTTCTATTATTTCTTCACATTACTTCTTCACCCATCGTGTACTGCTCCTCCTCCTTACCCCTTCCTCCTCTCTCTCCCACAGCCATGGAAGCAGCCGGCGAAAATGCCACCGAAATGGACGAGTTGGAGGCTTACATGGAGGCTATCAAAAGAGGTAAGGTGGTAAATTTATTTTGATTGACTTTTGAAATCTCCTTATGATCATGTTCTACCTGTCTCAATTTAACAGCTCGTAGTGTGATCCACAGTGACAGTCTGCAGGTACAAGTAGTCAGTAAAAGTGTATATAAGTGAAATATGTCAATATAAAGGCATTTTAAAAGTCTTAGATGACTACTTTCACAGTTAGGTCGTAAAACTATGCTAATTGGTCATTGTTTGGGACTGAATTTCCCGATTTTGTGTTTTCTGGATTGTATTGAGTGCTTGAAATCACACTCCCCGTCTGGTGGCTATGAAAGAAGCAAAAGTCATGTTCAAGTCAAACTATGCTCTAGTTTCATCAGTTAGCCCATCAGATGACCTGACCTTTCCCTTTCATTGTCTAACAGGTGCACCAAAGCGGGCGGAACGGCAGGCGCTGAAGCGTCGTCTGGTAGCGTTGCGGCAAGAAGAGACGCGCCTCCTTCGAAAAGTCGGCATTCGCGGCGGTGGCAGCAGTGCGGCTCGTTTCTCCTCCTCCGCCTCCTCCGCTGCAGCTACTGCTGTTCGTGCTGCTGCCTCCCAGCAGTCTGGTACTGACGGAAGGTAGGCTTTTTGGAAGAGGCCTCGGTAGTCTTATTATTATTCAACCGTTCCCTCTGTCAGTAGAAGGGCGGTTTCTACTAGAATGAGTTACTGAAGAAGTTTATAGGCTTCTTAAACTGCTGGGTGGTTTGTACTCAATCAAAATAACTCAGTGATCTGGTCATCTGCTCTTGATGATAAACCTACCTGTATTTTAGGACGAATGAAGCCTCTCACACCGAAAGTAGGCTGAATTCTATCAAGAGACAACTGCCAGAGGTAAATTCAGGGAAGCTCTTTGCCTAACTTTTCATTAGTTCAATCGCCGAAGTCACCAGATTGGTGAAAGAGGAGCCTTGCAAAAGAAGGAAAGAGAGAAGGAGACGGAGGGTGAGGAAGTCTTTGTTCCAGAAGTTGAAGAAGATGATGACACACAAATCAGTGTGGATACCAAGCCGGTCAGTTGAATTTATTTTTTCCATCTGAATTACTAAATACGAAATGCTTGGCCTTGTTTAGTCACATTTAAAGCACGAAGTACTGAAGCGAGGAATAAAATTTGGAGTCTGAATTTAGTCTCGAATCCAGTCGGCCTGGCGTAAGGATTGCAAGTTGACCTCCTGGCATTTGTGCCGCGCTTGGTTACTTAGGCCGTAGATCTCAGTTGTCTAGTCCCCACCTCCTACCCTCATCACTTTTTCGGCAATCCATCTCTTCTTTGTAATCCACGGACGACCAGGATGCTTGAAGCTCTGGAGGATAGTAATTAGTGCTGCAACACTAGGCATTTGGATAATCAAACCCTCAGGGATTCGTTAATTCACCTCCGTTGACCAGCGTATAGATGCAATTGCCTTGTTCCTGCTCGAGGATGTTTCGGTACCGGCTGTTCTTTCCTTCATCCTTTTTTGTGTCATGCAGAAGCATCCAGAGTGTGATTCAACACCCATGGAAGAGGTGGACATAGAGGGCACCTCGAAACGTCCCCCATCTTCACCTTCTCAATCGGTATGTCGTCTAACAGGGGGGAAGTGTTCAAATATTCACATTACGTTTATACAAATAGGCAAATAATTTTTCTTTGTAACGCGGTCTCGTATAATCGTCCAGTGCTGTCTTGTTTCATCATTTTTACTTTTTTTCTACCTCGTTGTGCTATACAGGAATCTCCAAAGCCTAAAATGGCAAGGAATGAAGAGGCGTACTCACCTACTGTTTCAACAGACAAGGTCCACTCTGCAGCATCATCACCATCGAAGGTCTGCCTGTTGAGATGCGCTTTTTGACCAAAATTTGAACTTAATATACTGAAAAGTATTTCTTTTTTTTTTCTTATTCCTTTGCAGCAGTTGCAGGAGCCTCTCCGAGTGGTTGAGGAGGATGAAGTGGTGCACCGGCCACGCATTGGGCCCCAGCAACTATCGCACTCGGTTGATGATAAAGTGACTTATTTCTTCTTTTCCTCCTCCATTACTTGACTGTTCTGCTTTCATTTGCCATCGCTTTTGCCTTCCATTCAACTTAGGTAGTCAAGGATGAGCAGTCGCCGGCTATTTCAGTGGAATTGTCCTCCGAGTTGTCACCGCCAACAGAGGTTCATTTCTTTCACAGACTGCATACTTCGTGGGAAGAATAATAATGATGCATTCTTGTGCCTTTTTTTCTAGATTGATTTGGATGATGCCTACGACTACAGCATGAACGATCCCAACTTCGCGCTGTGGACGCCACCCAAAGGTGGGTTTGTGTGTGTGTATCCCTTTCCTCTCTGCCTAGGCACATTGAATGTGAAATGTGATTTTGGACAAGTGTGTTTTCCTTTTCGTGTGGGACTCGTTACTAGGCTAAACAAAGTGGTGTGTAGATGCCTTTTACTTGTATGAATGCACTCCAACACTTTTTTCCCCTGCAGATCAAACTGGTGACGGGATGACCGAACTCAACAAAAAGTACGGCTACTGATGAGGCTAATCTGCGTATTCCTTTGTTCAGTACAACTGTAAATGCTTTCTCAGCGCTTTTGATTGTGCTGGGAGGTGGTGTGGAGGAGGGGTTGTTAAGATCCCGGGCAGTCCAATGTCAACTCGTTGTCACGTGAAGTCCCGACGATCCTATTGATTAATCCAGGCGTTCTGGGCATTCAACGGAGCGTGATCGGTTCAAGGGAATAATTTCAGTTCCCTTATTTTTTGTCCTGATTTGGGTTTGATCTATTTTTAATAGAAGTGGATGGGAACTACACCGAGTCATAATAGCAAGACTGACTTAAGGCAGGAGCGTTCTCGTGTTGGGATCGCTGATCCGCGTGGAGATCCTGCTTGTGATGGTATTGTTAAGCCCTTAAACAGAGAAAAAGCAGAGGCCAGCTCAAGAGAAGTTGGAAGAAAGTATCTCTTTGAGGTGGATCTCTCTACCATCACAAACTCGGACCCCTGTTCAAATGTATCCCTCGAGGCGCTTGACACTACGCCTCTTGAGACGCTACCGGTTGTGCCGCCCCCCAGCCCCCCTACTGTCACCCTGACCTCATGCAAAAACAAGATGGAGGGGAAAAGTGATTTTAAGTTTGGGAAAGTTCCCGCTGACTGGACGTCTCCCTGTCCCAGTTCTACCCTTGGAGTTTTCCAATTGAACAGTGGGGAGTACATCTTCTCAATGTTGATACGTCAGTTTGGCGAGGACGAGCGTTTGTGGCGACAATGGCTCAGACGCATTGAGAGAACAATGAGGGGGCTTGAAAAGTTATACAAGTGTAGAATCACCGTGTGTGACAGGCCATTCCGCTATAGAGGTGTCATGACACACATGATACGCATTAGAGGGGTATCGAAAAAGAATGTTATACAATGCAAAAATGCCCTCCCTTCTCACGTAAAGGACATGCTTATCACTGCGCGTGAATATTACTGAGACATTGTGGACTGAAAAAGCGGCATTACAATTATTATTTATAAATTTTCTATTTAAAAATCTTCAGATCAATTTATTTAATATTTAGAGTGGAATGTTTTGTATTTATGATTTTAGTGTGCAAAATAGCATGATGTTGTTTGGAGTTTTTGGTTAACGCCTAAGTCTCCATTCACTGAAGTAGATTGGATTCGTAAACTGGAATCATATATTTGATATTGAGGTAGGCATATTCCCCACCCTTTGTTTCCATTATTCTTAGGGTTTCATCGATCAGATCGCCAATATTTTCATCCTTGCGTTGACTGTATTCAATGGCATCACCAATGTTTCTATTGTAATTGATAAACAAGTTAAATGTGGGAAGGAGCTGTCTGTAGTAGGGTACTAATGCTTCGCCAACACCTTCGTGAGAATTGACAAGCTCTTGCAGAACCTTCATAACATTGCAGCAGATACGGCGGTTATGAGTTGACAATGCTTTTTTAATGGGCATTATCAGTCGTGGAATGACCGGTAGAACTTTGTCACGACCATTTGAGAGGAGAAATTGTAGTCCTAGTAAATAGACATTTTTTTAAGAGGTACCTTTTGTTACGACAAAATTATACGGATACTTTTCTTCCCTTAAACCATCAAAAAATATAGGCAATATCTGATGATAATCCAGTTTGTCAGCATCAACTTTCCATGATAGAATTTTGGTACCCTTTTCATCATATGAAATGACAGCGGGAATGTCGCCTCGATCATAGCACAATTTGAATAATGTTTTATTTTTACGTGGGGGATTAGAGTAGGTAACAAGGCTAGTTTTCTTTGTGGGTCGCCAAAAATCAAGCATTTCATTTGCACACATGAAATTAGGAAGATAGAGTTGGGATGTGTTTAAACAAGGGTACTACTTGACGCAAAAATAATTTTTTCAAATTTTATTTTAAAAAATATTTAAACAATGCTTAGATTATTAAAGCAAAAGTCATTTAATTGAATGGTTGCCGGGCGCTGAATAGCGTACCATTACGAGTTAAGTGCATCAATTTCAGCATACGCACAATGTCAGAAGAGGAGGAAGCTGTCGGAGAAGAGATAGAAGAGGCAGAAATTAGCATTAAGCCTGTTGTATGCTTCGAGATTTCAAGCTTAGAATTTAGGTTATTCCCGATAAACCTCTGACGAAAGAATTAGCAGCCACATGTCTTTCACTACTTAGAAGAATAGGATACGGCTTTACACATGCATTCATAAAATTTGACTGTGCAAACAGGTGTGTTTTTTGTCTAGCTATCTAATCTAGGCAATTTTTTTTATTTGTTTCAATTTTGATGACTGGCCAAATCTCCCACTTATTCTTTCTCGTAGTTTGTAAGCGTGGATGGCTCTTTTAAAATATCATTTTTAAAGGCGATGATTTTAATTTGAATATTTAATATATAATACACCACCTCATGAATAACCATGCCTTAAGAGTTCAATTTTACTAGGATAACCTCATGAATGTAAACTTCTGATTTCTTTCTGTAATACCGCAATATTAATAGGGGCCTCACAGATATCAGTATCTTGGTGCAATTTCAGTTTCTCCGCTTCGTTATTCTGAGCCACAACCATATTTCTGATATTTCGCCCATTTTCGCAGCCGAATACTTAATGTATCTTAAAGCTGATCATAATCGCATACTCAAAGCTGGCAGTGCAAAGGCTTTACCATATCTTCAATTCTTCGACCTTTCACACAACAAACTCACCTGTACGGACTTCATCAACCACGGTAGATTGAAACATCTCATACTTAGTTGTACGTTTCAATAATACCAAAGGAAGTGCGTTGTCCTAAATTTTTCAAAAGGAATTTTTGCTAAATCAATTTAGATAACGAAATCACTACATTAAAGGGCATCGAGGGACCGCCATTAAACCAGTTCAAGTTGCGCTCTTTGGAGACCCTAGAGTTGCGTGGAAATAAGATTACATCGTCCGAGGGTCTGAGTGAACTGCACGCTCTAAAGACGCTCTACTTTAGTGAAAATCTCCTGCACTCAGTAGAGGACATTTCGGCAATGAAGGGACTTGTTATACTACATCTTCGGGATAACAATATTCGACGTTTGGATGGTTTTCTTCATGGTCCGCCTAATCTACAGTACTTAAATCTTCGGTATACCAGCAAAATTGCTTATTTTTTCGACTGTTCTTGTGACAAGTTTACCCTGTTTAGCGTCATATTGTGAATTTAGGGTTTACTTCGTCCTTTACTTTGTTTAAGACAGTTTTTCCATTTTTGGAAAAGTCAAGGAATTAGGAAGGCAATTCCGACTTGCGTTAATGTCCTTTACTTGCATTGGTATTTAAAGACTGGATAAGGAAAACAGCTTTGTTTGGTTTTTTATGTGCTGTCAAATCTATCCTCGTTGTTTTGTTTCTGACTTATTTTTTTAGAGGAAATCAGATAAAACGCTGGTCAGAGGTCAAAAAGTTAATGTCATTATTAACTCTGAAAATTCTCATCCTTAGTGGTGAGTTCAGACTTAATTAGCAAATAATTGGTTGCAAAAAAACTGTTGGCACTTTTTAATCAGCATTTTTATTGCATTCTTTCACTTTGGCGCGCATTTGCATGTTTAGCTAATTAAAATTAGTTGAAATCGTTTAAATGCCCTTAGCAAACAAAAGAAACAATTAACTTAAGAACTACGGAAATCAGAACTTTTATTTGAAACGCATCTTCTTTTTCTTTTTGCCTCAGACAACCCGATTGCGGATAGAGATCATTATAGACCCCTTGTTTTGGGCATGGTGCCTCGCCTTAAACGCCTGGATAAGGACAAGACCTCGCCAGATGAAGTAGCAGAGTCAGTGGCGTTCCTCGAAAAGTTGGTGCGTCCAATGTTTATTTTCCTATTTTTCTTTTTTTAAAAATTATTCACGTTCAGCACTTAATATCTCGCTCTGCATCCGTGATCCGGTACTCCCCTCCAATGCATCTTCATTGTCTCAGGTGCAAAAATATTTATTCTCCTGATTTTTAAATTTGAAACTATTTTGTAAATAGAAACTTTTCCATACTGAGATGGTGCGTAAGTGAAGTTTGGTCAGATACTCCAAAGTTTTGTCATTTATTTGTTAGGCGATATAAGGCAATGTCAGTGCATGACATTTGCCTATGGCGAATTCTTCAATTACTTTCCCTATATAAAATGATGCGAATAGCTCTTTTGAGACATAGTCTTTTCCACTATTGGCTTTGTTTTCGAATATATACGAAAAATTTTTTCAACTAAGCTCGTCGTCACAAATTCGTGACGCATGTTCTTTACCACTTCAAGATAAATGGCTGTACCAATACAAATCGCAAGGGGGCTGAAAGGGTCTAAAAAAGTGAAGTGGATGGAGGATGTGTGGTACTTTAAGTCTTCCCCGAAGTCCTACGTATGGCAGGAAATATTTTCCTAACAAACGGAGACGCTGTGACGCTACTGGCTTAGCCGAACGGCTATGATGCTTGTACAATCTGCGGAGACTTAGATGTCTATGTAATCAAACGTATAGTTAAATGAACAATTAATGAGACAAAGTATTGTCAAATTTAGGAGCATGATTAAATGTGGTGTCTGAAATGTTAAAGAAAATTTGCAAAACAAGTGTTAAACTAATGGTGTTTGAATTTCCTCTCACCGTAAAAACAGACGTGTTAGTAAAGTCCTGGGTATTAAGTTAAGTACTCTCTTATCTTATTTTAAAACCACGTGTAATTAATCGAATACATAGTGGAAAACAATTTTAGGTGCTTGAGGATCCTAAAGGTTCAGACCACTTTCCGACCATACTCTGGATTCATAAGAGGGTCGGAAAAACCCTTTCGGAGAACTCTAATGAAATCTTGCATTCTGCATTCCGGTGGTGACAACAGTGATAACAAACGCATTGTTCTGACGCATGATTGCAGATCCATGTTAGATATAATCAGAGACGAGGTGATTTTAACCGTAAAGGCGTTCAATATCTCCATGCTTAAGTGAAATTTAATGTTTTTTTTAGGGTGAGCAATTCTTGGAGGAAGATGACGAAGAGGAGGAAGAGATGGACAAGGTAGCAGAGCTAATGGCTGAGGCAAAACTCGACGAGCTAATGGAGGAGGGAGTGATGGACAAAGATGCCGCAGAAGCAATCACTGAGGAGGTAGAAAAGGAGGAAATGGATGATGAGGTGTGCAAGACTGGCCGACCTATCGGAATTTGCCTGTTCATTACACTTAAAATTCGATTGTTTCTTCTTTTAGGAGGAGGATTAGGATTTAAAAACATTTACCTACGTTTGTCTATATAAGAGAAATTTTCCACTTTTATTCTACTGACTTGTGTTTTGTTACTGGTGAGAAGTAAAAAGTAACAATATTTAAAGAAGTCAGCTACCTTCGTGCAGCTTTAACAAAGTGCCATTTATAAATGACATAAGTTAGCACGAAGTTGTAATTTTTGGGAGATGCATTTGAACACGAAATCTTCGACAAATACAAAAAAATGTCTTAGACAAAGTCTATATTAGGTAGTAGATTCGGGTCTATTTGAAAGTGCAGTAAAGTTGACAAATAATCTTCGAAATCAAAACGGTAATGGCTAAGTTGGTCCACTTTCTGATGAATTGAATAAAGTTATTGGAATTGCCTAGTGATGCATCTTTCAAAGGTGGACTCAAACTCAGTCATTAAAAAAATGCTTGAACCTTAATAAGAGATAAATTAATGCATAGTCTGCTCTGATAATCACCGGTTTTCAACGTCGCCAATGTAAGCTGAGCAAGAGAAACATGTACCATATTTGATAATGTAACAATTAATTTGGTTTTACATAAAGTGTTAAGGACATTTAATGTAATGCAAACACTCGAAATGCTTGTAAGGAACTTCAAATGCTGACCGATCGAGGTATTTGACAGTATATTAATCCATTGCATTGGAATAAGTAGGCTTTGATTGCTGCTAAAATAAATGATTTCATACACCTGTCCTACAGATGTATTGTGCCGTAGCTGCATTTTATGACGATTATTCCTTGTCAAATATTTTTTAAAGAAATCTTGCAAAGTGGAGGCTTATTTAAACCACAAGGTTGCCAATTTAAAATGCCATTCAAGATTCCGCGCCTTGAAGTAAAATTCGCATCACAAAGGTATATTTGTTTATATTTTAAAAGGGACGATAAAGATGTGGCTCTTTTACCCAAGATTCATCCTGTTCGTCTAGCCAGTTCGACCTCCTGGGAAACAATTATTGTTCCCAGAATTCTAGAGATAGCGCTATTGATTCATCTCAACCGGAAAAACCCGATGTATGCTACAATTATATTAAGGTTTATCTTAGAGTGGGGGATTTTGGACGTCTCTGCGTGGCTCCGTTGACAATGAGAGGAGAAATTCGGTCGCTACCAATCCTCCCATTGGCAATGCTGCGCCGGTTATGTAGGCTTGCTTTACATTACAGTTGTATATTTAAAGCAAAATTGTTGATGATATATGGGATACAGTCACGGAACTTGACGCTCTGGTAGGTGTTGAATTCTTTCTTACCCCTAGATAATTAAATTTGTCTCGGAACCTGTTAGTACCAACGAAATAAACGATTCTTGTGAGTCTGATACAGGACGTTGATATATTTCATAAAAGATTCCAAACTAGAGGAAACATTTAAAATGCTTGAAATGTGCTCGGAAAGTGCTAAGGGATCGTTTACTCAAGTGGATGAGGTAGATTTCAACTCATCTTATTCGATTAATTTAGATGGCATCAAGAATTAATTCATTGCAAAGTACTGTAAAGAAGGCATTACCTTTGCCAAATCCTTCTATAACACCTCGTATATTTTACAACAGCATTTGTAGTAAAAGCTCTTTGAAGCTAAAAATTGACAGTTTTGCCTCAAATTTGGAGTAAGAATATTTTGTAACGCATTTGGAAGCTTTATGGTTAAATTGGCTCGAAAGAGAATTGAATCTACAAAAGCATATTCCTCACAATTTAAAAAGCCACACTCCGTCTTTGCTATGAGTCCAAGAGTCCAACACCTAGCATTGCGAAGGAAGCATGATAGTACGTCTCTATTACATTAATTAAAGTCTCATATTTAGGTACGCCTGCAATACATACATCTGGAACAAATACAAGGCGAACAACCAGTAGTGCACCTTTTCTTAGTAGGAATGCGAGGACAGTTCTTCAGGTCTGCATTTTACATATTCATTTGGTGCTTCAAAATTTGTGTTAGATATCGTTTTGGAGAAAAACGCACTTTTTCCATGTTGTTATAGATTCACAGACTCTTGAGCATGTCCTTAAAAAAATTCTCTTAATTCTTTTTGATGACACATTACAGTGTCTGACCTCGCGTTTCAGGAGTTGTGTGATTTCATTGTTAATATTCTGTAACCATTGTAGCCTAACGCATCCGTCAGAAAAACACCGCAATTTGCTATAAAATTTTGCAACAAAGCTGCCACTGTAACTGTACCTAGAAAAACTGATATCAAATTTGAGTAAGTGAAAATTTGTTTCTTTTATTGAATTTATTCTAGCTTTCTACCCTATGAACTGTTCATTCTGCTCGCTACATTATTTTTAGTTTAGTGTACCCTGATTTTTCTTATTCGATTATTTAACGGGCATCTTTTTTCATCACGTCGATTCATGGCAGGCGTCAATGCAAGCCCAACGTCCGTTGCCGACAACAGTCAAATTTGGTGCATGATCATCACATGGGAGTCCGCGAGACACCTTTGTCTTCGCCCATTTTTTCCGATCGACCAAGCAGTGGCACACAGCATCTGTTGCTACCTCCCGACACAGTGGAAGACATCTTTTGTGATCTCGCAAAAGAGCGTCATGATGATGACGGATTCTCCTCCATTTCTGACGACTGCATCAGCTTAAACGACCTCTTCGAAGTGGAGGAGTAGATGGATCCTCCTCCTCATCCCTATACTTTCACCGTCTTTTACAACCCGCCTTTTACCATGACTCTGCACCCTCCACTTCTGTGCATGTAAATTTTTAGCCACATTATGAAGTTACAATTCGACACATGGTTTCCTCTTTATTTCAGACGGTCTCAATACTTTGCAGCTGATGAAGACCTTACTCTATGAGTACATTTGTGAGCCCCTTGATCGTACTCAAGCGTAAGTTCATGATCTAAGTGAACATGTCGACTGCACGTTCTGCGATGCAGTACCAGTAACCATGTAAATGAGGGCGGTCAATTCAAAGGACTGACACGCATTAAGCCATTTGCTAGACTAAAGTTGAAAACCGGCTTTCAGTTTTTCGGGGAGTGTCATTCCATAAGTGAAATTACCAATAACCACATGAAGAAGGGTAACAATAGCAAATAAATAAACGGTGTTTAGTTATCTTGTAAAATCACGATAAAAGGTACAAGAGTTCCAGAATGTAAAAATCAAACATTACATATATTGGCAATAATTCATCAAGTCGACTCATTGCCCAGTCGAAAAAGTGAGTTGATTTAAGTGTGCATATACATGGGTACGTAGGGAGCACTTATTTTTTAAAAGGCTTTGCAAGTATTTTTGCGGGATATTTTGAAGGATCGAGTCCACGCACCGAGAAAAGTCTAATGGCGCGTTCCGAGAGAGTTCCACCGCATTTTAATCCCCGACTCGAGAGTGCCTGCTTTAGAGTCTCCAAACCGTACGACTCTAACTCCATCGCCGAAGAAGCTGCCTCTAACGCTGCTTCCGTTATAGGAACGCTATCAGCAAGCTTCTTGGTTGCAGATGATGAAACAGCCGTTTCGCTCGTCTTCAACCCGTTTCCTTCACTTTGCGATTCAACAAGAGATTCCTGTATTCCTTCCCTCTGTTCCTCCACCTTCGCAGCATTTTCTTTATTAGCGACAGTATCCGAATCTACTGAGTTAAGAAAATATGATTCGGAGTGTTTTATTGTTAAGACAATAAAATCCCCAAAAGGAAAACTTACTAACTTCGGAATTTGATAGCGATCTCAATGAGGGGTCTGCGTGATTTTGCTTCTCAGTCAATTCGGAAGATGAGAATAGGTCGTCGGAATCATCATTACTATCACTACTATCATCACTGCTTGAAGAAACACCCTCATCCAGTTGTTCAATCCACAGCTTTGGCTTCTTCTTAACGGGCTCTGAGGGGCCAGCATCAGCAACGATTTGTGCTAGCATTGCCTCCACTGCATCTTGAAGTTCAGAGGAAATATGTTCCTTGCGTTTTGCGAAATCTGGGTCGTTAAACTTGTGGTCATGAAGGAGGCCCTTATCCAGGGCCTCGCGACGACGTCGCTGCTTTTCTAGGTATCGGTCCACCTTTGCACGCTCACGCTCTCCCGCTTTGGCATACCACTCCTTAAGTTTAGCTTCAGCGTTCACATCACGCATTCGACGACCCGAGAGATCGCGACACATGTCGTGGTTGTTCGTCTTTTCAATTTGATTGCCGATGGCACGCAGCATGGACCCAAAGCCACCCTTTCCACCCCGCAAACGCGAGTGCACCTGAATGAGCACATCGTCACTTTCCACATCACTCGGGTGATTGACGAGCCGGCCATCGACAGAAAAGTAACAATCTACACCCTCGCGAAGAAGCTTAAGATATTCTTCCCGGGTAATGAACCGACTTCCGGCCACATATACATCTGAACACATTTCGCAGCTCTAAAAATCATGTAAACTACGGATGATGCCGATTCTAGTGCATTCAAATACTAAAAAACCAAACAGCCCGTAGAAAAAGGAAGCCTATCAACATGATTGCTGTAATTCCACCCAAAGTCATAATGCCAAAAGGCAGTGTAGAATTAGTCAAAAAGGTAGCCAACATGCCACGTAGAACCCCCTATTTTCCACAATCTTTGCATACTAAAGTTTCTGCCTCCAATGTCTAGCTATACCAGTATAGCAAGGTAAAAAATAGGCGGGCCAATTAAGTGGCTAAGTTCGGCTTGTCGTTTAATCGGAAGCCTCCTAGATGTTCTAAATTACAACACTTCACTTCAATCTCATGACAAAGGACCAAGTCTTAAAAATCCGTAAAACAGGAATATGCATAATTAGGCACAGAAAAAGACTAACCTCTAAAAAAGTAGCCCAAAATCAACAATCAGGCAGCACCCGTAAAACCCACGAGATTCGCCAACAAAGTAAAACAAGACGCGAACAGGGCAACATATCAACAATCATCCACCTTTAACAATAATTTACAGTAAACACAAGTGTTGACAGAAGCTTTATTGTGATAAAAGATTTTGTGAGTATTGGTAATTTGTGATGATAGCCGGTAAAAGCCTACGTAGTGAGTCATTGAGAGGACTCTTATTTATTCACTCAGATTATAAAGTTTTATACACTTAAAAAAATTAGTTTTATAAATTTAAATTGACAGGTAATCTGGAGGATTCACTTTATTGGTGATTTAATAGGGTTTATTTTTACCTCTTTTTTAATAGTTGCGACGCGTTATACTACCAGTAAGTTGCGCAACATGCCTTGTAATATTTTGTTTTTGTAAAACAAGTTAAAAAAAAGACGACTGCCCCAATCACACTTTTATTCCAAATCGCAATAATAGCTGTTTAACGACGTGGGAATTGCCACTAATTTTTTTACCTTCTAACCTTTTACGTATTATGCTTAAGAATAGAAGCTTTGAATCCATTGCATTCCAGTTGCTACGTCCCTTTTACTCACAATACTGTTTAACTAATTGGTAGACCTTATGCTCTACGAGTATTGGTTAATAGGCTTAGCCAATCCCATAGCTGCATTTGTTTTTTGTCAGTCGCTGACTAATGAGCGGTCCCCATCGCTGGCGCTCGTTTGGAATCATTCACTGAATTTCGTTTGGATTATAGGGGGCCCGAACGGCTTTCAATTTCGCTCACGTGAGGCTTTTCAAATCTAAAGATTTTTATGGCAAATGTATGACATCTAACATGAAAATGGCATTATATGAGAAGTTGTTGGGAGTTTATCATGCTTTAGAAGAAATATGACTGTGCTTATGACTAGTACTTCACGCGTGCTTTGGTACTTTAGGTCTGTTATTTTATTTTGCTATTGTTGGTCTTGTTTCACTTGTGACGTTTTATTCCTTGTACTCTACACAAATTTGTTAGCACTTTCGTGTGCATTTCGACTCATGTTCTACTCGAGTCTTGCTGTCATATCAAATTTCATAACTGTGCTTTTTGCCATAAGTTGATATTCTGAACCAATCCTTGATACGCCATGAATTGAATAGATGTTGTATTATCTTTGCTTTTTTCCTCATTGTTTTTTTTTGGTGGTTTTCCTTCCACTTATGACATTTATTTTGCCTTAGCTAATTAAATCACGCTGCAGTATTTTGCTTGGTTCCTAACTTGTTTATGCTGTCATCTTTTGTAACAACTTCCGGTACTTGCGCTATGGAAATCAACATGTATCTCACACGTTCTTTGATGTTGGGACGTGCTACTTCTCTTTCTACATGTTTATATTCGCCTTTTAGTCGGATTTCATGTTTTACTAACACTTTACATACTCGAGGAAAACCTTTTAAACTTAATTTTGGCCTTCTTTTACTTTTATTCGCGTTCTTTTGGAGTATCAGATGGTGTTGTCTGGACGGTGTGACTTGTTCACGTGCTTATTAGTGCGGTTGTCAGCAGTGCCTTTTAACCGCCTGCGCACTTAATGCAATTAAAGTACATTTGTATGGGGTTCCCATATTATGTCGTAAATTTCGCATATTACCCATTTTAAGTCTTCCGTTGTCGACAAATGTATTCGACAATAACCATTCGTCAGAGGCTCTAGGCATTGTGCTATTTTGTATGCCCCTTTTCCTATCTTTCACTTTTGAGCGCTTCGCAAATCGGATAGTAGTAGTTCCTCCGTGTGTCTTCTTTACCAAGGCAGCAGGATTTCATCGTAAGGCAGTTGTTCATGTAAGAGTGGTTCTTCAGCCCTCAGTTTCAATTGCGTTTTCCTTATACCTAGCAACTACTGTATAATCTCACTGCATTCATATGGCCCATTTCCTTTGTTGTAGCACAAAATTTGTCTTTTTTCTTTGAGTAATAGACTTTTGGTAGTTTAGAAGTACGCCTGCATCATGTGGCCGTAATGACATTTTTTAATATTCTATCGCATTGGCTTTTGTGACGCACATTTTGCAAAGTCATAAATATGTCATAATTTCCCATTCGAATCTGAGTTTTACCTTGATAAGAAGTAGTGTTATGAGTATACTTCGGAACACTGACTAAGCGTTTGATTCGCGAAGATTTTTTTGGCTTACCGTAAACACGTTTTGTCGTGCCTAAAAATGGTACGAATTTTCTTGGTGGCTTAACACAAGTTGTTGAATGCTAAAATTTGTGTTGATCCGACCGCAGCTGTTGCTCGCAATTGTGGGTTTTTCCGCGTTATGATGGATGAGTTAGTGACCGGTATGGGTGTAATTTGCCTTTATGCTTATGGCAGGGGTTCTGTCTTTTGAAGGAGCCATTATGATTGGCGTGAACCTTCATCCGGGAGGGATTCTTTCACTTTCTCTGTATTTCAAGTTTACTATTTTATTACCTTTTATTTATTTACAAACATGAGCAATGCGTTAGTGATCTTGGTGGGTAGTCGATACCTCCTACCTTTAGGAGAACAGAACTATGACAATGTGTGGTAGCCCCACCTTTTCAAATGCAATGGCGGAGTCCAGTCCCGTCACCGTCAACGTCTACGACATGGTAAATTTGCTGCATTATGTTATTTTTTTTTCTCAGTAGTATCTCTACTGACAACCGTTCACTTCTTCCCTTCCTTCAGTCCTGGCTGAACGAGTACATTGGCAACATTGGTTTAGGCGTCTACCATACGGGTGTGGAGGTCTACGAACGCGAGTATTGCTACGGAGGCCACCAATTTGGCTCCTCGGGCATTTTCGAGATGACTCCTCGTGACACCGAAAGTCTCGGCCCCAATTACTCCTTCAAGTTTGTACCTCTTCCTTCTCCATTTAGCATTGCATTTTCCACCATCGTTTGATTCAGTGCTCTACTTTACCGTAGGACTTCAATTGTGGTGGGTTTCACAGACTTCACCTACCGCGACGTCTGCACCATAATCAGCAATATGGAGCGGGACTTCAGAGGTGCACATTACCACCTTTTGCGCAAGAACTGCAACCACTTTTCAAGTGCATTTGTCGAGGTAGGTGTATCGCATGGCCCTGTTTGCATATACCAAGATTAACGAACAGTGGATGACGATGCTAGCCTTATTATTCTGCCATGCAAGGACAGAATGCCAGATGCATGGATAGTGGGTCAAATTCCTCTGCAAAATTATCTCTAATTTAAGCAGACGCCATTACACTACGTGGTCTCCATTTTACCTTGAGTGGTGTCTGAGATTCCTAGTTTTTACACTTACACAAGTCGCTTCTTTGGTAATCGCTAATCACCCTCTTCGCACTGCATTCCAGCACCCACTGTCTAAATACTGTCTCATGAGTAACTTTCAATGTCTTGGGATGTAAAACTTTTTATTGCGCTCCCTACTGGTGTGTTTTAGGAAACCCCATCCTCCGATACTTATCTGCCAATTTGGCTCAAAACTGATATTAGCGAGTTTAAGAAGTCGAATGTACAAAGTGTTACATGACCTGGAAGATGTAGTTCAGGTCAAATGAGGTCCTTTAACTTTACAAACAAATGAGGTGGTATTCGTGACGCTGCTGCACCGATTAGCTAATGGTATGTGTGTTTCTCCACTAGTTCTATCCTGAAACTGTTAACCAAGGTGGTAGACGATGGTAGTGGTGTGTATGGAGCAGCGTATTAGTGATGAAGTCTTTCGTAAACAAAGAAGTGCTACCTGTAAAAATCGCTAGAAGGCGTCAAGCACGTCACGTTAGCGTCAGCCGTCAGGCGGCTGAATGACGTAGACGTTTCAAAGACGGTCGCCCATACCTCTATATCTGGCTGTGGTGGCTGCGAGGCCACAGGAGTGATGCCTGCGAGTATTTCGGAACTGGAACATTTGATGAGGCGGAAGCAATGCATAGTTTGTGATAGAATTGCAAAGCAGATGATCTTTCTGTGGCCACGGTGAAAAGTTGCAAGCTTAGACATCAGTAGGCTACGTCAAGTTGGTTCATTCTCAATTACAAGGCTTTTGAAGTGTTAGTTTTTCACTCGCGCCGATGTATCGCCCTCTTTAATAAGCTCACAGTCTAAATTTGGCTTGAATGTCCAAGTCCATCTGTTGTACCTAGTTACAGTCGCGTTGTAATCAAGTGTTGTCTTTTACAAAGGTTCGTCTGCCTGTTGGGAGGTCTCAACCGAGAAGTTTCTTGATTAAAGTCAAAGAGCATTTTCTGCTTGAAACCTGATAAATTGTCACTCTTCAAATTTAGCACTTAGTGTTATTGCCTCCTTTATATTGGACAGAGTGTTGAAAAGCTGAATTTGGTGCCGTGCTTCCGCTGAAGTGTTTTGTGCGATGGTTTGGGCGCACGCATCGGTGAATCCAGTGGAAATGCCCAGCTGCTTTGGATTTGCAAGCTGTCGAAGGCGCTGCTACCATTTCTTTGATGTTGAGGCAAAATGACTTGGCTAACACTTTTTCTCCTGCCTTCTTACTTCAGATTCTCTGTGGAGCAACGCTGCCGAAGTGGATCAACCGATTGGCCGTTGTGAGCACGAAACTTCCCTTCATCGAAAAGTCCATTCCCAAGGAGTGGCTTACTCCTCCTCAACAGGTTGGCTGTCTATTTATTTTTCCCTTTTTAAATGCTGCTTGGTTGGTAGCGTAGTTTTTCCTGTTACTTTTGCCTTAAGTCATGTATTTGGGGTGTATTTAATGCAGGGCATTTATGCGTGGTCCTTAAATCCCTTCAATTCTACCTCTACCAGTACCTAACACCCGTACTATTTCCTGACGTAATAATCCTCTAAGTCCATCCTTCCAACTTCCTTTTTGGATGAATCGGACAGTCTTCAAGTTCACCTGAGGCTACTGTAGTGGCTGGCTCTCCCCGTCTCAATGGCCGCATTGTCTTCATTTTGTCAGATCCACTTCATGTCAAACCTCCATTCCATAAATGGATAATGCTAGCTGAAAGTCCGACTACCAAACCGACAGCTGCATGTTTTCCGACTTGAATGCGTCCAGTAGTTCTTGCAGAGTCCGCTGTCCTCTAGATTCCACCTGTTCAAGGTTTTGTCAAAAATTGATCTAAAGAAAGGCCAACTGGAAAGGTTGAATTCACTACTATTAGGGATGTTTCTAGTTCTACTGCCCTTTTTCCCAAGGCTCCACTTTCTTTAAAGTTATTGGGATGAAAAATGGCTTGCACGATGATGGAGTAAAATAGCCGTCCCACCCCCAACCACCATCCTGCGATTATCCCACAGGTGTGAGATCCTCCCTCATATGTGCTTGGCATTTGTGAGGCCTTTGCACTTTTCCAATTGTACGAATGACATCTGACCCTGTCCGTATGTCACATGGCCACCCCCGTATCATCACCTGCCCGTGACTACTTCACCTTGTGGAGCAAACAGTAGTGGAGCTTGTGAGTCGAGGTAAAAAGGAGCAGAGCCGGCTTGTGAACGTCGTGAAATGTGTCGAAGTGATTCAGCCCCGGCTTGAATAGTACTTTACAATTGTTACCCCAAACAACTTGCTAGAAAAGCTCGAAAGTAGGCCCCTCTGTTGGACTGTGATGGTAACTTCCAACTGGTTGGTGTAAACTGACTGTCGGCCGCCCTTTTGACCCCACTCACCCAGTAATGTGTGTACTAAAACAACTGATTGAGAGGCACAAGCGAAGCGCCTACTTGCTTCATGATGGTTAAAATTATGGTAATCATTTCTCGAAAAGGGAGTAGCGAGGGCACGAGAAGTAGGGGTACCGTGTGAGTCTCTTTTGCAATTCGGTGGTGGTGGCCTTCTTCCTTTCTTTCTTTCCATATTCACCCTTTTTCTGCCAAAAACTCAAGTCCTTTTCCCCCATTGATTGAAAAATGAGGGCAGGTTATACGTGAATACATTAGGTCGTGTGCAAGTACTGTTGCTAGGGTTTTTGGGATGCACACATGCGTGCACAACATCGCCCCCTTGATCTCCCCCCCCCCCCTCCCTCCGCGGCCGTGTTTGTCGATTAGTACCGCGCAGACGGAGACTGAACCCAGGTCGTCTCGTTCACTGCGACCGAGCGTCTGTGATGCCTTTTTACCGGCCACAAGAGATGACAGCTCAATGGCGATTTCACCTCGGTCGGAGGTTTGTTTGTCACATGTCGAGCGCAGAAACTTTTAGCATCCATAAGCGATTCCATCCCGCCAGATGCTGTCAACAAGTCATTTGGTAGTTCCGAAGACTCCTATGCGTTACAGCAGATCCTATGGGGATCGAATTTCCGGTTGTGGGCTTAAATTGCATTATTACTTCATGAAATGTCATCTTCGGGAAGGACAAAGGTATTTCATACCTCCACTTCATTCACCAACCCTAACGTTCACAGGTCGTGGATGGTTCGATAATCATGGACAAGGGTAGAGGTTGGGGACCCCTACCCCGGTGGCTGTTGTTTTGAAGACTGGCCGATAGACCGAATGAGGTCTCAGCTCCTTAATACTGCAAAGTTGTGCGATTTTCTGCGTTTGCGCTGCAGAATGATGAGGATACTGTGGAGAGCAGTCACCGAGTGCATCATCATCAGGCCTACAGTTTGCGACGCAGCAACACCCCGTCTGTGGCGTCCTTGCCTCCCACACCGAATCGATCAAACACCGCGCCGCCGGCGTCAATCAGTCCGGGTGAACAGTGGCGCCGCTTCCAGTCTCAGGTCTCCAATTACTTCAAACACAGTGTCGGTGGTGGTGGTGGCAACGGTGGAGGTGGGAGCAGCAGTACCTCTGTGTCCACCCCACCTCCAACTGAAAAGTCGTCCTCTCGACGGCACAGCTAGTGCATTCCATCTCGTCCTAGGCCACCGACCTCTCTTCTTCCAACCAGGTGCAATACTCATTACCACAATCCTGCTCTTCTGCCCTTTCTCCGCTCCATCTCTAACTGGTCTTCCGAGATCGCAGACTTTGAGGTCTCCTTTTTTGGGTTCGCGCGATTCCAATAACCTTTCTGATTTTTTAAATATACACAGAGTCTAGATGTGGTTATCTGCTTCATATTTATAATTAAAACTGTACAAAACGGACACAAAAAGCGGATGGGGATGGGGACGCGTTTAGTGCTTTTGTTGCTTATGCCAGTGAGCGGCAAATCCAGCAAACTGACCACTGCTGAGCATTTGATGAAGACGCTCCACCTCGTCCATTGTCTTGGCCTTTTTAATGGCGTCTTGAATGGCCAACAGATCCTGGTTGCTTCCACCGCTCAACATGACACGCTTAACACCGGCATGAAGAGTGGCCTGAGGAAATTCTCTGGGCTGGTTATTGGTTGGATGCTTTTGTTGCGGTGGTTTCGCAGCCTCGGAGTTCTCGTCGTTAGTGGCTTTCGATCCGACCGGAGCACCAGGGACAAATGTTTTAACTGCACTCGTTTTAGTCTTGTTGCTATTCGCTTCAACTGCAGTGGTAAGAGGTGAAAGGTGTTTCACGAAAGAGCGAGCTTGTTTACGCTCGGCTTGTGTAATTCGTTTGAAATCAAGGAATCGGAGCTAACGAATAGGAAAATAGCAGTAATGAGAGGTAATCAATGAATGGATGTACGACAGTCAAGGATGTTGACCAACCTGTGGCATTCTTCCAACAACGTAAAGGCGATAATTCATCTTCATGGTGACTGGGCAGCGAGCAAGAGAAAGGAAAGTGAGCTTAGTCAGTGGAGCAAGTGGGTCGAGGTCTTTCAGTTCTGCAATATTGTTATCAGTAAGAATTAGTGTTTCTAGATTAGGTATTGACGACACAAGGTCCTCTCCTATTCTAATAATCTAAAATCAAACAAAAGGGAAGAAATGTTATGGGTCTAACGTTCAAAATGTCAAGAAGGTCATACGACGATCTTACTACTTAAGATTGCCAGCCTAGCCCAGTTGCTGATATCAAAGCAATCACTACGACTTACCTTGTTTCCTGTCATTATTAGAGACTTGAGACGTTGAAGCAAGGGAAACCCATCTAGTTTACGAATTTCATTGTCAGTGAAGTCGATCGTGTCAAATTGATCAAGAGTGCTGCCCAGATTTTCGATGGCGGGAACCTTATATCCCCTTAGATCAAGCTCTCGATCCCGAAGGGGATTTGTGTATTGCATTGCTCCCTCAACCAGATCAATTGTTAACTTCACCATGTCTAGTAAGTCACACGAATCTACAACGCCCAAATCCGGCGGAGGACAGGCTGGCTTAAACAATACTACTGCAACAACCTACTGCAAAAAAATAAATAAAAAACGATGAAAGTTCAAAGTATTTGTGACAAAATTTTTGGCTTTTGCTGCGCAATGTTTTACGTGTTATAACTAAGCATTCCAGTGCCTCAGTCTGTTAAATTTAAGCCTTTTCATTTTTTATATGCAAAAAAATCTTGATTTTTACGAAACTTTAAATTCTTGACAAACTGTATAATTCAACCCAACGGCTCACTATGTCTGACGTAGCCCATAACTGTCGCCTTGAGGTATGCAACCCGTTGGTCGCGTAGGTTCCGCGGTGCCGCAAGTGCATTCAAGGAAAAGGGATACTTACTTGAATAATCTGAATTCAAGACTTCGTGAATCACTCAAGTCTATCCAAGAAAACTACGAGTTGATGCTATCTCGCGCGAAGGTATGGCCTCCTGTTATTCCCGTAATTTCAGATGGAAAATCATGCACTGCTGAACCGTTGTGATCCTTATGCGCTCGCTACTCAGGAGAATTTTGAATGCAATGTCAGAGCTGCCAATATCGTGAGTTATTTGCATATCTGGGACTGATTTTCCTGGTTTTCTTATCATCAAGCACACGATCCAGTGCTTCCGTTTTTTGGATTAGTTCCAGAAATTGAGTTAACTGCATCTTTTCTGGACCCTAAAATGACTAATTTGCTACTACAAGGAAATGAAGTTGGTCTTAATGAATGCGAGCTGTTAAATAAGTAACACCAAGTTGTTGCTAATCAATTGTTAGTTATAACGCAGCTGATGGCTTTGGGCATTTGCTTTGGTCGACGAAACCTTAATAGATGGCGGTAAAAATGCAAATCGCCAGGACGTAATAGCGTTGGCTTTCTGTTGAATCTGCATTGGCCTGTGCTTCGTAACGTGTTCTTACCTCTTCTAATTGCTTTTACGTACGAAAATTGTGATTTTCACTACAAGATGTGTTTCTTCTCTGGAATAGTCTTTTCTTTTTTGATATTAATAAATTTTAGATATCAAGAAGTTGATCCCTGTTTCCTTGCTTGCCTTTTTTTACTGTTCTTAAGTCTGCCTATTCCCTTGACTTTGCACCCTCGCTATAAATGATCTCAATTTGGCGGATATTTTACACATATTTGAGTGATCTATGTTCTTTTGCGCTTGATTATGTTTGTACAGAGGATTTTACGCATTTTTCACAGACTTATAAAATCGCTACGTTTTCCTGCTAATCATATCGCACAAATAGTCCCTGGCCTCCCTGACGTGTTGATCCACCGGCATTGGGACTCGGCACCTCTCTACCTTGTAGGTGAGCGCATGTGAGAGCATCACACGGTTGGTATCGGAAATAAAGCAACTCCTCCTGCTGGGCGACTTTCGGTGGCTGGAGACAGCGGTGCGGGAGGACGCGGAGGAGCGCGATCGTCGACGCGCTGATTTGGACGCCGTTGCGACACGTCTCCATGAGGAGGTATCACGCGACCTCTGCGCCCTTGAGGAGGTACTTGGACCCACACGCCCGTCATCCCAAGGGCACACTTCACAAACATAAATCCACTCTGTTTCAATTATTCTCATCCCCTCCTGTGCAGCTTTCGCTTTCTCATTGCTTAATGCAGTGCGATTGCCATTTTCCTGGATCCCATCAGAGGCAGATGTGTAATGGTAAACTCCTCAAAGATGGATGTACTCACACTTTTGCTGCGTCTGTGTCTTCCATGCAGACGTTGTTGAATATGTGCATTTATACAGGACATGGGTGTGTAATTTCAAAAAAATACTGTTGTTTTGCTTATTAAAGTTGCATACTATCAAGATGATGATCAGGAACCGCAGAATTTTTTTAGGCTCATCGCCATGGAAGCATCCTGCTCTGCATTCTTCGCAGTGTGGTTTTTAAAAGGCTGGGGTTTTCTGCGCCTTTTTTGGGCTATTATAAGTTTTGTCGCAAATCTAGCGAACCTAGGATGTCGTCGTAGCCGCTATGAGAGCCTTCTTTATTCGTGTGCGTCTGGAAATCCAAAAGTTCCACTGTGATGAGCAGTGCAACTGCTGGCGTAATCACAGTGTCATTCCTTCCATGTACCTTTGCCGCCCACTATGCTTCTCTGTAGTGGTTAACTCAGGCTAAAGTGATCGTCAACTTTTGTAAATTCTCTTGTTTTTCTGTTCCCTTGCCTCATAGCAAGACGAATGAGCACCTTGTTTGTGGCAAACTGCGCATGTTTTAATGTCCAAAACAACGGTATCTCCTAAGGTGTTCGTCTCAGATTTCCTATTGGCGCCATTCTGGGGATTTCTGGTGTTGTGATACTAGGTAATCGTGTTATCACGACACCGAAATGGGTTGCTTACTTCTTGTGGACTCAAGAATTGTCTGCCCGTTAAGACGATTGCCTTTGCCTCCTCAATTGGTTATCTCTAATTGTAACTTTGCCTTGTTTTTTGCGACAATTAAACCCTGGGAAGGTCTGATATTGCTGTTTTGGTTCATTCCGATGAGTAGATAGGTAGCGGTTGGCATAGAAGATGCTGCTGTTAAAACAAGCCCAAGATTCTGTCCTACTCTACTGAATTCGTTTCAGTAGCAACTAAACGACTTCGTTTACTGATAGAGCTGGTATTGGGAGGATGCACGTTATTGAGATGTCGATCGTATTTCGGTGATAATTCTGCAAACCTAAATGATAGTGGTGAAATGAAACAAGCTGCATTGCTGCGTGTCTTCAAGGTAAATGAAGTCTTGAAGTATTCCTAGTGAACTGCGCCATTTTCCCACCTTACGCTGCAAAAAAGTGTCTTTTCGAGTTCAAACCACCATTTAAAAAGTGGAATGACATATTTTACGATAATGCACTTATGGTCAAAAATAAGAAACAAATTGGGAGTGGAAGTGTACCACTGATTTTACACTTCATCAGGTATCTTTTAAATACACGTTCATGCCATGCATTTAAAAGGTTTTGGAATAAAACGGGAGAAATGGAAGGAAACGGCAGAATATGTGTCGATTTTGGGGCTTTTGCGAATACTTAAGGCTTGAATTTCTAAATATTTATTTATAAGGAGGAAACACTTTGTCTTAGCTAATCTACCAGCT